GTTTGACAAATCCTGTAAATTGTAATATCCTATATAATGAGATGAATATGAAGAAGACCCAGACGAGGTGCCCCATGAAATCCAGAACTATGCAGATGAGATTTATACTTAAGGCTGATTACCTCTGCCCCCTCCCTATTCTGTTACTACTCACCCCCATCTACCCCAGGCAAGAACTATTACAATAAGATGTGCATTACTAACCAGAAATGCTTGAAATTAAGTATAATCAAAGAAGTTGTAATGTAAATGTATCTCAAAAGTCAACTTAGACTCTGTATTTATAGAGAATGAATCTATAAGGGCGACGCCCACTTTTGATCACTTGAGTCATTCTATGGTCTTTATACTTACCAATCATGCAGAATTATAATATCCTATATATTCAGAAGATGAACCCTATGAGCCCAGAAGATGAACCCTATGAAATCCAGAACTATGTAGATGAAATTTATACTTAAGGGTGATTAGCTTTGCCCTCTTCCAATTCTGTTACCCCCCCCCCCCCATCTACTCCCTCCCCAATGCAATAAGTATAACACTTACATGTACATTATTTACCAAAAATGCTTCATATTTAGTATAACCAAAGAACATCATTATAAATGTATCTCAAAAGTCAAGTAAAACTCTGTATTTTTAGAGAATGGCAATCATCTACTATGATAAGGGCGACGCCCACTTTTGATCACTTATGTAATTGTATGGTCTTTGACACTCCCCAGTTATGTTAATTGCAATATCCTTTATATTTAAATAAATGTTTGAACTGCCCTTGTAATTTTGAAAATGCTAAAATGTTCTGATTTCTGTTGATTTGAAAAATAATCCACATTCTATATTATGTACAGGTACAGGTTTTACCAAAATTGTGGTTTTTCTCAGCAAAAATTGTGGTTTCCATGGCAACCATGAGTGACAGACCATTGAAACTTTGCATACTACCTAAAAATGATCTCATCAACTCTCGATAAAATCATTATGATGATTGAAGACCAACTGAATGAATAATTCAATGATGATAATGTACCCCCTGTAATTTTCCTTTTTAGGGTCAAAAACCCAATTTTGACAACTTTCGCCCCGGATACGGCGCATCAGACAAAAAATTTCTGAAGTATCACATAAAAATACATAAGAAACAAGTAATTTCAATTTGTTCAGAAGCGGGTACATTTTTCGGTGCTACCTCACTAACTATAGATACAACTGTTGCAAAACGTAAGTAAGGTAAGACCTGAAGAAAGCCATGAGTCAAGATGACATGCTAATTCAAAGAAAACATAGGGTGACATCTATATATATATGACTAGGACTATTTCATTTATGAAAAAGGCAATAATTTATAATCAGTTATAATATCAGAAAATAACGACATTCTGACATTTTCATTGTTGGAAAATATCGAGTTGTATCGCTGGGAGGCAATCCTCCTTGTAGAGAAACATAAATGAAATAAACATAAAATGTTTTTCCTTACAAACATAATTCAAATAGACAGAATGATGGATAATTTAAAAATATAAATGCTTTACAAATTAAATTTATTTTATTACATTTTCTGTTTTTGTTAACAAGAGATGAAATATAAATAATATCTAAAATCATGAACTTCACCTCAGCCATATAAAATCCTTTAATTATATGTGTGGTAAATTGAAATATTTGAACTGTTCATTTTAATCAAATAAATTGATAATTAGTATTAGTCTGACATATAAAGATAATTATTCAAGTCTTGAAGATGAATATTGAGTTGTCTTGTAGGCAGGTATACCACTGCATGATTAAGTAAAAATCAAGCCAACTTTATTTTTTAATATATTAATGTGCCGCATTATACAGGTAATAAAAACCAAATAACCCCAAGCTATTATGAATTGGCTGATACTAAGGCACATCTATAAAATTCTTTGAAAAATGATCTCATATTTCATTTCTTTGAAAACAGGAAGCTTATTCAATGAACCCAACCCAAAATAGGAAGTGAGATAGAAATTTATACATTCTGCCTACTGACCTCAAGTAAAACCCATTCACCTGTTAAAATACTTCATTCAAAGAGAAACTACCAGCTATAGGTCTCAAATACTGCAGTACAATGGAGAAAATTCTGATAGCGTACATTTTCTTAGCATTAACATGTACATGCTCAGGACGTATCTTTGATCGATTTTTATGGCAGAGTCGACTTGGTATTAATCCATGGAAATTGGACAAATCTATCGAAACAGATAAAATATTTCAAACCAGTAAGAAAGGAGTAACATTGAAAGATGCTATGAGGAACATTGACATTGGCAGGAAACACAATAAGATCAACCCAAAATGGGAAAGAAACAACCACTGTTGCCAGACGTAAGTCTACCACCAACAATAGCGATATGGGTTAGGTTAGATACAGTAAAACCTGCCCGATGGAATACCTCTCTGTAGGGAAAACCTATGAACAAGGAATGCTTTTCAAAAGAACCAAATATTTTTCCATTGACTTAGATGTTAACGGACCCTCTCTGTAGGGAAAACCTGTGAAAAGGGAACAAGGAACACTACTTTGGGGCAAATTATGAAAATTCACCTGTGATCAAGGAATTTGGAATATTGGTGACACTGTATATTCCAGTTTTTCAGAGGTGTGAAAGTCTTAAGCCAATATCTGATTCTAAAATGCTTGGATTAATATGAATGGGATTAAGATAAGCCAATTGTTCACAGGATGAAGCATCCCACCCACTGTTAATTACCCTGATATATTTTAACTAATACTAATCTGTTCATTTCTTATTATCATGACTCTAATTCTTCCTTTCAACAAACCCAATTACATCTAATCAGTTGTGATAATCTAGGGACTGGCACAATTGTTTTATGGAGATAATAGATAAGTACATGTACATTTGTCATGTTGCGCCAAATCTCTTTAAATAGTTTACTGATCCAAACCTCTAGATTATCAATTATATAAAATGGGGTTGAAACTTGAAATTAAGTTCTTACATGCCTTTATACATACAAATATGCTTATTCGACAAGTTTGAGTTTGCTGAAAGTGCGGCCCCTCTCTATAGGGAAAACCTCTGAACAAGGAAACTTTCCTCCAGTCCCAAGAGCATTCCCTGTTCGCAGGTTTTACTGTAATTATGTATTGGTACAAAGCTGTTCAACAAATGTATTGGCAATGGTTTATATTATGTTTTTCATAGGTTTTATGTATTATGTTTTATTTTTCATTGGTTTTTTCTTGATTTCTATCACCTAACAAGTAATGTATCCTGGCAAGTAATTGTATCTTGGAAAGTATTGTGCCTTGATAAGTAAAATATCTTGGTTAGTATTGATAACTAAAGTGTCTTGGTAAGTGCTGCAGCTGTATCTTGATATATAATAAGCGACTCATTAAGTACAAGTAATATCTGAAAATAAGTGGTCTTGTCTTGGTAAGTATCTTGGTAAGTAATATATCTTGATATATACAATAAATATGTCTAGGCAAGTAAAGTATGGCAAATTATGTTTGTAAGTAAGTAATGTACCTGGCAAGTAATATACCCTAGCAAGTAATGAGTCTAGGAAAGTAATATACCTTGGCAAATAATGAGTCTAGGAAAGTAATATACCTTGACAAGTGACATATCTAGGCAAGTAATGAGTCTAGGCAAGTAATGTATCTTGGGAAATGACATATTTTGGCAGGTAATGTATTTTGGCAAGTAATGAGTCAAGGCAAGTAATGTGCTTCGGCAAGTAATGTATCTTGGCAAGTAATAGGCAAGTAATGAGTCTAGGCAAGTAATGTACATTGGCAAGTAATATATCTTGGAAAGTAATAGGCCTTGGCAAGTAAAGAGTCTAGGCAAGTAATATACATTGGCAAGAAATGTATCTTGGCAAGTAATAGGCAAGTAATGAGTCTAGGCAAGTAATGTACATTGGCAAGTAATATATCTTGGAAAGTAATAGGCCTTGGCAAGTAAAGAGGCTAGGCAAGTAATGTGCTTTGGCAAGGAATGTAACTTAGGAAGTAAGAGGCCTTGGCAAGTAATTTGCCTTGAAAAGAAATATGATTAGTAATACAATCAACAGAAAACCTTTTGAAAACCAAACATAACATTTCACCAATCAAATGATATATAAGTGCATGAACAATGAACTTCTAAAGAATTGGAAGAGGATGAAATATCAGTACTAATTATATTTCTCATTTAATGGTTACTGATTGATTTTACTGATTAATTGATTGACACAATGATCAATTAAATTGATTTATTAATTAATTGACATAATGATTAATTGATTGATTTATTGATGATTGATTGATTCACAAAATGATTGATTTATTAATTGATTGATTAACCAATGCATTCTACATCTTTTTCAGTCATAGCGAAAATCGTAAGATAACACACATAAAATGGCCACCATTTTCAAAATGATCAGTCACTAGCCAAATTTTCATAAGAAAGTGTAATAAATAGGCACATACAGTATTATGTTTCAACAAAATTGCACACACGTACATAAGACAGTGTGCCATGCTTATGAGTACTCACATATCAAATATGAACAATATTGTAGCAAAAAACGTAAAATAGCGTGTTAAGGCCACCATTTTTCAAGATGGCTGCCATGTGGTTCTTAAATATCTACATTTCTAGCTTTATTAATGTCCTAAATAACTTTTTCACATTAAAAACATATCGCTATTACAGTTTTATGTATTGTACCTAAATTACTGTAAAATCAGCACTAAAATTGCTGCCATTTTTAAATGAGTGGCCATTTTGAAAAATGGCTTTTGAGCAAAACTTCTACCCCCATAGGGCTTATCTGTACAAAATATGAACAAAATCGGGCCAACAGTATTTTAGTTATTGCCCCGACGGACAGACAGATGTATGGATGGATGGATGGTCGGACAGATGCATTCCCTATATCCCTCCGAACTTCGTTCGATAGGACAATTATGAATCAGCATATAGGCACATATTTTCTGTTTTCAGGAAGAAATTCTTCATCACAGAGGAGTTCTTGACAGATACTAAAACCAACCGTCAACTTCATCTGGTTCAGTTAGGACATCTCAACCCTCCAAAATACCAGAATATACAGATTGGGCTGTGCAAGTAAGAGGTTTTGCTTATAATTGGGCTATGTATACATAACTTATATTTGGGCTGTGTAAGTAAGGGGGTTTACTTATTTTTGAACTGTGTTAGTAAGTAGTTTTACTTATTATCAGACTGTGTAAGTATGGGATTTTACTTATAATTGGGCTGTGTAAAAAAAGGGTTTTTACTCAATATTGGGCTTTGCAAGTAAGGGGCTTTACTCATAATTAGGGTGTGTTAGTCTAGCATGATATCCTGAATTTTTCTGTTATTAAGTATGGAAATACAATTGTAATAATAAAATGTTCTTTTCTTAATTTCAGAAATAAAGGTAGATGTTCAAATGGCGGAAAATGCACAGAAGAGACAATTGTACATTATGTATTTGTACACACAGACAGTGGGACTGGCTATGAATTTGCACCTATACACCTACCTGGATACTGCTCTTGTAAAAATACATTCAAATAAATGGACAGAATTAACATTCAAGAGTGTATTTTATTTTCTTCGATGACACACCTGCCATTGATAAAGATGAGGCAGGACCGTAGCTAGGATTTGCAAAGGGGGGGGGGTTCAGTTTTCAAAAATTTCCAAGAGGGTTCACATTTGACAATTTTTGCCCAAATATGGCTAAAATCACAAGAGAAGTGCTCAAAATTGTGAAAAACTGCATGATTTTGAAAGAAGTTTTGGCCAGGGGGGGGGGGGCTTAGCCCGAACCCTGCGAACCCCCCTGGCTACGGGCCTGTGAGGGTGTAACAGAATCAGAAACCAGCGGGTCACAAAATAAGAAATCATGGGTATTATAAACAGTCATGGTTGAAACTGATTCAAAATTTGTCCAGCAAGATGTATTGAGGACCATCAGTATTTGACAACCTGTAACAATCGTAGATCACCATGTGAGCCAAAAAAGTACCATTGACAATGATGGGAGAGGAGCGGGAGGGTTGTTACAGGTACTAGGGTTGTCACAGGTGCTAGGTACCAAGGGGTCACAAAATTGAAAATTATATAGATTATAAATACTTATTGGTAATATGAAATCCAAAGACTCTTGTTCTGCATGTTAACAAGGAATATGTATTAGAATACAACTAAATAGTAGATCCTGTTTGCTACAATGCCTACGATTTGTATATTCAGTAGGGACCTCAATTATTTTATAAACTGTGACACACATTCTTATATGAATCTTAATGTACAATTGGAGTAGCAATGGAACACTTAAAACAATGTTGGAAACAGATGTATATTTTTATTTGAAAATAAATCTATAAATAATTAATTTTAAATGCATTATATTTCATTTTGCATGGGATTTAAAAAGCACATGAAAGGCAAAGCTATTAAAATTATACTTTCTTGTCATCCGAGAAAACCCTCAGAGTTACTATGCTAGTCAAATGCCTAATAAATCAGTATATTACAAGTGATACATCAGAGTATAGAGCCCCATTCTGTTAAACTTCCTTATTAACAAGACAAACCCTAGTTTAGTAACAAGATGAAGGTCTCGTTTTTACTCAAAAAACGAAAGAAGTAGTTTTTGACATCTCCAATAAGAAGAATCTAATTTATAATACTTTGGGTCCATCAGTATATAACCTGTTTACCACTGTGAACTTTCCCCTTTGTCTAAATCTAAATTTCATTAGATTTTCCCACAATTGTACATGCAATTGTTTTTCCTTAACTAATTCTTCTCTTGTTTTATGTTCAATGTTTTAGCCCTGTATTTTTAAACTGCACAGTGACATCTTTTTAAATGAAATAAAAACCTGACTGAAAAAAGTAGAATGAACTAAACAGAAATGTTTCCACAATCATTAATTGTTCCCATACTATATTAACTTGTAAAATTGTTTTTAACAGACTTACCTTCTGCAATGGAATGCATTTAGGACACTGACATAATGGATGGCAAAGTTCCCGCGTTGCATCAAAGCATTCATCATCAGAGTCCTCTATATCTGAATCTATATCCCACCCGAGATGATATTTCACCTGAAAGTAAATGTAGTATAGATGTCACTGGTGTAGTCAGGTAAATCATTTTAGCTTATCTTTGTTGAAATGAGACCGAAAGTTTTGTTTGAATTATCTCTGTGTAAAGGTTTATAAACTGGATAATAATGACACTGAATTCCAAATATACAACAACACAAATCTTTACAACATGACGCCACCAATGGGTGACCTCATCTGTATGTACTATTAGGTGATATCTGTTGCAGTTTTTGAGAAAACTGTCAGACGTACAAATAGATGGATGGACATATGGAGGCACCTAGGCCAACAATATGGCCCCACACTATGTGATGGGGACAATGTTTCTATAATTTCCATGTTATCAAATTATATAATCACATAAAGCATAAATACCATTTCAATATCACCATCAGCCACTGACTTCAGTAAAATCTCCTCTTTTCTACCAAAAGATGTCTCCCTGGGTTCACTTCCTGTTGATGGGTAGCTTTGAATTGACACATTGGAAAGACTAGATTCTGCACGGTCTTTGGGGGATGGCATCATATCTATGGATAAACTGGGTGACGTGCCCACCTGGAAAAATAGATGTCACTTGAACCATTATTACCATTAGAAGAAGGCATTAACATGACAGAATGTCACCACCTAGTTACTCACAATATTATGAGTTCAAATCTTAAGTCAGATCTGAAAGCTGATCTTGAAAAAAACATAAGTCAATTTGAAGCATGTTGAGAAAGACATTTTTGACCTTGAGAAGGTAAGATTTCATATATGAAGTCAGTATTTGTTAATTTATTGGAAGTTGTAAGAATTTGTTACAGACACCGATGATAATAGACTGTCTCCTTTTGGCAAACACTATGACATTTTACTCCATTTTGAATTAACACCTTTTTTAAAGAAAATGGGGACCATTTTGAATCTGGAGGCAATCTTGCAAATTTCATCTTCATCAAACATTAGAAACCTATAAAGCATTTTTTATTTAAATATAACCAAAGTTGGTGAAGAAACATTCAAGTTTTATTGAAAAGAAACATTCAAGTTTTATCGAAAAGAAATATTCAAGTTTTATAGAAAAATGTCATTTGATGGAAAGTGATTGCCAGTCATTTTAAATTAAGAAAATTATTTTGAAGAAAAGCTGTCAGGTGTTTGTCCTACATCTATTAATCTATTAAATAAATAAAAATATAAAAATATATCAAACAAAAATTAATAAATGTTTTATTCTCCTAACATAAAATGACAAATTGATATTTATTTAGGACCATTAGCCATATGCCGCATTGTGCTACTTTTCAAAGACGTATTTTTATACGCTTTTAACGAGCCTGAAGATATTGACATTGGTCGATTTATATCTTCATGGGAGAGGTTCTCAGCCCCTAACATCCTTCTTCACCAGTACTTACCTCCGCCTCTATTGACGTCAAGCTCTTAATAACACAAAATGTCTAAAATATATTTTATCTAAAATATATATTCCCAGAGGATGTCTATAAGGTATAACTGTTATATAATAGCAAAGTGTTTGTTTAATAGATCTTCCCAGAAGCTGTTCTTAAACAGAAACCAACTATAAATTTATCGTCATAGTGATAGTCGTTAGGCTGCCATTTTGCCATTCTGTTTTCTGTTTTACATCTAAATTTTGACAAAAATGAGGGAAGTAACTTGCACTTAATAAATGTTATAAAAACACAGACTAATATTATTTTTATGCTCATAAAAAATGCAATTATAAAAATCAATATTGAATTTCTCACATCATAAATTAATGGGAAATTAAGGAGAGTGGTCCAAATAAAATATGTTTAAAGGGTATAGGTAGCAAAATCTTTGTAAACCATTCATTCTTTAGATCCAGTGTTTCTATACTTTATATTTTTCTATGTTTTTATGCTAGTGGTAATTAAGGACTCTTAAATGTTACTAAAATATCTACAGAATAAAATGAACAAAGCTACACCATTAAAATAAACTAAGAAAAAAATTATGAATGACGCAAATGACTGATTGAATGAAGGTGAGGTAAAAAATACTTAATGTCTTGCCAAGTGCTATGGTATTACTATTTGTTTTATAGAACAATAGAAAAATAATATTGTCAGATGTAAAATTATTCACATGATTGGTACCAAGTTCAAAAATAAGATATATACTGTAATAATCATGTTCAACATATTAAAACGATACTATAGAAGTAGGGTGATTGATCTTTCTATACATTCTATCATAAACAAGACTTCTACAAGTTCATAGTTCTATAACATGTGAAAAATAAAGAGGTTCAATCTACAGGGCAGATATAGACTGGGCATTGCTAGGCTACTTTAAAGACATGCAAAATGTCAACACCTAACATTTGTTACAGATGCCAACCGCCAAATGCCGAGACTATAACAATATGTCACCACTTGTGGTGGTGACATAATAAGCAGCAGATGTTTTCTTAAAGTTTCAACAAATTTTATGTCTGGTATGATTTCTATCCAAAATAGCAATGCAGCTGATCTCTTAAGTCATTTTTACCAACTATCCATACATTGGATATTTAGCAATGATCTTTCCAGCATTTAAGCAAGTGGGCGCAGCACCCACCTGAAATTTAGGAAATAGGCTTGCACCCACCTGAAAATCCATTTTCACCCACTTCAAAATGAGAAAAAATTATGAAAAATGGGCATATTTTGACCAATTTTGGTCTGAATTGTGAAAATGAGAATTTTGCCCCCACTTGAGAAAATATCCTGTGGAGATCACTGTTTATGGTATGGTATATTGTGCATATAAATATCTAAAAATATGTTCTACGGATAATGGCTATTATATGTATTGTTTAATTAAGTAGGTGTCTCTGTATGTTTTCTGATTGGTCCAAACACCTACCTCAATCTGTACATTAGAAAAGCTGAATCTCCGCTCGTCAATCTTAACAGAGGCTCGCTGTAGCAATCTCTGGACGTTAGCATTGTGAGCACATGTCACTGGTGTTTGCTTGCGACGATTCCGTGCTTCAACTGATGCTCCATGTTCAAGCAGCAGTTCTAAGATACTTTCTGAAGATATAAAAAAAAGGAATAGGTCAATATGTGAACAGAATAGTATGAAAACACAATAATATTAAAGTATAACAAGTTAGAACATGGTACATATACAAAAACAAGACACTCAAACATAAATATCACACTTTGAAGAGTAAAAGAACCACCATGTAATTTATCCAAGGTGCCTTTAACATTAGTCTGATACTGCATCTGTAAAAGTTTCAATGGACAAGCAGTTTTCCTGGAACTTTGATGACAAGATATATTTGGCATCCAACCACCCAACACACACACCCACCCACCACCTTACCGGGCCTGTTCTAGGGGTATTAGTGCTAGTTTAGAAGGCATTTATATTACTATATTGACCTGAGCAATATGTGACACCATAGTGGCGGACCATTTTGCCAGTCAACAATGCATTAAGACCTATATTCGGCCCTCGGCCAATATTTCACTATATTGCCATTCGAAATGACATTATTGTCCTGTTCTTTTGCCAATCTGGGTTAACCAAAAATGTAGTATACTCAAACAATAAGATTTAACATTCACAGAACCATCCTCCTTAAACATTTTCCTCTGATTCATTATTACGACAAACGATATAATGAAGTGACAGAGAATTTCAACTGAAGTATATATATACTACATACAAACACTGTATTTTTTCAACATTGAGCTTCAAGTTCTATTGACCAGTTTAAATAAACATCCTCTTGGCATATTTAATATTTAATAAGATGATTGAATACTACAAGATAATCCCCGAAGGAAACATGAACAAACAAATCTGCTAATCCAGAATACAAAAGACATGTCAGCCCTCATCTTAAAACAGCAAAATCTCGTTAGAATTATCAGGAAAAATCTTGTAAATAAAAATCACCTTTGGCAGGTTAATGATACAATAACCAATATTTAAAAGATATATCTCTTACCATTGTTATTTATCGGAATTTTTTTCCCTCTCAATGAAATGACTGACTGTCTAGAATTTCTGAACGATACAGAGGGTTAGCTAATACCTATGTATTTTATAACTTGCTAATTCTTAGCATCTTTACTCTATTTCATATTCAAAATGTGACAATTGTGACATATTACACGTAAGTAACTGAAATCCCAGATTAGGCCATGCCTGTTGGTGCTGTCAATGGACATTAATTACGAAGAATTATTTTGTGATGCATTGTCAGATTTGAAAACGATACAAGACAAGATAATAATTCACATTCGCTTAATACCTTGGAGTCTCTGGAGATTAAACGAAAGTATTTATCATATCTAAATGTTAACTAGAAAATGGCAACTGAAGGAGTAGCAAATCCCAATAAGGAGTATATTACTAAATCTGAGTTATCTCAAATCAGAATTTGTAGCTATAAAATACAGTATATATAATTAGGTACTCTTAAATAAAAATAGTCTCGTAAAGCGTTTTAAGACTAATTTGATTTATTTGTATAGTGACAAGGGATCTGGGTGGTTTACAAAGGCACAAAACTGCAATCATGATGAAAACCTGAATCTGGGTGAAACCCTTCAGCGCTTTCTTAAAAACGGATCATGTTATTCCAGTAACTTTATATTCAGCCTACATTCTTCAAATAACTTTTCTTTTGGTACATCATAAAACAGCCCTGGGATTAAGATTACTAAATGTGACTCCATACAAGCGGTTACAAAAGTGTAACAAATGTTACAGATGTCATTGCCGACCAAACCCACTAAAAACCAGTTCCAAAAAGTGGTGACTATAACAATATGTGAGAGAATATAAAAAAGTTTATATTTTTGGAATATGACAAAAAAGTTTTACTGTATGAAAAATGGCGACAGATTCGGGTATTTCAGGAATTCAAGGAGTAAGGTTTTGTTTGTTTCTTTAACTTACTATATCCCGAAGGGCTATACTTCCTTTGTAATATATTTGGAAAAAAACTTTCCGGTATGAAACATATTCCAATAATGTAACTACTCAGGTATTCCCCCTGGGGAGCAACAAAAGACATTTTACGTAACAAAGCAAACATAACACACCTCAGGACAGATAGGTATTTTAATCCCTACTCCTATTGTCCTTATAGTCTTAAGATCGTATGATAAATACTTATGCTATACACACATGTTGTTTTATTCTCTTTGAATATCAAGACCCCTGAAGGCTTATGTCTTGCCTTTCAAAGTGGATTATACTTCATCCTCGAAGTAAAAAACTAAGAAAATAGTCTCCAATGACTTTTTAATGGAAACTGGTATAACATTTTTTACTTAAGGGGGTAAGGTAAGGAATTTAGATAAACAAGGTATTCCGAGATAGAAAGAATTTTAAATATTCACAGAAATAAATTACTAACGGAACCAATGACTTTTCTGTTCTGAATTACCAATAAAATCGTTAACACTTCAAAATACCAGAAATTACGTCATAAGTATACAATTTCAAAATTTTCCAAGGGGCTTCTCAACCAAATTGATTTTTGGAATCTATACTATTCTGAATTTCTTGATCATAATCAGGCAAACAATTATATGCCAGTAACTAGGAAGCAAACCTTTAGTCGCAGGGTAGATTTTCAAGGGATTTATTCAACATAAGACGAAGGATAAATTGCTTTATAATTCCACAGAATGGCACACGACAAATCTTGATTAGCAGTTTACGTATCAAATGTATAATTATGTATCATTAACATTTGTGGTCAATCCCATGACAAAGTGGACCTGCCATAATTGGACTAACTGGACATTATGATGACAGATTGGTCTCAAATGGATGATGAATGATACACAACTGAGAAACATACCAACATGATTTCTTAATCACTGACAAATACAATCGCTCGGGAAACATTGGAATCAAACAATTGATGCACATGTTAAGATGGCTAAATGGAAAAAAGAAACAAATAATGGACAGTGATAAGAAAAAACATTTTTTTAAAAATAATAAAAAGTGATATTGATATTTGATATTAACGACAAAACAAGATGAAAGTGGGAGGCATATACGTTCTGCTACATGTACATGTGGTATACACCATACAACAAGCTGGATTCTTTAAATTGATACAGAATGACCATAAATTGCCCGGTTACATCATACAACAAAAGATGGTCGACTCCAAGGCTGAATGTGCCCAGTTATGTATCACACGCAACTGTTTCTCATTTAATATTGACAATGATAACATGAATGAGAAACTCTGTGAAGTAAACTCCGAGAGCCTACAGTTTCAAGGGACATCGTTGACGCCCCAAACTGGTTCAGACCACTACCAAAAGGTAATATCTTATAGCTTAATAACTTATTCATAAAAATATAAACTACACGAGTTAGTGTTTTGAATTTTTGAAAATGCTAGGAGGGATACATTTCAAAACCAAACAAATTCAGGAATATTTTAGAGAAATTATTTGTGTTCTGTAGATACACTTATATTGATGCCACTTAATTTGATGGATTTGCTCAATGTAAAATATTTGCGGCTATCTCATTTGGCGGATTTAGGACTAAAGTTTAATTTTTGTCTATGTTTATGTCATTAGGAAAGGTATTTACGAAGATATTTTCTGTATTTCTTTTGGAATAATGTAGAATTGATGACACATTGACAGGAAAAGGGGCCTCAGAAGTATAATTTCTGAAGTGCATTGGACAAAAATTCCAAACAGAAAGAATTGGTATCGATATGGTGAACTTTTTGAACACATGTTTCTCTTAAACATGTCATCAAAAAATTCTAAAAATTTTACACATCGTCAATTTAATGGTCATCATTTGAATGGAATTTGAAAAAATATATATACTTTTCTCTATATTGTTTTAGAAAACACAACAAACACTTCTTTTGTTCTTGGTATCATATGTTCAGACTGAAATGAAACATCTTTCCGAACCTCATTGGAACAAAACGAAATAAACACAACATGTTTAGGTCTCTCAATATTGTAATTGAACAACGGAAATTTTGGTTGATTTTAAAAAAGTATCTTGTTAATGAAATAAAAGGTTTATCTTGATTTTTTATCTATTTTGGGGGTTTTCGTTTTAATTTTTTGAATACTTTTTTAAAATCAACCCAAAATTCCTTTGTATAACTTTAATATTGAGAGGTCTAAAAAAATGTTGTATATGCTATTTTGTTCCAACAAGGTTCGGAAAGACATTTTATTTCATTTTCAAGAATTGGTAGAAAGGAGCAAAAACAATTAGACTTAAAAAACAAAAAACAGTTATCTAAAATATATCTAAATAATTTTTGCATGAAACTGTTGTCAATCAGTCAACATTACATAAAGGACCATGTTTTTTACAGAATGTTTTCAATAATTGGTTTAAGAAAAAAACATTGTTAAATTCAGTTCACCATATCGATACCTATCCTTTGAATGATTTTTAATTTGGCAGATTTTATGAACCCACCAATCGGTCAAATTAAAATGGGAGCCAAATTAAGTGTATCTACAGTATTTGTGATTCCAAATTTTCACTGTTGCCTTTAATATTATATTCCTAGTGAATTCCTAGTGAATATTATATTCCTAGTGAAATTAAAAAGTTATTTCAAAAGATAAAACCAGATTTTTGAATATGGGGAACGTTTTAATTTCAAATCTTATTTTTGATTCAAATACTGCTAATTAACACTATTTTAAGCTGTCCATATTATGGTATCTAAAACATATGATAGGCCTGTTCAATACTAAGTCATTGAATGATTTGAAGTGTAATACAGGATATATTATGCTCAGGAAAGAAGTCAAAAGAATATGGAGATCACAAAATTTATCCTATATTGCACTTCAAATCATTCTATAACGTTTTTATCATGTGATCTAAGGCTAATACATTTTATTTAATAAATAATCCCTAGGAAATATTCTGTATTCTCTGTATTGCTACGGAGATGATCAATGGGGACAATCTCAGTGGCAATACAGATTGGTACAGCACAAGAATTGACCTATCAGAGGGGTTCATTTCACAGATCATATAATAATATAAGTTATTGAATGATTTGAGTGAAGCATTATATTTTCTGTATTTCACGAGAAATCATTAAATATCAATAAAGTTTTTATTTTCAATTTCACTAGCTTAAGTGCAGCGAATCGTTTTTTCAACTCTTCATCTGCCATGCTGAGTTCATGAAAACAATGTACATGTTTCAAATTGCTCTCTTATATTCATGGGTGCATGTTTTTATCCTAAAAATGATTAATTGTCACGATTACAGTATCATTTCCTGATACTTAAATCAGTTATTTTTAGCCCGATTTATAGCAAAATGCAATGATTGGCACGCATTGTTGTAAACCAATCACCATTGATTTTTCCAGTAACAGTCATATCCTGGATGGAAATCTGGGCCGTGAGATACCATTGGGATACAGAATCCATATCCCTACGGTGACATCATTTTCACTCTGTATCCCACGCTAAGTTGAGAGTGCGTGTAAATACAGAATATATTTAAGTCACATGGACCAATCAGGTTGCAGGGAATTTCACCATCATGGAATAAAATGAGGCCTTTGATTTGTAGCATTATTCAAATGGCCTTTGATTATATTTGTATTCTCATTTAATTCAACATGCCCTTTGATTAATATTTTTGTAGCCTTGTTCAATACAATATGGCCCTTTAGCACCTCATGAAATACAGACTTTCTCGGGCAAAATATTTTCTGTATTTCACTCAAATCATTGAATAAGTTATAATGTTATACTTGTAGGTTCCTGATATATTCAATGTGCATGCAGTGTGGTACCATGGTAATACAGGTAACATATATGCCCTTACTGATGATAGAATTGTCTACATCTATGCAGATGAAAACTCCCTACATAAGCCTCCCATGCAGGTGACAGACCTTGACAATATGCTCCCCAGTCTGACGACCAATGAGATCCATGATATTCAGTTCATGTATGCACCAACAATAAACTTCACCAGGGTGTTCGAAGGTAAGGAATAAAAATGCATTTCTCATCCATTCTTTCATCTTATGAAAGTCAACTGACTTTACATCACTATTTTCTAACTTTCCAAAGAATAATTTGATCTTATTTGATGTTTGAAGGTTTTTCAATTTCATTTTTTTTTATATATTTCTATTATTTCTTATTATTTTAAATTTTTACTTATTCATATTTTATTCAATTTTGATGAAGTTATTCACATGTTATTTCTTATATATCAGAGTTTGAATGTTAAGAAATCATTAGCTACTAAAATGAGTAATTTTTCATTTTAAGAGTGTTGACAAAGCTGAACTCTTGTTAAGGGTATTTCCAGTTTGGGTCAAGAGGGGTCCGGTGGTTCTCTTTGAATTAGCTCACATTGCAGAAAAGTAAAAGAATAGAAAAATAATATTTAGTCTTGCCTCAAGACAGTGTAACCCCCCCCCCTGTACTTCACCTTCTGTTGTGTTTGGAAGGTGACGTACACGAGGGGCAGGGGGAGGGGTACGCAGTCTTGAGCCAAGACTAAAAAATTCTTATTTATTGAAAAACCCTGTAAAGTAATTCCTAATATGCCTGGGATAATTATGAAACTATGAGAAAGTCAACTTTCTTAAGGATCAATAGCCTGGTCCCGGATAAAAAGAGTCGTAGGTTCATTCGCTACTTAAGGGACCAATCACTTTTCAGTCCTTAGCACAGGATTACATTCTGTGTTTTCATTAACTACCCAGCCTATAGGAATATAAGTTTCTACATCCAGGTTTAAAAAGATCCAATGCCTATTAGCTTATAAAGATCAAGATGAAATCAATAGGAAATAAAGTCTCACAGACAAAACATAATTCACCTTTCAAAGCAAGCATCCTGAGGGGCCACTTGAGTTGCAAATGACGCGGGTAATTATACAAGATATAAAACTCTCGCAAAATCACAAAGAATACAACATTTCTAATTTGCAGATGCATAAATTATTTTAAATAATAATGTAAATGACAGTTATTTGGTACTGGATATCTAAAATTTTTCCCGTTTAGAAAAAGATTCATTCATTACTTTTGATTCAATCTAACAATAAAGATCTAATTGTAATTAGAGGAAATTCTGGAGAGGAAAGGATCAAATTCAAAATCAATCAAAACATGCCGAGCTTTAAAACCTGCAGGAAATATTGAATTTCCATTCCTTTTAGTTAGAAAATATTCTATTTTCTTATGAAAACAAACAAAGGGAAACATCAATAATAATCCATATAAGGCAATCTCCAGTTAGTTTCAAATGTTGCATGTAATTAGACAACCATATAAGGCGATCTCCTGTTAGGTAAAAACAGTACATGAAATTCGATGATTGAATCTCAAAAATAGGAATAAATAAATCCGACTAAAATGCAAGCAATAATAAATGTAATTTCCAAAACATGTATTTTTGTGTTTGAGTCACCTTCGTATTAATTAGAAGAAAATAATTTCTGTTCGGCCATTTAACCTTATGAAAATAGAACAGTATTTGTAGGCTGAGTATTTTGCATCATATTTTCACTTGGATATTAATGAAAAATGACGAGGTTTGTAATGCTAAATATAGAAACGGTTTTACACGGGGTTGAAAATTGTTTTCACAAGTGAGAGGTTATAAAAAACTGGTATTGGATATATGGCGGTAAAGCATCGCTCAAGCGGTGTAGCATATACATGTAGTTGAATTATGGCATCCACGTATGATTTACGAATAAAGGGTCATACTCCAAAGTTTCCATTATGTGTAAGGCTTATCAAGTTCAAATATCTAAGCATTACGTCAATTATAAAGTAGTTTAATTCGACGAAAACCCAAAATATCGAAATCGACACTTTCCGTCCACCATCTTAGATGAGAAGGTAACGGCTGTTACCGCATCTTGATACTGACCAGTGAGATTGTTAATACTGTTGATCAATGCCATTTAATAAATTTCAAACTGTTCAACTCCAGAACAAATTACAATTTGAATTTCACAGATTCATACCTGTATAGACTGTAGTTAAAATGGTTAAAACCCTTTGCGTTTTAAAGAAATTAGACACTTAAAATGCTTCATTTAACATAATACGTTGATTTCCATAATTTTTGTATTCTTGTTTTGTTGTATTAATTTGACAGTGTTTGTATACTGATTTGTGCATGCTTACATAATATTATCTCTGCATGAGACTTCTATTTAGACATTAGTTCTAAATAAATGATTAATTACTTTTTACTTAGCATTTCTTTTCAGTTGATGTGAAGAAACAACCAAATCTTCATGAATTTTTAATAACATTAAATAATCTGGAATTGATATATGTTCCAGGTGCAAACATCTGGCTCTACGAGAAAGACCTCCCAAAGACGTCACCGAACTATTTCCCAAAAGCCGCAAGCTTTGTTTACGGAGTTGGCATTCCAGCTGCCCCAGATGCTGTATTCATGACGGCAAGTGCATATTTCGTGAAGGACAACATCATTTTCATATCAAACGGAAGCGTCATTGACAGCTATGACATCACAGACCCTAATCCTACAAAAGAGTTCCAGAATGTCCCGGTGATTAATGGTATCACCTCGGCAACAGAAACAGGAACGACAGGAGTGTTTTTGTTTTTTGAGAACAGTGCATTTATCAGATACGACACGGCAACTAAACTGTACACGAAATCACGCTTACATGGCCCACAGTGATTTATATCAAACATATGTTGAACATTATAGACAAATTATTAGAAAAAGGACAATGCCCATATATACTTGCAATCTGCAACCATTATATTAGTGATGACTTGGTGCTATTCTAGTGACAAACGAGCTCTGACACAAAGTTGTCATTTATCATTTAAACACAGCAGTACAGCACCTTAATGGCACCAAATTATCAAAATTTTACAATATTTTTGCTGTCATCATTCCATGTCATGTTTATTTTCTAAAGTCTAAGGGTTTGACTAATATCAGGGTAATCCCTTGATTTTTAATTTCAGGTTATTTTACAAAAATAAAAAAGGTGGATTTCAATAGACAAGTTGCGAGTAGAAATAATCTTGATATATGTCATTTAAAATTCAAACTTCAGTCAGAGTGATACCATACTTAAAATCTACATGTAAATTTAAATCTAGAAATGTTGTTTTAAAAAGTGTTTCTCAACTTTGAAAATTTAGTTTTAATTTAGTTATATCGGTCAGATACTATTTTCTTTTACTGGAAATATTTTGATTTGTATAATTATCAGATACACAAGGGTAATATAAAAATTGAACCACTAAGACTGATGAATATTCAAGTTTAAGGGAACTTTCTAATACCCTGCCATGTTATCTACCCTGAATTAGCCACCTGGTGGTGAAAATGGTAACTACCTACTTGCATCTTGGTAATTCAATTCTAATGAATTTAGACATTTCTGCATCGTAAATCTACCCTCCTATTTGAGCAAATATCTCAATTATTTTTTCAGAAAATAAAATAGGGTCATTAGGGAAACATTGGCAGACTTTTTGAAATGATTGTTTCAAACATTTCACACTCTTTAATCTTATTGTCCCTTTAATTTGAATATTTCATTCTTAATGTGAAAAAAGGACATCATATTTATGTTCTAGCCTTAATATATACATTCCATTTCATATGTAAAACCTGAAACCTATCTGAAAGGTGATATTATTTATTCTATTTTCTTTTATCTTTTGCTTATATTAATTTTGGTTAATCAAAAATGGAAATAAAAAATCAAGGGTACACCTTAACCTTACTAGACTGTGGTTTAAAATAGAAAATGTTTATGAATATTAAAAAATTTGTTTGTTTTCTGTCGGGCTGTCATAAACATAAATGTGGCCTCCCGTGATCTAATGAATAGAATAATGATAGATTGAGATATGTTAATCTAGAGCAGGAACTGTAAATATTATGAGTATTATAGATTATTATATCACTGTCATATTCCTCACTCTCTGATTAGTCCATATCCTATGCATGACTTGGAAATAAGAGGATGTACTTCATTTATTTCATATTTCAAGAGAGTGACCTTATATAAAAGCATACAATGTATTGACCTGGCTTATTCTTGCTGGTATGATGTATTTAAAACTCTAGCAATCTTCATTTAGCTGATTACTGTAATTAATGGTGAACCATTCAGAGAAATATAAAAGTGAAAAATATAACATATTCTATTCTATTTTCAGTGAATACCTGCGTCCCTTTCAAAATATCATAGTTTCCTATTATAATAGTATGTACGTACATGTATTGGAGCTACGGGAAATATAACTTGTGAAAGAGACGGGCATTCACATCAGTGGAATGGAATATTTCACATAGAGTATATATTCTTCTAAATCTTATAAACGTAGACTGTATAACAAATTCTAAACTTTGAATTCATTTATCTATTTAAATTAATTTGAAATGAATAAACAATATACAAAATAAACAAATTGTCTTGTCATTCACTGTAGTACTAGAGCAGAAGTTATAAACTATTTTTTAATGTTGCATGGCATAATTTTGGTGGTTTTAGTTGATTTCCTGCTTTGTCTACCTGCCCTGACCTCTATTGATAGCACAAGGATTCCATAGCTATGGTATTTTTCTGAATTTTTTCAGGATTAGTAAAAATGACACGACAAAGATTTTCAAATTATTAATCTTATGGTAAAAGCAATAATTTTTTATACGTATTGTAGCAGGCAGTTACAGGAGTAGGAAAGAGGATTTGTTCCAGTGAATTAAGTCCATTGACTCCATTTTACTGGTCTACTTAATAGTCTGGATTTGTTTATGATATATTATTTGCAAGGTTGTCCAACCTAGATCACCAACAATGTCCAAAATGAAAAATTGATTTCATGGTTAATGTTGAAGTTGTCATCAGGTTTTTGATTGACTGAGAAATCTTACCAATCTCAAATGGACAAGTTCAGATCTGAGGGGACAGTAGTGAACAAGTTGATGGCTGATAAAATATTTTCTACTCATTTTCTAAATTTTTACTACACCCTACAACAGAAAAATGAAATACTTCCATTTTTGAGCATCCCAGATCATAATGAATACCTCTTCTTTTAATGCAAAGTCAATGGGACCTTAATTACAGGTGTTCTGCCTGAAGTGCAATAATTTGACAAGTTAAAAAGAAATTAATTGGTCAGAGTTTTGAGAGAGAGATTGGAAATTATAACAAGGCATTCACATGCAAAATGTCACCACTTGCCATTTGTTACAGACATCGAGTGCTAGACTCTGAATTCCAAACACCAACCACTGAACGCCATCACAAAATGTTGGAGATCATAACAATATGTCACAACTTGCGCTGGTAATGTAAAATTGCAGTGCAAAGTAATAGAAGGCAGCTATGGCTAGGAAATGACAAATGCAAAAAAGACAATATCAAAAATTGTTGAACACAACATTTTTCATTTATTGACACTTTAATTTTTTGAAATGCTAATTCGCAGCTATAATTCATAGTGACAAGTACATAACAACTGATTGTTCATTGTTCACTGAAAGGAAATGAGGCATGGCTTTCTAATTCTTCCTTTCTCAACTATTCATCTGATATGGCAACTTGGCAATTTCTTAAAATCACACATACATGTATATAAGCTTGTACAAGGCATTAACATGACAAAATGTCACCACTTAGTTGTTCACAATATTATGAATCTTTTTTTCACCTAAAGAAGGTCATTAAAGGTCAAATATCAAATCTAAAGTCAGTTTTGACATTCTGAGAACTTGAAGGTGATTTTGAAAAAAAGGTCAATATGAAACAAGTTGAAAAAATTCCTTTTTTGACCTTTAGAAGGTCATTGAAGGTCAGATCTTAAATCTAAAGTCAGATTTGACATTCTGAGAATTTGAAGGTGATTTTGAAAAAAAATTGGTCTATATGAAGCAAGTTGAAAAAAATCCTTTTTTGACCTTGAGAAGGTCAGATCTTAAATCTGAAGTCAGATTTGAACTTTTTAAAACTTGTAGATGATTTTGAAAAAGGAAAAAATACCTTTTGATATTTTTAACCTTTTTTGACCTTGAGAAGGTCATTGAAGGTCAAATCTTAAATCTTAAGTATGATTTGAACTTTGGGAAACTAGGTAGATGATTTTAAAAATTGAAGTCAGTCTATACAGTTTTCGTTAAGTTATTGAAATTTGTTGCAGACGCCAATTGCCAACCATCGCCCGCTGATCGCCAACTGCCGTCACAAAAAATGGAGACCATAACAATATTTCACCACTTTTTGGTGGTGACATAATAGTATCCAAACCTTAAAGTTACTTATTAATCAATATTCTTGATAGTTGAAAGCATCTTTGGAATATTATGATCAGGCCCGTAGCCAGGGGGGGGGCCAAAAATTCTTTCAAAATCATACTTATTAATCAATATTCTTGTTAGTTGAAAGCATCTTTGGAATATTATGATGAACAGAAAATGCATCAAAAAGTCATTATACACTCCCAATATTTATGCAAATCTGTCATAATGTCATGAAACTATTGTTTGTACATAGAGTAATACCTACATTGTCACTGGTGACAATTTTTAAATTCTTGCATTAATAAGAAAAATATATGTTGATCAAAAAATCAATGACCGATTATTTAAGTCTAAGTTGTTGATCCAATGTGACAGGAGATTTACGAGATGGCGGGGGATAAGTATCTGAATTATAACGCAATATTTCTACATCAGAGCTATCTCATTAAATGAGAATATTTATCAAAAGCTCTTAAATAAAATACATTAAGTCATAACTTTTCTCTCTGATTTCACAATAAAAGAGAGAAATATAGCTACAATAAGAACAATGGACATTAAGATTAAACTTCATAATATAAAGATATCTTCAAAAATTTAGCAACTGGGTCATTTTTTGATGAGAATTACGAAAACCAAATAACAAGAGTGACTTTTTAAAAGTCGATACTTGTAGACATTTTGGAAGCATCGAAAAGCCACTGGAGAAATATGATTCTTGGTTTAGGACTTTATGTTATTTATTTATGAGAGACTTCATGGACAAATAAGGACAAAAACTAGATAAGGCCGGAAAAAACTTTTAACGGGACACAAGGAGTCAATAGTCGCGAAAAATGAGGAAAAAATCCCAGACGATAAATATGTTGCATCAAATTTTGAAGAATTAAATTAAGGAGATTAATCATTTTTTAATTCATATAATTATACACTTGGGATATCATGGAGATATTTTCACAAATGATTTTACAATTAGTGTTTATATTGAGCAGGGTTGCTATCATAGACAGCTACAAATCCGCATATTTTAATCTAATATCGAAGCATAGTGTTATCTTAGGGCACAGCTTGGGGTCTTTTGTTACACGGGGACAGACAGAGTGTGCACAAATGTGTACACGTGACACTGAGTGTTTGTCCTTTAACCTAGAGCAAGGCACAAATACAACAAGACTCTGTGAGTTAAACAGAGATACAAAAACAACAAGTTCCTTGGTGCCAAGAGAAAATTGGTTGTATTATGAGCGTGAAAAAAAGGTAAGAGAAATACATCTGCATCAGTTAGATCATTGTATGGGCTGGGGTATTGGGGTTTGTTCTGTTAGAACCAGATGTTTTATTAAATGTTCTTTTTGCTAACTTTTAAATATGTTTTTGGTCTCTTCCTCTATGCAACTTTTTAGCACATATTTACATACATGGAAATGTCACGTTGACAACACAATGAAATTCTTCACATTGACAACATAATATAATTCTTCAAATTAACAACATAATGAAATTCTTCAAATTAACAACATAATGAAATTCTTCACATTGACAACATAATGAAATTCTACACACAAACAACATAATGAAGTTCTTCATGTAGACAACATAATGAAATTCTACACATTAACAACATCATGAAATTCTACACACAAACAAGTTACAACATAATGAAATTCTTCAAATCAACAACATAATGAAATTCTTCACATTAACAACATAATGAAATTTTTCACATTAACAACATAATGAAATTCTACACATTAACAACATCATAAGATTCTGTATTTTCAAATGAAATTTTGCTATAAAATGGCCAATACAGCGAAACATAAGTAATAACTCAAACCTAAATAAAACTTTTTAAAGTCTTAACTCTTTAGGTACCGAAGAGTTTCAACGTTTATGCAGCATGGATGTCTAAAACTGGTCGAATATTTGTCGTAGTAGAAAACCAGGAGATCTTTGAATACAAAGATGTTAACGCAATTGGACAACCTCCTGAAGCAGTTACCGACATAACAACTAAACTTGGAAGCAGTGCTGACATCCCAATTGGCAACATTGATGCTGTGCTTACTGAGGGTCAAATTGTTGAGAAAATACACATGTTTCAAGGTAAACAGAAGCTTACTGAGGGGCAAATTGTTGAGAAAATACACATGTTTCAAGGTAAACAGAAGCTTACTGAGGGGCAAATTGTTGAGAAAATACACATGTTTCAAGGTAAACAGAAGCTTACTGAGGGGCAAATTGTTGAGAAAGTACACATGTTTCAAGGTAAACAGAAGCTTACTGAGGGGCAAATTGTTGAGAAAATGCACATGTTTCAAGGTAAACAGAAGATTCTTTGAGAAAATATCATAATTGCTTAAAAACTGTCTAAATATACATAATTTACAGCTTGAAAACAGCCACTCAACTGACCATGAAAATTTTAAATCTTATATTATATTATTCAGACAGGCGCGTGACCAGGAATAAACAGGGCTACAGAGTTGCCTACCCTAAATGATGGAGTAGTGCCCCATTACACAGAATAATATCACACAGAATGCACCATTTAAGGCCCTTGGCCTTGCATACCTGCTATCAAAATTCTGGTTACGCCACTATCAGATAAATGCAAAGGCCACAATTTAGGCAATTTTATCATTTATTACTTGATTACACTTTTAGAACAGTGGCACAGGCAACAATAAATAGTGCATCCATATGCCATGCAAGCATGTTGGGAGGTCCTGAATAATACATAAACCCTTCACAGGCAGTCTGTGTTAACTTCACATTTCAATGTCCAAACTAATCGTTTGGACAGCTTTAATGCCATTAGGGCTTGCACTAAGCCATGGGATTGATATTTAAACATAAAAAAATTCCATTTTTTCTTACAGGGGATAAGTTGTTCATGGATGATGCAAAAGTTACCATTACTTCAGCGCATCCTGACCTAAGAGTAACTGATATAGCATGTGCGTTAAAACGTGATGCTGACACAAAAAACTTTTTGAAGGACAACACCATGTATAACATAGTTGGAGAAGTCATAATAGCTGATGTGACACTGGCGAATGAAGGAGTGGACTTCCGTAATCTCCCAAAGGGAATTACAGCATGCACTGAAGCCAACACAAATAAAAACAAATTCTTGTTTTTTGTAAATAATAAATTTGTGCTCTATAACAAACAGATCAAGAGTATTGAAAAGAGTGGATATCTCATGGCTCCTCTTAAATGAAAAACACTAAATTTTAATTTTGATAAAATGCTATCAATGACGGAATTACTCAAATAAGAAGAAAGAGTAAATAAAAACGAAGCAGACATTAAAGGGTTACAATAAGCTTCCGATTTAAAAAAACAATATGGTGGCTCCAGGGGAGTCAACTGGATCTGTCCATTTTTAACAAATAAGGGGAGTTTTGTAAATTCCAGTTTACTGACATGGTCTTGAAGATAAAACAATCAGTTAACAATGATTCTGTAAACATTGAGAGAGTGACTTATCAAAAGGATCATCAGTCAATATAAATCCTTTATATTAAAACTGCTTTGTTCCATTTGTAGGACACTACATATGCAATGTTATATGCTAATATGTGATTGCTAAATCTAGATGTCAATTTTTCCTATTACAGTATTACACACAAATAGAAGATCGTGAAATTTTACCCACAGATGTAAATTTTTCCTATTTCAGTATTACACACAAATAGAAGATCCTGAAATTTTACCCATTTGTCAAAATAAAAATCTCCCTTTTATGAATGTGAGACAATCTATACAAGAGGAGGGAAAGCCCTTAAGCTTTAGAGATGACAGACACAATTACGTCTCTTGCTTACCACCTTCGTTTGTTCAAATTTTCACTGACTAGTTGTCAAATACTACACTTCAATTTGATATTTTAATTGATGTAGACATATTCCATACACATTTTTTTATCTTGATGTGAAATAAGAAGCTATGATATTAGTTAACACACCAGAAATTAACATAATATTATTCGAAGCCTATTTCGAAAATTTTGAAGCTGCCATTGATGATGTCAATTGTTTGTTGATTTTTGACCAATCAGAGATGTATGTGATCTCAACACAGGTTTACATTATAAGCATATGTCATCTTTGAACTCTGGGGTTATTCCCCCTCTGTATCTATACTATACTATAGCTACATAGAGGCAGAGGTCATACTGTGTACTCTTGAGTATTATTCCAGGATTGTGCCTTTTATACTAAACGGTGAGCAACACCAAAAACAAAGCGTTTGATTTGCTAAACAATATGTGTTATGCTTTAAAAGGTTTATACAGTGAATAAAGTAATGTGCGTGTATATAATGAAGTAAAGTTTTGTATGTGTTGTTTGTTGGTATGGATGAGATCTCCAATAGTCAAGGTGATCCATCAGGGATAGTCAAAGGTAATCGAAGATAATATATAATAGTCAAAGGACACAGGCAAAAGTCAGAATCAATGGGTCTATATGATAATCAATTGGGTTAATACATCACAGTCTATGAGTTACAGTGGGTCATCATGATAAACAATACTAAGAGCTAAGACAATAGTCAATGGGTCTACATAATGATCAATCAATAGATACAATGTGGCCAAGCATTGGATAAAAATTGGCTCAGTGTTCTCAACAGAATATTTTCTCAAGTGGGTGCAAAATTCTCATTTTCTCAATTCAAAGTTGGTCCAAATAAACCAACTTTTCACGATTTTTCTCAATTCCAAGTGGGTGCATGCAAATGGATTTTCAGATGGGAGCAAGCCTGTTTTCAAAATCTCAGGTGGGTGCTGTGCCCATTTGCTTTAAAGCTGGGGAGATCACTGACACTGGTGCTACTGAAAATTCACTTACCATATCCCCACTTTGAGGCTAGATGAAGGGCTGTGTCCCCAGCATCATTACTTGCGTTTATATCAATAGGAGTCCCTGAACCTTGGTCATGTTCTACCAATGCCCGAACACACTGCAAAATACATGAATTGATGTATCTTAAGAGTGCTGTCATTAACAGGCCTCAACACTCCACTCAAGTATCTACCGTAATATATTGTGTACAATTTAAGCACAAGGGTCTTGTATGAGATTTTGAATGAGGGTGAGAGCCTGAACTCAAAGCTTAGCATGCAAGACATGAGTGCATTAAATCACCAACAATTTATTCAGCCCCCTGCTTTAATTCTTTATGAACATAACAAAATAACCATTCATTTGTTATAAAATATAGAAATGCATATTATATCATATACTGTGTTCTGATTGGTTGGAATGTGATCTCATGCCAAGCTATGTGTGAAATAATATTCAAGAATATTATAGTTGTCTATTGGGAGTTTAGCTTGCAATGTTTTCACAACCTAAACCTGAACAGAAATATTTAAGCGATGCATTTGTATGGGCGATTGGTCATACGTATAGGTTGTGGTTTCGATTTTATATGCAAGCTTAAAGGGGCAATAAAGACTGTAGAGAAAATAGGAAAGTTTTTTCATTTTTTCTGAGCTTTCAAGGCAATATTTGGTTTAACATCTTCTTTGACATACCTATTTTCTTAAAATGTATGGATAAATTATCAATTTCAGCATTAAGAAGTGTAAATTCAGTTCAAAACTTCAAAAAGGGTACTTCCACTTTTATATTTTTAAGATCCACCATGTTTCAAGAGGAATATCAGCTAAAATAATGTTAATCTAGGGGGTTTCTTTGTAGATAATAAAAATAGACGTTAGTCTTGATGAAATATACAAACTTAAATATATTTTGACACTGGTCCATGATCGTTGAATGACCCCTCTGCACTAATTATTGCACCTTTAAACTCCCTATTGTGTATGTCTCACCTCTTCATGACCATTAGCAGTACATAGGTGTAGAGGGGAGCTCCCATCATTATCACAGGCATTAAGATCACATTTGTAGTGGAGTAATAGCAACTGGAATATAAATAACAACTCGTGAAATACAAATAACAACTGGAATACAAATAACAACTAGTGAAATACAAATGACAACTGGAATACAAATAACTAGTGAAATACAAATAACAACTAGTGAAATACAAATAACAACTGAAATACAAATAACAACTGAAATACAAATAACAACTGGAATACAAATAACAACTAGTGAAATACAAATAACAACTGCAATACAAATAACAACTATTGGAATACAAATAACAGCTAGTGAAATTCAAATAACAACTAGCATACAAATAACAACTGGAATACAAATGACAACTAGTGAAACACAAATTACAACTGGAATACAAATAACAACCAGAATACAAATAACATAGGTTGAAATATGAATAATGTCAGTTGAAATACAATGACAAAAGCTAAAATACAAATAACATCTTTTGAAATACAAATAACATATACAAAAAAATAAACATCTTTTGCTGAAATATGAATACAATTTGCTGAAATCCAAATAACATATCCGCAAATAGCATGTGTAATAGAAACGTCAATACAAATAACACAATAACATTTATTGAAATAATATCTGATAGACCACAAAGAACGAAAGGAGGAAAATACTATTTTGATACACCAATCCTGTGATCTATTATGAGTGACCAATATGTAGAGAACATACCGCAACAGTTTTGTGTCCCCGCTGGCAGGCTAAGTGTAGGGGAGTAGAGCCATGATAGTCTGCTGCATTCACTACAGCCCCTTTCTTTATGAGTACTGAGAGACACTCAGATTGACCATTTGCTGATGCCATGTGGAGGGCTGGAGAAAACAATATAACAAGGCATTAAAAACAACCTACCATTTGTCAAAGACACAGACAGCCTACCACCAAATACCAACCACCAACTGCCAAACACTGTCTGCATAAAAGCTGGAATCTGTAACAATATCTCACCACTTCTGGTGGTGGGATAAAAATGTTTCATTTTACAAAATAAAATATGGAAATTTTTTTTTTGATCAAAGGCCTAAATTGAGAAATTTTATGAAATTTGCAACAACTCAAGAAAAAATCTAAGAGAGAACACTGAAAAGTATACCATACCTGTATAACCTCTATCGTCTCTAGAGAATACTGTCACAGTGGAAGAGTCACTCCTACTTCTTGAGAGCAATGCCTCACACTTGTCACATGAACACAACGGGTGACATAGTTTCAGAGCTGTGTCATCTATGTTCTTTTGGTGTTTTGATAATACATCAGAAACTTGTTTAAATTTGCCATCCTTGACTAGCTACAAAAAAACAAGGCACACGGTGAACAATAGCACACCTTAACAGAACATATAGTCTGAAATCAAAAATGCCTGCTTTAGAATTTGCCAGCATGACCAAAAACTTAAAACTTTGAGATTTTCAAATCATAAAAAGTCTAAAAGTTGTCTCTTAAGAGCAGAAAAGAGTTTATTTACTACAAACTGACGACAATATTGTACCTTTTTTAGCTTAGAGTTTTTGCTTCATGAAAGTCAACTTGTGTTTTTAAATTCATTCTAACTTGTTATGTACCTGAAAGAGGATATCCAATGCTTGTGTATCTGCCCCACCCCCACTATCTTGTCTCCATAAACCACCTGGGCTAGAGGAAGGAGGACTTGTGGATAATTGAAGCTTCTGAAAATATCAAAAGTCAATGTCAGTGTTTCATCATTACTGTGAAGCTAAAATATTTGGAGATAATTGACGAGTAAACTGACATCCCTTTATTTCTTAATATGAATGAACAGTCGCAACATCTTTTCATTAAAGTGTCATGAGAATTCAAGGTCATTAGTCACACAACAGCATGATATTGGATAACGAATGCATGATTAAAGTTTAAGAAAAATATTACAGCATTTATGATTTGAATTACCACTCCTACTAAGTATGATATGAACAAAGGAGTCAAGGTGATCTCACAAACAAATCAAAAAATTTTTTTTTGAAAATACAGTAGAACCTGTCTAAGTGGAACACCTTTGGTACCTGTAAGAGGTGGTCCACTTAGATGTTCCACTAATTGAGGTTAATCGTTAAGTCTGTTAGTCTTGGGACTCTGCAAGTGTTCCACTAACAGAAGTGTTTCACTTCTAGAGGTGCTTACAGGTTTTACTGTGTAATTCTTACCTGGGGGTTTGCAGCTCCAATTTGTATATTATTGAGTTGTCCACTGTTGACATGTTCTATAACTGCCTCTAATGAAGCAAGGTAAAATCTACAATAAATATTGTATCCAAGTAAATGAAATATTATGTATTTGACAGTTTTTGGCTCTGGGCAAAATCTTGAATCTTGAAAGATTAAACTTGATATACATATACAGCCAAATATAGAAATGTTATGATTTGATTGGTTTTATTTGTTTTGGGCAAAATTGAGAAGAAATGGTCAATGACAATGTTATTTTCTATTGATTTGCAATTACCATGGAGCACTTCTCAACAAAGGAGGGTGGAAGAAGAGAATTTTCTTATTGAGATAAGGCATAAGGAAGATACATGTTTTATCTATTGTATGTAGGATCTATTGAAATAGGTAATAAGCCCTCTTCAGAAAACTTCCACAAGTAACACTGGTATTTTGACCAAGTCCATTAAATGTAATCATTCTCACCCAAACTCGTCATCATTGCTCGACTTAGAGAAGCGGAAGTTTGTCATAAACGTCAGATTTGCACGCCAGTTTGGTGTCTCCGACTTCACAACAACAAATATGAGGATGGGTAGCAGGTCATCCGTTGTTATGGGAACAGCCTCCACTACAAATCAAAAAATAAAATCATCTAATAATTCTGCTAAAATGTTTTACAATGAAACAAGGCGTTAACATGCAAAATGTTACCACATGCCATTTGTTACAGACATTGACTGCCATGCCGAACACCACCTTCAAAGAAGTTGGAAACTATAACAATATGTCACCACTTCTGTTGATGTCATAGTATCTGAAGTTTTCTGTAATCATATAACACCTCTTATACCATAGTTGAGGTCAAATCTGTAGAATAACACGTATTATATATTTATGATATTTTGCAAATGCGTGGAAAAAAGCGATATCTCTGGAAAATGGAGAATATTACACAGATATCACTTTTTCCACAGATTTTTTCCACAGATCTATGCTCACTCTTCCAGATATTGATATCAACTTGTGGATAAAGATGATATCTCTGAAAATCATAGGATATCCTATACATATTCATGATTTCTTACCTCCTTTCTTGAGTATTTTGGGAGGTTGCATTATGGCCTGTACAGCTCTTCGAACACAATAGAGTTTACCAAGAGGGGTTGTATATTTGTTTATACTGGACAGTTCACGTCTTGCCTTTGGCACATTGTGGCTGAAATGATGATGGACACTTGTTTGTTTATTTGTTTGTTTGTTTATTCATCTGTTTGTTTATATCCTTTTTTAGGCGTTTTAATGCTTATGAGTTTTACTTCATACTCTGTTGTTTTATAGATCCTTATTTCTGGTTATTTTTTAAAAACATTTCTCATCCATCCTTATCTAAAATCTCTTTTTGCATGTACTATTGTGCTTCAATTAATTCATTACAGAGTGGCCAAATATTCTATGAATAGCCACCCATTAATAGTCTAATCATTCTATGCTATTTCTAAAATATAATACATTTATAAGAAATAAATAACATACCAAAACTCAGATCTCACTCCAAGGTCTCGAAGTTGCAGCTCAGACAGATTTCTTGTTATTTTGTTTAGTTGTGAGTCATTCGCAGCCAGACAGGCTCTTACACTCTTGAACAGCTTCTTGTAAATACCATGCATCACATAGGTCTGGCAAGACAATATAACATGCTTTATATGAGACAGTCTGATAAATAAATTAATCCAACCATCTTAGGACATTACACAGGACAAAGGCAATATAATACTATTAATTAGGCTATCATTTATTTTATATTTTCATGGTTTCCTTTGGACAAAATGTCTGCACTAATATTTTTCATTAAATTTTGGCAAATTAGGCAAATGTCTCTTGCCTGGTTTTCATAAACACCTGGTTTCATAAACACCCATATCTAAACAATGTGCTTCATAAAAGATTAAAAACATGTATCAATATAATTAATTTATATGTTAGATTATCTACCTCCACTGCAGTTTTCAAGCTATCCATGTATGGTTTACTGTGGCGGGATGTCCTTTTCTAAAAAATACAATTTTGAAATGTGGAAAATACCAACAAGGGGAATAAATAAATATGAACTTAATATGCATTTATTACTTCTTTTTTTTAAATATCTGAAGATTTTTCAATATGAAAAATCAATAAATCATACTTTTTGTTTTGCGTCATGTAGTTGGTTTATAATATATTTCTTACCAGATAATTGTCCTTTAACACAATCTGCATGGCTCTGGTGAAAACAGAATGTGCTGCATCCTGAAATTAAACATTTACATTGTCATATTAATATATTCATGCCAACAATCACCATGTCAACATTGCCATATCAACATCACCATGGCAACATTGAATGGCATGCATATCTGCCCCCCCCCCCCTAAAAATACACCAAGGATATAACAGTAAATGATATGGTGTTTTTTATTATTATTAATTACTTGCATTCACTTTTAATTGTGCACTAAGTTAATACTAAAACAGCAGTTAAAAACAAACATGTTTCTCACCATGTTATGCCTGAGTGACTCTCCCTCCAGTCGATTGTAAGATTCATTGAAGAACTCAACTAGATCATCCAACTGTCTCTTTGTCTTCCTACTAGCTGGAAACCACATACTAGTACATAACACTGATTGGACAAGAACGAATTGGGCATATAATAGAGAACATGAAAATAAGATCATTTCATATAAGACTATAATATTATGTATATTATGAGTTGTTGACCACTCAATGAAGTACCCCAAAGAAATCGCTATATCTTGGAAAATACTAATCCAATTATGTTCATATTTTCAGGAAAGAAAGAAGAGACTGTGTATGTATAGCCCCTGTTGTTATTTAGTTGTAAAACATGATGTCTTGGACGCTTGCTCAAAAGACAGTTTTACTAGCAAAATACGAAAAACGTGAATGGAAAATCACTTTATCTTGGAAAATACTAATTCAATTATGTTCATTTTTTCTTGAAAAGAAAGAAGAGACTGTGTATGTATAGTTCCTGTTGTCAGTAAGTTGAAAAACATGATGCCTTGGACACCTGCTCAAATGACAGTTGTACTAGGAAAATATGAAAACGCAGTCAGAGGTGACTGCCACAGCAATAAAACCAAATAACTTTCTAACCATAGTGTTTTGGCACTTCAGATTTGGCACAAATTATCTTCATTCAATTTGTGGAGTTTCATCGAAATCACTCCAGGGACTTTACAGTCATGGTCAAAATGCCTTCTTAAGTCTCCCTGAACTAGGGCGTTTGATTGCGATTTGAAAGCATTTTGACCATAACTGTAAAGTCCACAAAGTGATTCTAATTTCCCTCTACAGATTTACCATACAGTAAATGAAGATGATTTGTGCCAAATTTGAAGAGCCAAAACACTATGGTTAGGAAGTTATTTAGTTTTTTGCGGTTGCAGCCACCCCTGACTGCATTTTTCGTATTTTCCTAGTACAACTGTCTTTTGAGCAGGTGTCCAGGGTATCATGTTTTACAACTAATCATTTACAGGAGCTATACATACATAGTCTCTTCTTTATTTCCTGAAAATATGAACATAATTGAACCAGTATTTTTTAAGATATAGCGATTTCTTTGGGTTGCATTTTTTTTGAACACCCTGTACACGTATATAATAAGGTAGATTATAACATACCTATGATGATGTATAGTGCAAAGTGTACACAAGACAGCGGGCCAATATAAGTTTTGAAAAGCCTGCGCCCGCTAACTTTCTGATTGGTCAAGGCGCTGACTTCATAACCAATCAATCGAAGATAAAACTGCGCGAGCAATTTTTCGAAACTCATTTCAATCATTTTCAAACAATTTGTTTGTCAATTCTATAAGAAAACGGTACTCTCTGACCAGTCTACATAGGTATGTTATAAATCGTTTATGTCACTATCGTGGCACATATGCCCTCGGTTCTCAGAGATCAATGTCCCTCCCAAGGTCGGGCCATATATCACTGACACCTCGGGCATATATGCCCCGATAGTGACATAACCTCTAAATTTCATCTGAGATGGGAATCCAAATATAATGTATAAATGTTTGACAGCTTAGCATACTGAATGCCCTGTACAATGTAAAAGACAACTGCCATTACCAGTATGTAGATTATTACCTGTATGCCCCCATAGCAAGTCAGTGCAATCTTCTATGGTTTGTAGGGAAATTACAGGTACAGCATCAGCACCCTCAACTGTCAAATGAATGAAAATAAAAATTACAACAAGGCATTAACATGACAGAATGTCACACCTTGTAAGTTGTTAATTTTTAATTTGTTAAAGACACCAAACCCCAAACACGGTCAACAAAAAAGTCGGAGACTATATAAAATATGTCACTACTTCTGGTGGTAACATAAAAAAGTGAATTTGGTATTAAAATAGAATTTTTGGACTTTGGTGTTCTAACTGTACTGTCCATGATATTTTTCTCAGTAAAACCTTAGATTTTTAACACCGATAATAAGGTATACAGAAGTGAAAATTATTGGTATGAGGTAACCGAGGTTGAGATGAGTTATTTTAGTTTACTTGAATAGAAAAATACATTTAAATATATTACATTTGCCTCCTTCTAAAGGAGAGTTTATACACAGGACCCTGTAGCTCTCGTCACTCTTGTTGTAGAATGTCTCCTCAAATAATATATTCACCTGGAATGTGAAAGTAGAAAATGTGAAAATTTGAAATCTTTAAGTTGAAAATATGAATTAAGAAGGGGGAACAATCAATGTGATTAAATGAGATGAAAAGCATAAAGCATACAAAAATCATTATGCGATGATCAAAGTTCATTTCCCATGTATAACTACTTTAATGAACTGCTATTGGCTAAATTAATTCTGAACAAACTTCCCAATTTTGGATGATCTACCTGTAGCTGTGAATAACCTTTAAACATTTGTCAAAGGTCCCATGTAAAGTTTTTTTTGCTAGCAACTTACAGTTCTTATATCTTTAAACCCTGAGCCTGTTGTGATAGCATTGTCTTGTATCAGCACTTCCTATAACAAAAATTAACATACATTTGGATCAACATTTTAGAACATGTAAGAAACTTGAGTGCTTTTGAATTTCTTTTTGTTATAGCTGGTGCAATTTAGTGTGTTCTGATTTTTGTAATAGTGAAATGAAGTTTAAAATAGAGCTAACCTTTTCATTGAGAGTCCTGTATGAGTTTGGCCGATCATCAATGGCTTGCAAGATATGAGTTTTAAAGTTCTCTTCGGTAAATGCAGATTTGGGGATTGTCCCTATCTTTGGTATGGAGATCTGTAACAAAGATATAAGTTGTATTGAACAGGTATTTCGAGTCAAACAAACTGATATCTCACTGATCTCTACAGGATTTTTACTCAAGTGGATGCATAGTTCTCATTTTCTCAATTCAGATCAAAATTGGTCAAATTATGCCCATTTTTCATGAAATTCTCATTTTCAAGTGGGTTCAAGCCTATTTTTAAAATCTGGGGTGGGTGCTGCGCCCACTTGCTTAAATCTGGGGAGATCACTGTATCTATAGGATAAGTTTAACCATATCTAAGTGTCTCAATGGCCACAGCTATACTACTCTAGATCTATTTCCTTTTACCCTGTAAAATCAATAAATTGATATCATTTTCTAAAATATAATTTGAATTAAATGGTGTTCCTTTTCATGTCTGATTCCCTCATAAATCTTTATCAAGCATGGGCTTTCAATTAGAGTTGAAAGCCCATGTATCAAGCAACATCATATTGGTACAACATGATAATTGCAACTGTCTAAATGCTGTATAATAGTATACTATGTATTTTTTAATCAAATGAAGAAAAACCGAATCTAAAACTTACCATCCATCTCTCTGTCGTAGCACGATGGAAAATGTCTGGAGCCTTGGACTGTAGGCCAATATAGAAGACATTTTCCAACAGGTCTTCATCATAAGATTGTAACATCTTTTCTCAACACTGTAATACGTTATGTTATCAAAAGATTAATACTGAGGCATTCAAAGAGCATTGTCTTACTGAATACTGGACATAGAAAGGAGGCATTAGAAATATATTTTCGCACGTGGTTGAAAATTGTGTCTTTATTGAGTCAGTGACCAAGTTAAACATATGGGAGTAAACAATAAAATATGGGCTACAGTTCATGGTAATGATGATCGCAACCTATTGATCGCAACAACACAAAATTATTGTTCATGGCAGATTTGTTAGCATAAAATTGAAGATGTAATCTGAGAATGTAGCAATGATCCTGAAACAGATTTCCTGGTTATTGAAATGTATGTTCTATACAGATATACTGATTTTAAGGGAAGTTATCACGTATCTTATATCTATCATGTCTATATGTCATGTCAGGTGACTTGTTTTTGATAGATCTAGAGAAAAACATGAAAAATTTGATTAGACCTTTTTTCAATTTTATAGTGTAAATCGATCAGAATTATTTAATTTATAACATTGCAGATATACTCACAGTTCACTGTATGTCCCTCAATCTGAATATTGTACACTAACTAATGTGTAAGAGACGATATTTGACCATTTTCTATTTTGAAATGTTGACCTAAACTAACTTCCGGTACATTATCATGACACACCAGATATACTTTTCAACTTCAATCAAAGCGGGAGATTCAAAATTGTAAAAGTTCATGAGTGTAATGCACGGGAAGTAAGTCACCCCCGCCTTTATTAGATTTATATTCCATATTGTTATAAAGGTGGGGGGACTTACTCCCATGGGGTAATGATGAGATAAGCAAAGTGTGGTAGAACCCATGTCCAAGGTTTTCCTCCTGTTGTCATAATGTTTAGAGTTAGATCAAGGAGAATTGGACCCCAGGGTTCAAACTCAATATTTTTATCTCCAAGCAAAATTTTCTTCAGTTTTGATTTCTATGGCAAAGGGTGGATGGATGAACTGCAAGGAGAAGAATGGCAGATATTCTAGCGATAATCGACTACAACAATGAAAATATCTTATTGTTCGATATTCAAATGGGTATAAAATCGATCCAAAAGATTTGAACCAATATCCTGACCACATTCTGTTTGGAAATAAGACCAAAATTGCGATTCAAATTCTGATGTGAAAAATTGCAGCATTGTGCATTGCATTGTAGGGGGGGGGGGGTACTCCCATATATTGGCTATATGGGGATGTGCCGCTAAAGTGGGTCACTTTTTCGCCGAAAAATCCCTAGATATGGGTCCCATTTTGATGAAAAAATCCCTAGAACTGGGTCTACTTTTTGAAAAATCCTAAAACTTGGTACTGTTTTTTAATCACCGCAAGTGCGTCTTGTTTTTTAAAAATTACCTTGAAGTGGGTCTATTTTTGAAAAAAAACACCTAGATGTGGGTCCATTTTTAGAGAAAACGTCTTTGGGCTGTGTACTGTTATGTACCCTACTCACAAGCAAAACACCAATCCATCTTTTAAATATTAACAGAATAATGTATATAATTACTTTATATATCTATTTTATTGTATCACAGTTGCAGTTGGCACGCATCTGACAAAATAAATAACACTAAATAAATCTCTATAAAATATTGTGCATATGCCACACTATGACACTACCAATTATAAGCATATCAAACCATACCAATAGGGGTCTAAATCTGCATCAGGCAGCAAAAACTCGAGGTTTCAGTTTCATAATTAATCATTTTTAAAATTGATTGTTTCAAGTTGTAGATTGGGTTAATTTGGCACTACATAATTTGGTGATTTTGCCATTTTTGGCATATTGGCAGCTATTTAATTTGCAGGACACTAGGGCTTGGACATTTTTCTGATGCCACAACTTCCATATACACTGGAACAAAATACAAATTGTTACACCCATTCCTTAAATCCAACTACTACATCTAGTAAATAAAAAATTATTATTGAAGCGATTCCCCTGAGCCAATTTAGAAGAGGTATATTCTGATTACCTCCCTTATCCTTTTAAGATTTTGTAAAAACTAAATTTTGTCGAAGATATAAATTGGTGTTTTTTCTATTTCAACAAATTCAACAAATTAAAGCAGATGCCAAATTAACCCAATCTACAATAACAATTTATGAAATGTCTCAACAATTTGGAATGATTGTTGAAAAAAGGTGTAATAAAACACTCAAAACTAATTGGCTGAGGCACAATAGAGTTGCCCCAATCCAAATGTTTTGGTCTCTACCATGTCTAGAAAGCCCATATTTTAAGGGCTAATAGCTGTTACTGTACACCCTAAAAACACTCTAAATACACATATTGAATATAACAAACAATGAATAGGCTCGAACACAAACCCTCTTTTCTTTAAACATAGAGGTTTGAAAAAAATAATTCATGAAATTAGTTTATAATTGAAAAGGGTGCAAGTGCACTAGTTTTTTCAATTTGAAAATTGTCAAACCCCATTTTGGAAGCTTTGGTATATTTTAAGAAAATAAGGCTTGTGTCTAAGTCTATCAATTACATAAGCTACATATCACTTTGAATTTCAAATATTAACAATGCAAAATATCACCACCTGCCATTTGCTACAAATGCCAAACTCTGACTGCTGGATAGCGAACACAGTCCAAAAAGACAAAAAGAGTGTTACAGCAATTATTCTTTAAGGAATGACAAGAATAGGAACACTAGAATTCTATTCCATTGACTGGTAAAATCAGTATGTTGAATTCAGTATCTAGTGATACATGACAATAAGGATTTACAAAAATTGGCTACATGTAACTGGTGTACCAAAATTACAAATTATGGCTTATCCTAACCAACCATACAATAAATAGTTCTGATCATAATGATATGGCAACAGTTTTCAATACTTTTCCCCTGATTTTTTAACAAATGTGACAGTGAAAATATTTCAATGGAAATTGCCTAAATCAATCCATTATCAACTAACAGTTGACACTACAGGCTGTTTACAGTCCTTTTCCCCTGTAATTGTCTCTTCCCTTGGTTTTACACTTAGTTTCACATCAGCTCCTTTGGTCCCTGCAGTTGATGTGAAAGACACTGTATTGTCCTTGACCTTGTCCTTGTTGACATCTTCTTTATCATCTGGCTCCAATGGTTCTGTTATATCTACCACAATCTCTTCAGATAAATCTGGATGTGGAAAATTCTGGAAAATAATATTTGCATGCAATAAAAGTCATAAAATTTCCTACAGGGTGTCAATTAAATATGTTCTCCCTTCTAATTTCAAAAGTATGAACTTTTGAGCATAAACGTGCATCTAGTTAAGCTAGTCATTTGAAACTTCTTGTTGAGTTGTTCCATGAAGCCTAATTTTAATGTGCCAAAGAACAATTTATATATCATGCAGGGGAGAACATATTTATTTGACACCCATGTGCATATCTGAGCAACTGATAAAGCTGTCATAAATATAAATCAAGATACATGTATCTTTTAAAGATAGAGAAAAAAGAACCAGCATACTATTCAAATAAGTACAGATTAAGTTAAACATAAAACCATTTAAAGTCAAACTCTGCTAGCTGGAACAACATCTTATTTCATGAAAATAAGTAGGTGTGACAAAAATATGTCAAACTTTGAAAGAATGTGCTCAGAAAATATCCATTCAGATGTTGAATCATTGGTCAGACAAATCATCCTAAAAGTAGAGGTTGTTCTCGTAATGACTCCTAATCATTCAGTTACTAAATGATTTTCATTTTCTTTGCAACAAATTGAATACACTGTACATGATTTCATTGCAACTATTTATATGTAAAATTTAGAGGAAATATTGGGTAACATAGTGTAGTAATGGACTAAAGAAAAGTCATCTTCACATTCTTTTTTATATACATCCTTTAATATATTTAATGGATGTATGATCATCTAAATTGAATTGTGAATGTATCCCTACCTTGACCTTCATATAGCACAAGTAGTTAGACCACATAAAGGATGCGGCACACACGAAATAGATCCGTCTATGTAATGGCACAAATGTAAAGTTAATAAGCTGCATGAAGGGCCAGAACTGAGCACCTGTCTGGAACAAGAAATAAACAATTTATTAATTTGGGAAAGTGTGCTGAGATATCAAATAAATTGAGAACAAAGCCATTTTAAGACATGTAATTTTTGATGTACTACTGTAGTAGTAAAATCGTTTTAAATAACCCCTTGAGCTGTTAAATAAAAGTGTTTAACAGACCTGATTATTACCTGATTTCCCACTAGGTTAATAATTGATTACTGGATATATTTTGTTATACAGAGGCACCAGTAAGAATATTTACATGTACAATGTATCCATGGGCATTCAATATAGAAAGCCCATGATATATCCATAGGTTCTGGGCCGATATAAAGATGGCAGCACTAACAGAATCCAGTATTATCTTTTTCTCTGAAGAGAATATTTATAAATAAACGCCTTTGTATAAAAAACCTCCTACCTCATACCCACCTACGTGGAACATGATACAGTCATTGAAGGGTTCAATTTTAAAGATTATTAAATCTCAAAATAGCTCAAATTATTAACATTTCTACAATCCCGGCTTTATTTTATGACTAGACAGATGACAGATACATAAACAAAGGTATATGGATGCATTTTAATGTGTAATGACCCGAGGGCGCCCCAGGGGAATAAATATCTAACGACCGCGAGCATGTGTCCAAAAAGCCAAATAAAGAAATTGAAAGAAAGTGTGCTAAATTCGATGCCCCAAGTGGGAATCGAACCCAGCTGGGATGTAGTAGCAACTAGCTATCAAGGGTCGTTACAAATGCATCTATAATTCATCAAAAACTAAGATTTAATAAACTAAGATCTTTAAAATTGAACCCTTCAAAGACTGTATCATGTCCCACATACGTGGGTAGGTGGGTATGAGGTAGGAGGTTTTTTATACAAAGCCTAAATAAACAAAGATCGACCACCATGCAATCTTTATTTAAAAATAATTCCTATCGGCCTTTGCCTATGGATATATCCTTTCACTTACCTTCCAAGTAGGTATAAACTTGTCTCTCCACTCCTCCCTTATTTCTGGATATGTTTTTCCCTCTAGGACTCCACTTGCTATAACAGTTCATTAATGTTACTGTACAAAGTAAACAGTTTGTTATTTAATAAAAATTCAAAATGACATCTGAGTGACAATGGTAAAATCTGGCTGTTCAGAAAACTAAAAACATAATTTCCCGTTAAGGAATGGTCGATCATGGATGTCACATTAGTTATTCTTTTAAATAATAGAATTTAAATTTGTCTATGAAAGAAACAGTTCATCTTGAGGTTGAGGGCTATACGTTTCAATAAGGACTATAATAGGACATGATCTACATGTAATATTAAGCCTTTGATTTTGAATTGAATATGTTTTCTCTTTTTCATGGTACCATCAAGAGTTTATTGTCACATGCTTATTTACTAGAATAGTACATTGTACCTGCATAAAAAGATGAAATTACTACAGGTCCAAATAAGGACTGCTCCAGGACAATTTTCTTCAGGACGTTTTTTAACTGGGTCCCAGGGACTAACCACTCTGCAATGCGTAACCAAGTGAACAAAATTGGAGCTATCACAAAGCCACCTACAGTTGCAGAACGTAATGTCTTGAATTTATCATATTCTTTCACTTTAGATATGAACTCTTGTTGGCTTATATCAGCAGCTGTCCATACTACAAAGTACATCCCCATGCCGCCAAATATTGGTTGTTTAAGGAATCGTCCAATAAATCCCATATTTCACTTCAATAATTGGTTGACCAGGAGCAGAAATGATAAGTTGCATTTGTGTTGTTGGAGCAAACAATGAAGAAAATTGCACAAGGTAAAATCTGAAAATAAAAATGGTTTATTAATCATGTAGGTCTACAGTGTCTGCTTTTCCATTTCTGGGAAATCTTGATCTGAAGATATATTCATTAGAGAATAGAGATGGTCGAGTCTTACATGTACTGACAATCCCGAGAAATCCGAGAGATTTCTCTTGAATGTCCATGATAGAGCCAATCAGAGACATATAGTTTTATTTGTCTCTGAGCCAATGGATTAGAGTATATTTTAAAAAGTGACCCCCCCCCCCTGGTAAAAGCGTCTATGGGCCTGGTGAGCTGACTTCTGGAGGAGTTTTCAACCTCCAGACTCTGATACAAGAGATAGGGGTAAAATGATATCCTCTATTGTGAATTTTGGTGCAACTTTTGAGTATTAATTTTACACTTAGTTATCGATCCCTCCCTCAAGGTCTTATCTCAGTTTTTTTTTTAGCAAAACTCCATTATTTCGCAATCTCAAATTATACTTGTAAATTTGCGACATAATTAGAAGTGAAAACATAAAAAATTCAAGAAATTTGTAGACGAATAATTCAATGATATTACCGCAGTAGAAAAACTTTTCAAAGTTGTCTCAAAACTCTGTAAATTGAGATATAAGAATGCATATTTTTCTCGCATTTTTGTTTACCAGATTTTTTTCTCACCTCCTTCAAGAAGAGTTCGCGATGGTTTCTTTTGCAAGCCCAAATAGCAAGCTCGTTTTTGAACAATCTAGCTTCAATCACCCGAAAACAAGACACAATAATGTGATAAACGAGCATTTGTATAACTATTCTGTAAGTCCATCTTATTTTATTTCTTAGCAATGTGTATTTTATGACGAAAAACAGTTTTGAAATATGCACATTTTATTTTTACCCTATTATCGCCCACTATTTTCAGGTAAATGTCACCCTTCCAGGATGTGCCTCTATAGCTAAACTGTTGGACGGTGATTTGACTACTCAAGAGCATTTCATCATACGCAAACTGAAATTAGTGAAACTGCTCGATACCGAGGTTGTAATGGGCTTCATCAAATCAGGTACAGAGAATGTCAAAGGCTGCTGACTGTTTGTGATATTCAGCTTTTACACGCCTACAATAATCCAGTAAATAATGTAATGCCTGAAACTGAAATACTGTTATTAAGTGTTTTAAGTTTCGCAAGGATCCTGCCATGACCTTGGTATTGTTATCGTGAAAGCCTGGTATAACCATGACAATTATCCCGTTCCCGGACTATAGTCCTGCACTGATCGCATTCATTTGCCTGTACGATTACAACTTGGGAGAATTATCTACGCCCCTTACACTTAAGATACCTACCTCAATGCATTATAGAACTCAAGATGTAACTTCTAATATATTGGAACCGCCGATTGTCTGGGTATATCGGCAGAACGGGAACATTTTCTCTTTTTCATCGAGAGAGATTCCATCACTTTTCAAAATGGCGGTTGGATTTAAAAGGGGAATCCCCCGTTTGGCTGTCCCGGATGTAGCCCGGAAGTACCAATATGGAGGAATTTGACGGTTGAAATAAGTTAAATGGTACACGCAAATATTGCGATCAAAAACGAAAATGTCTTCGTTCTGCCGATAAACCCAGACAATTGTGGATTCAACTACACGAAAAGAATGCTAAATTACCAAGGAATCTATTGAAGTAGGTATCTGAAGTGTAAGATCAGTAAAAAATTCTCCCATGTTGTAATCGCACAGGCAAAAGATTGAGATGTTCACAGGACCATAGTCCGGGAACGGGATAACATGACAATGCTATATTACATGTATATTGCATGGCCTAGCATGACTGTACCAACTTACATGTACATACCAATGTCGGTTCTCTATTTGGCCCAACCATGGGCTCTATCTGATATTTGGCCCAACTAGGTGACAGGGAGACAGTTCGTATTTGTTTTCATTTGAAATGTAAACAAATAAGAAATGAAACAACAACAAATAAAAAAAAAGATTTAATTTCTCCTAGAAAAGTTCCACCTTGACCAATAAAAAGAAGTCTTGATCAGCACAGAGGCACCTGAAACTTTCCATAGTTTCACAGGCAAAATAGGCCACTGATGTTAGGATCATTTAGCCTGAATTCAGTATTTCTGTTTTGGCCGTCACACTTACTAGGCAGATACTATTTGGGGAGCAAAGGGTGAATAATCAGATCAGTCCAGCCTTTGAAATAGGTACATGTAAGTCATATCATAATCAGCGGCTTTTAGAGAGGGCACAAACTATAAGGAGTCCAGTAGAGTACAGTAATACTATAGTAGTATAGTGTTGTAATAGGGCAAGGGTGTAATAAGCTTATTCGAGTCTCTAGCCAAACAGTGTTGAGAGAAGGTAATATTATTACCACCTTACCGGGCCTGTTTGGAACTCTTTTATTTTACTCAATATGTGAGGTCATAGTGGCGGGCCATAGTGGTTAAAACTTAAATTCTTTTTTAATGTTATTTTTATTAAACACTGTTGATGAGGTACATGTAGTAGGCATATGTGAGTCGTTAGTTTCCTTGTAACAGATACCAGATGAATAATAAATCATTGAAACACATCCTGTCAGGCACTTTCCCATGGTGTCCTTTCATCAAACAGGTCTCAATAATAAATATTTATATTTTCTGCAATTTTCAATCATCCATTAATCATATTTGAAAACCAATTTCCATCATCTAAATTGTGTTAAACGAAACTTTTATTTGAATATGTGCACTGGATTTTTCCAGGTAAATTGTTTATGATGTCACATGACACGCATATTGACAAAGAAGATTGTGCTGGTGTCACCCCTTCAGGTAAGTTACTGTATATTATATGCTAATAAAGGGATTAGAATAGATACATCATAAGCTCCAAAAAGGTTTCTATCATAATTTTTCAATATTTTTTGCTTACATCCTTCCGTTCGATGCCTATTAGCATTAACACATTAGCAACACTGTCCTTTGGGAAATTTGGTATCTTAAATACACCATAGGTCACCTATTGAATTGATTACTCAGACAATATATACAGGAAACAAAAAGATCTCCACCCAAAAGTTAATCAGCTCTAGAACTTGATATCCTCTATCATGTGTGAGAATTTGGAGAATATCCGATGAGCGGTTTTCCTGAAATGGCGATGGCAAGATTTATCGTAAAACATTCAAAATGGCTGCCAGAAAACATGACTGCCCAAAAGTTAATCAGCTCTAGAACTTGATTCATGGAGAAACCTTCAAAAAAGCCACCAGAAAACAAGATGGCAACACAAAAATTAATCAGCTCTAGAACTTGATATCCTCTATCATGTGTGTGAATTAGGAGAAAATCCAATGAGCCGTTTTCCTAAAATGGCGATGACAACAAGAAAATCCAGTGAAAAAATCACTGAAAAACTACAAAGACCCGAAGTTAGGGACAAGGGGAGGAAAAGATGGAGTGATAGCGAAATGTTGATTTAACTATTAGTAAATGGTTATATTGTCGCAGAAGCATGTAGCGCCACTTGTAATTATTCTATAGGCTACCCAATTGAAAAATAAAACTAATTACCAACTTATTACCAACTAATTTACAACTGATTATCAACAATTCTGCTGGCAATTGGAATTAAAGTTAAGCGTTAATTAAATCAATGATAATTATGGCCTAATTATCAGTAGCAAGTTCAACGTAAATTAACTTACAATAATGCTGATTTATGATTTTTAGTTGATAATTAAGATATGAAATGTTTGAGGGTGATAGTAAGTGGTAAATTAAAACGTTTTTGTTCTGAAGTAGATTATTGGTTGATAGTTAACATATAGGATGATTATAATGATAATTAGTCGTAAATTAGGCCCATGATTTAGAAATACAAACCCCCTAAATTTAATTTCAAGATGGTGGAAAAAGAAAACATGTGAGAGATATTTCTCTCATAAAATTGAGAATTACAACGTGAATGGTGCGTATACTACCATGAAATTTGGTCAACATTATTATAAGGGTATGTAGAACATGAATACAATGTATGTTAAATCTTATTCACACTTCTGTCTGAAATTTTTGTGAATTTAAAAATCTTTTTGAATCAGATCATATAATATTAATCCTAGAATGCAATTTAGGTACTAACATGGGTTACCTATATTTTACAAGTAATCCAAATGTGCTCTTCTAAATAATGATTGTTAGATCAAAGACATTTCAAAACATATTTTTGATTATATCTGTTACGTCCTTATTATGTAACATTATAGTCTAATGTTTGTGTTCTGATTTTAGTTGTTGATGGCAATAATGATGTTTTCACATGCTTTTCATGAATCTTAAAAATTTGCAAAATAGAATAGCTTTAAAAAAGAGGGGGAGAAACCCCAGGGTTCAAAGATGACATACGTTACTCACTTCGAGAGCCATGTTAGATTTTGAAACTTATGGCTCTCAAACGGAGAAGTGAACAGCTGATCAATAGTGACCTTTGAAATTGAATTAAGTCGATCCGCGGCTTACTTTTGGTCTCTAACTGTGTCTTACATCAGTATCATCAATCCGTGTAAGTATTGGAGCGCTGGAGTACTTCTTTTTCGATCAAGACTTGTAAATTGTTCATCGAGTTAAAGTTTTACAGACCTATTTCCAATATGGCGGTTTGCTAGGTGCGAGATACGCAACGAACGAAATGAATTTTGAGAATTAGTTAGGTTCAGACAACCTCCGGAGATTTACGAAAATGTCCGAGCAGAAACCGCCATATTGGAATTTGGCAGTAAAACGATTCCCTCGACTAACAATTACAAGTCTTGATCGAAAAAGAAGTACTCCAGCGCTCCAATACTTACACGGATTGATGATACTGATGTAAAGCACAGTTAGAGACCAAAAGTAAGCCGCGGATCGACTTAATTCGATTTCAAAGGTCACGATCATTGAGCTGTCCAAATGCTCTGTGGGAAAGCTATTATATCAAAATCCAAATAGCTTTCGCAGGAAGTAAGACATACGCTTATAATGTAAATCTGTATTGAGATGACATCGTCGCTGATTGGTTTAGTGAGTCCATCGTTGATTGGTTTAAAACTAGGTCAATTTGAAAACTTTGAAAATCAAGATGGAGGGTATGTTTTCGACAAAAGGAGGTGTGCGAAGGAGGAAATCGTATGTCATCAATTGAATCATGGGGTTACCCTCCTCTTGCTGTGAAATTTCAATAGTTCAAGTTCAATGTTGTCTGTTCTGAAAGATCCTAATTAAGATGAATATTCCGTCACAAAATAGTTCAAGATGAAGCAAAAATATCCGAGTGAAGAGAAGCAAAAAAGAAGCGAGTCATTTTTGAGATGTCACAAATCTGACTTAAACCTAACTTTCAACTAATTATCAATAGTAAGTTAGGTGATAATTAGAGATTAACTTACATCAAACTTACAACTAACTTTCAACTTTGAACCTTACTTACTATATCTCAACTTATTTTTTTCTGTTTAAAATTTCTACAGCATATGTACACCACTTGTTTACATACACTGTGCGATTTTCAGGAAAATCTATCGAGGATTTTTTTTGGCTGACGGACCAGGTCCCACCTTAAAACGTCACATTATAAACTACAGATGTAACCATAAGATTATTAGAAAGGTTAAGCAACAGTACTTCTTGCGACATAAACCGCGAATGGGAACGGTCGAAACACTCTCATTAATTTTTCATAAATATAAAATAAAACAAAGAGACCACTAGCAAAAAGAAATAAATCAGTTTTAAGTTAAAGACTTACAAATTACGTTTCCTCCGTTTCTAAAGTAGCACTTTCGTTCATAGTTGTTGCTGATTTCACACCTGATTTATAATGTACGTCTTTGTTGACATAACCTTTGTAATTGTTTGCATTAATTGTTGTTTCACTTGTTGTTGGTGTTGTTGTATGGATAGGATCTTGTTGTTAGTGTTGTTGTTGTCTGAAAAAGAATAAGTGGGGCAGTCTATATTCATTTGAGTTCCGCTTGACCTTCCAGTTTAAAAACGATCGTTCGTAGTGGTAATAGCCAGTCTCGTGACATAAGTCCCGCGGGAGGCATCTAAGGTTCCTTGTCGAGGCGGATAAGATTAGAAAACTAAATAAATCTAGAAGGGTGGGGGAGGGGTCAAAGCTTACTCACTTCGAGAGCCATGTTAGATTTTCAATCCACATAGCTTTCGCAGTAAGTAAGTCAAAGCCATTTCAGTTTTCTATCAGACAAAATTTAACATTTCAATTTTTGTGCAATTTTGACTCGGATCAGAATTCCTTGGAATGGTTTTAAATAAAGAATTTACCTGATGTTTTCTGCTAATGTTGTGCCTACTGTCACATGTTTTAATTCTACATAATTTATGGTAATATCCCAATGAAAATCCCAAATCCACGAAAGTCCTAGGCTAAATCCACACGCGAAAAGTCCGCGATAATCATGTTTTTGGGGGGAGGGGGTCAAACTCAAAAGTCAAAACTAGATTTATTTAGTTTCCTATCAGACGTCTGAACTTCTGATGCCTCTCCTTGTGACCAGCATCATTGAATAGTCATTTACAGAACATTAGAAATAGATCAGATCGTGACTATGTGAAGCATCTGGAAAACTCGTTGGACCATGAGAAACAAAATCTAAATTTCTTCAAGTTCATGAATTAACTTTACACCACTTCTCCCGAATAATGATTCAGTACAATAAGAAGTTACAATTCTACTCATTTCTATAATCAAGTTGGAGTGAAATGCAATTATAAATACACAAATCAAACTTTAAATTAACAGAAATGTTAGAATACGCTTACCCGTTCAGACAAAATTGAGAGCAATGGCGGACAATGCGTTCTACGTCACATGACGACATTACTTGGAAACACAATCGATCCGTAATCGCGTCGTATGACGACTTGGTAGTTCCCTTGACAATTTGCCATATAAGGTAATAAAGGCGGTCTTTATGTCACGTGACCGATCCACTGGCGATTGCCCGGAATAAGGTACAAAGAATCCCACTTCGTGGGGGGTCTTTGTAAAAAAGTGGGACGGTCACGATAACGATCAAAATAACTTTGTCATCATGACGACTATATCCACCGATGGTGTGATAAAAATCACAAATGTATTGATGATTCACTTGAATATTTCAGGCTTGCTCGTGTTGAACTTGGTAAAAGACACATTTGAAGCATTAGGACTTGATGGTTCACCATCAGAGTTCAACAGAAAGTCCAATTCAAGATATGGTAAGTGCCTTAAATATGTTTCTTTTGGGATGTTTGATATGAGTGAATCAATTAATTAAATTAGAGGTTACAAACATGACAAGGGCCCTTTAATTATGGAAGAAAATCAACATCACCTGGTTCCCTGTATTACAGTATATATCTATTATGTCCACTTATTCATACTTCTATTCACTATTCATGTATTATCATATTAATTTCCAGTTGTCACCATTGACCTGCTGCACAATGACATGAGGCCTGGTACCAAAAAGTATGTGAAAACCCTTCAGCGGCTTGAAGCACTAGATCTGAAATTTGACTTCATGTTCAACTGGGAACCAAATGGTAATTGAAATAACAAATCTTTATATTTTCAAATATCTTTGAATATACCAGTGTTATCCCTCTGAACGAAGCTCATAGGGATATAGAGAAGCCGTCCATTCGGTGTCTGTCATCTTTCACCATGAATACTTTCTGGGCATAATACAGTAGTTTTTATTAAAACAATATGTTTTCTTTAAAGTGAGGTACCCATGACAATAAAAATGCCAATCGAACAATTTGAAAAATTATGAATAGGGACCCCATGTCAACAATTTTTTCCAAATGTTGAACCTATTTACTCAAAAGAGTATCTTCTTTTTCTGATTTTTATTGCATGAAAAGATTATTCAACAAGGGGTCTATTACTTCTTCAAAAGTATAATGGTATTGAATGTCTAGTTTTGAAGATACCAATTTATGATGACCAAAATTATGCTGAAAACAATGGAAAGTATAATTTTTGCACTGGGAAAATAACTTGGGATGTGTGGTTTTTAACTTTAATGGATTTCAATACCCATCTCCAACTAGTATTCAGAAATTGTTGATATTAGTGTAGAAGAAACTTTTGATATGTTTAAATTGGGTAAAACAAGATCCTCTTATAAGCCTTACATTTTTAAAAAAGTGCCAATGTGGGGTCCTAAACCATAATTTTTCAGAGAGTTGGATTGTTATTTTACTATCATTGGGACTTCACTTGAAGGAAAACATATTGTTCTAATAAAAACTACTGTATTTATGCCCAGAAAGTACTCATGGTGAAAGATATGATCAAATCATTTGCCATAATGCACATGGACCTTTTTGCAAATTAAAATTTGTTGATGCAAAATCCTCGCAAAATCCATAGTTTTCAAATCACAAAATTCAAAATTTGATGTAAAATCCTCAGTTATTAAATCACAAAATTCACAATCTTTGAAGAAAAAAATGCAAATTAATATAAGAGGTCAAGATTTTCTAGAGATGGCTGCTGAATTTTAAAATGGCCACCATTTTTCGTAAAAATGTAATTTTGGAGAGCTCAAATACCAGGGGACTATTGGATCAAATTTTATATGCTGTTACCTCAGACACAAGGGAGCTCTGTTTAAGAAATTTTCAACATGGCTGCTATTTATCAAAATATTTTTTGTTCAGTGGGATTTGTAGCGTAGGTCATCCTTCATTCAAAGGACTTCATTCATTACTCAATTCAGTCCTTCATGCAAGACTCCATGGAGATACAAGTAGATGGTCTTGAAGTTGTTTGGATTGTCAGGCCTCAACACTTGCATTTTTTGCCTGGTGCCAAAATAACTACCTGGCCAATACTCAGGTAGTTATTTGCTTCTGTCAGGTAGTTGTATACAAAATGATGTTATAAAATAATTACCGAGCATATAACGTTTATCTTGTGCCAATGAAGCCTAATAACGCAATGGTACTGATGTACACATTTATGAAAAAATTGACTCACTGCATTGTAATTCTCTCAAATTAATGCATAACTTCCAACATTCAAAAAATTGGAGAGGTTAAAAGCTATTGGAGGGTAGTTCACCTATAACAGTTATACATTGATTATGTTGGAGGAGACTGTACCTATTGCAAATGTTTGAAAATTTTGGAGAGAAGTGCACCTACTATATTTCCTTCCAAACTTTTTAGGGAAGTGTTCCTTTATAATTGTTTTCATACTTTTAGAGGGAAGTATACCTACTTCAATTGTTTTCAAACTTTTGGGAGGGGACTTTGATTAAACACAAGAGAGTGCTATGCTACAATGTTCCTGCTTGCCTTTTAACTCACTCAGTCAGTTTGTCATGTTGGTACCAACCTTTACATTCTTCGATGGTTTGAACACCACTATAGCCAGAGCGGTCGACCTTTAAGCGCTACCTGCTGTACGCACTACTCTGCCCTTGTTGGTAAAGGGATGGTGAACAAACCCTCGGTGAATGTATTAGCAATTGTCAAATAAGTCATTGGTTAATGTTGTCTCCCCTGTGCCCATTTGTCATTTCTCCTCAGCCAGAGCCAGCGGGAGGCTTCCTCTGCTGCAGATCCAACTGCTCTGTTTGCTCTCTTGAGCCATGAGGGTGGGAGTCCTACGTTCTTGAACATTCGGTTGAGAGATGTTGATGGAAATCCTCTACAACCTACTTCAACGGATAGTAATGAACTTTCCACCCTTTGGCCTCCTCAACCAGATCTTGGTACTTTGCGTTTTTGAGTTGGTGTGCTACCTCAATGCGATCTTCCCAAGGTACTGTCAGTTCTTAGGAATTTACCTATTAAAATTGTTTCCAAACTTTTGAACGGGAGTGCGCAAATAACGATTATACAGTATATTATGTATGAGGGGTCTGAAACTAGATTGCAATTGTTTAAAAACTTTTTGAGGTGAGTGTACCTATTTCATTTCAAGGGTTTCATTAGAAGTAGGCAACAGGTGATTTTCATGTTGTTGTCACAAAATCCTGTGGTTTTTAGGGATGTTTTAACTTTTCTATGTTAAATCAATATTTTCAATTGATTTTACTTGTTGTTTTCATTTATTTAGCCTGTTATGAGAAATTCTAGGAAAACCCTGTGACCAAACTTTTAAGGGGATTGTACCTTTAAATTGTCTCCAAACATTTAGAGGGGAGTTTACCTTATACAACTGTACACCAACAAAGATTTTTTTGAGGACAAGGAATTATCTTTATAAAATTACAAAACCCAATTCTATTTTTTAACTAACATTGCTCAACACAATGATTGACAGGTCTCTTACTAGAATAAGCAAACTCCTTGGTAGTGGTGGTAGATATTCTTTTCCCACACACTATCCAGTGAATTGGTCAGATCAGATTTTCTCAAGCTAAGGCAAAGAAGAGGTACTTTTCCATGAACCCAGATGAAACCCCCTTAGCCAATCAATGATGTAGTTTAAAAAAGTGTGCATCTATGAATTCCCCTTTCGTTAAAACTAAGGATAAAATTGATTTATACATGTACAGGGCCAGGGGTATTCTCATATAAGTTGAACTGTTGTAAGTGCAAGTGTAACTGAGTAACCCTTTGCAAAATTGGTAAATATTGCTTCAAATCATGCAATACTTGGCTCAATCTAGGACTGTGGGTGGCCAAGTAGCTACTAGATAAACCAATAGGTAGCTTTTCTTTAAAATCAGGTGGTTATTAACTACCATAGCAACGCGAGTTTCGAGCCCTGATTGTGATTCAATTGAAATCCGTAAGAAGAATAAAGCAAAGCAAAGCAGAATAAATCTTATGAGTTTGAAATACAATGAGTCATGAAATATATTCAGTTGGGCAAAGCTGCTGTTATAAGGTATTAGTCAATAATAGAATTGCCTTTGATAGGTTAGAGTATTCCTTCTTCAGTGGTTTTCATAAGATATCTCTACATATGTGTTTTAACTTGTATTTGACAATGTTTGCCTTTTCTATCCAAATCCTTTCCATGCTCAAAATTTGCATAATGTGTCCCTTTTCACTCCCTTTTCAAAAAGTATTCAGTTTTACTTCCATGACGTGATAGGAAGTTGTTTTGAATGTTTTGGATAATTGTAACCCTTTGAATAAATATTACTTCTTGCAGACACAAAAGCATATTTAATGCATATTGATCAGTTATTTAAACTGATCGACATGTATAATGGAAGTCCATAAGGCATTAATATAGTCAACCAATAAGATTGGTAACGTATGTCTCAAATTATCACATGGGTTAGACATTATAGCAAAGTACATTAGAGTGAGCCATACGTACATGAGGCTGTAAGTATGAAGAGAACAATAAGTGATTTTGCAAGTAACACCACCGCACATGGTTGGGGAAATGTCACCCAAAGAACAACAAAACTTGGTAAAACCCTTTGGATTGGCCTTTGTCTGGGTTGTACGGCTGTCGCTATATGGCAGGTGATAACAGTTGTCCTGCGATATGGGACATTTGATACAAAGGACAGAATCATTGTGAAGAATGGAGACATTGTATTTCCATCAGTCACTTTGTGTCCTTTAGTTGGAATGCCAGCATCGGGAAATCAACGGCTTTGGCAAGATATGACAGCGAGGAAACAGGAAACCATTCCGATGTTAGAACTATCTGACCTCTTACAAAATTTCTCAGGTTATTTAGACAATAATATCTCACAAAGTGCTCAATCTGAGAAACTGGAATTTTATGAAGAGTTTTACAATCGGCTGTATTCTTTTCAAGGATATTTTGATAATAGTAAAAAGGCAGTTCAAGCCTACAGCCATAAACAAGAGAATTTTATTCCAGTATGTGTGTATCAAGGAAAGTCATGTTTGAAGTCTGACTTCTCCACTTTAGACCACCATGAACATTATACATGCTTTACATTCAATGGAGGCAACACAACTATTGCTAAACCGAGCACAAAGATCTCAGGCCCCAAAGGGGGACTATCTCTAACTTTGTACCTTGATGCACTTGTAAGTTCAAATATATATAATCCAAACTATCCAACAAGTGGTAGCCAAGGAGTAAGAGTTGTGATTCATGAAAAGGGGACCCTGCCTGACCCAGAAAATGATGGTTTTGATATTGAGCCAGGACATTCGGTCAATGCAGCGTTGTCTGTCAATGAAAGACAATTAATGAAAGCACCTTGGGGTGAATGCGCTGATCATGACTCTGAGTCCTATGGAGGTTTCAAATACACAAAAAAACATTGTCTCCTGAAATGCCTGCAGAAAACCATCTACGAAACATGTGGTTGCGTCAAATCCTCTTTACCAGTCGATGATGACATGGCTCATACAGAATATTGTCTAAGACTTCATTTAAATGAATGGCTGAAACTTAAATCCGATGAGTACAATCTAACCATAATTCAAAATGACTTGGAGCAACTGCGTTGCCAAAATAATTTTTCGTTGTCAGATTTCGTTGGCCAAGATCATTGCCAATGTCGGGAAAGGTGTCTGTACCAATCATATGAAATGACACTCTCTCAATCAGTGTGGCCATCAGAAGGGACAGAGATAGATTTTTACTGCCGTGGGGTCATGAACATGGACAACTACATTAACTCCAGCATCTATCATACCTTTCATGATATTTTCCCTGGACACTGTGGTCATGCAAAGTCAGAAGAAGAAAATCAGATACTCAGAGACACACACGGAATTAAACTACGAAAAAATATTGTTCGTTTAAATGTGTATTTTAAAGATCTAGACACGAAGATAACCCAACAGGCTGAAGACTTCACATTTAGCTCTATGATCTCAGAAATAGGGGGAAGTTTTGGATTCTTTATAGGCATGTCTATCATAACAATTGCTGAGGTGATCCTTTTGGGCTGGAACATTTGTCAAGTGATGAGAAAGATGATGGTAATATCGCCTACACACCAGGAGAAGGAAATTGCACATAAAAATGCCTGGGAAGAAATGGCCTGAAAGATGACCAAAAGTAACTTTATAGGCGAGTGGGAGCAGGGTCAAAAATGGAACTTTAATTAAGATTGTCTGCAACCACTCAAAACATGTTGAACTTTCATGATATTGATATGGAGATTCCAAATATGACAGTGAAAAGTTTTGAAAAATGGCCGGTAACCATGGAAACTGATGCAAAGTGCCACTCCCTTTTCATTAGCCATAAAGTATGTTAAACACAATATTACCCATGACCTTTTTATTAATTTTTAACTATTTGTAATTGTATTGCTACCATATTGAAGGTAATAAAATATTATTTAATAAGAGTCAATTTATACACAGTTTCAAGATAGGTTCTACAGGTGGATTAACTGTTTACATGATGTTTTTAGAATGTTGTCAAATCTATAAAAATGAGAACTACAGTGAACTTATGAAGTTGGAAATGCCTTTTTGATTCAACTGTTAAGGAAGGATAGTGTACTCGAATCATGTCAAACTTTAAAATGGGACAAAAGAGAGAGATCAAAACTTTGAAAGTTAAAGGTCAAGGTCAAATGAAGGTCATATCTGAAATACAAATTGGAGGAATGCCGATGTTAAGTCTGGATGCAAAAAATATGTATTGAAGTTAGTTGCGGACTGGACACAATTACTAATTACTTACACAGATACATTTGAACAGTTTAATGGCTCATAATTATTCCTCAAGACAACAGCAGCATTAAAGGAGCTTAAGTGTGGAATTAAGTAGTTGGATGATGCAATTTTTCCATTAGTCCAGTAATGTGTTTGTCATACATACGTAAGCAACTCCTGAAAAGAAGTGGCAATTTGATGTACAAGGGTTGTTCAAAAAGTATAATAACATCATTGCATTATATCACTTATATCCTCATAAATAAAGCTATCAATAACTTCATTTTACCTACTTTTATCTCAACAATAATGGCGTCATCCCAATTGGACAATTATTGTTCAATTGGGATGAAGCCATCAGACTATTTGAACAACCCAAACACTTTGCACAGAAACAAAGTTATTTTTAATTTGTAACATTATGTTAATACCATATACCATATTTTCATTTACCATATGTAAGTTTTGTCTATTTTAACCAAGTTGTAGACAGTGGTATAATATAATTCGTTTGCCACTATTGTACTTAGTGAAAATGAATAAAATAAAAAAAAATTACATGAAAGCATAGACATGAAATCTTTTGTCAACATTCTTGAAAATGCTATGTTAAGCAATTGTGGCCATTTTATACTTCCACCAAAACATCAATACACAAAAGAAGTGAGCTCCCATAATTCTTTCATATTCTATCGTATTCGGGGATTCCCCAATACATCATCTCTAGCATCATCTGCAATCAATGATGTGATCACATGAACCATAATGACCACGTGCTCTCTCAGTGCTGCACATGCGCAAAGTACTTGTAGAGAATACTCATAAAACTACAGAGAAGGAGATCCATTTCAATGGCAAATGAGGCCTGTTTATGAAATTTGTTTTCGAACGTGCCAATGTGAAAGGTCACCTTTGGGAAATCTCACCCCACCTGACCAATACATATGTATATGCCCAAGGGCCAAGGACAAAGTAACTGTTTTAACTCAGATTGAAAGAAAGTAAGAATAGCATTATATAAGCTCACAGTTTTATGATTGATCAAATCCAAGTGGCATGACCTAAAAAGTTATGCAATCTATATGAGTCAATTGAAAATTGGAGATTCAAATCTTTATATCATCCAGTTTCTATGTTGGACTGAAATTAACAACAGTTAAGTGCATTTTACTAAGCAGTAAAATGTTATTTTGACTAAAGCTAGAAGATTGGCTTTACTTTACATTATCCCCAATGCAAAACAATTTTTCCATCAGATATTTCAATAATCAGTAAAGTTTCAAAAGGTCAGGTTTCTATCAGGGATTGGTGGATGAAGTAAAACAGTTTAAGAAGTTTATTCTGTTTATACAATAAAACTTGTCTAAGTGAAACACCTTTGTTACCTCTAAAGGTGTTCCACTTGGGAGGTGCTCCACTCATACAGGCTCATTTAACATTCAGTCAGTTGGTCTTGGGACTTTGAAGTGTTCAACTACCAAAAGTGTTCCACTTACAGAGGTGTTCCACTTCTAGAGGTGTTCCACTACACAGTTTTCACTGTAATTTATTGTGAAATTTGACTCGCCCTCTTACATGTTTTTGCAGATAACAAAATAAGCCAAAGGTCTTTGCCAGTTTACCTGCGGAATAATGGATACAAGGTTAGGAAGTGCAGGACAGAGAGAACGCAGACAACATATGAAGGAATAAATGTCCCTAGTTTACAGAGTAGGTAGGTACAACTGTTCAATATAAAAATATGATTTTAAATAAATAAAATTTTGTAGAGTCCGATTTCCTGAACAGAGATACCAGCTTCTTTCACAACATTGTTTCAAAGTAAGTTATGCTCACCAAATTAAATTTTAGGAGCTGTGAATTCTACAATTAGGATCATGCTCAATTGTGTTTTGACCTCATATAATCAAAGTTACAGGTGACCTTTTTCCCCCAACACACACATACCCTCTCCCCTCAATTATGTTTTTCACCACTGGATAGAACAATCTGGAAGCTATTAACTTAATTAGACCACACAATAAATCTGTGCCTGTGACTAGCTATGGAATTCTGGGTCTTTTAACAAGTTTAAAAAGTCTCATAATTTTGAAAGCCACAACTTATGTTACAAATGTGGTCATAGTATACGGAAAGATAGGGGGAAAATGGAATGGAAGTTAGATATACATTATATGTTAAATATATATTTAGAATTATGCAGAGTTTGCTTAATCATAATAAAATATTATTTGATTTCTGTCTTTCAGTGCTGGTTATAGTAAGGATGATGATAACTATCTTGAAGTGTATGAATGGCTAGGGGCTGTGGCTTGTGCAGTCGAAGTGTAAGTTCTCATAAAGTATTCATCTACAGTGTATGTTCATATCTTATCTGCTCTATTCATGTTCTATCTGTTTCAATTGCTTATGTGGCATGCATGATAGAAAGTACTTCCTAAGATTCTGACCAGCTTTTAACTTATTTTAAGAGAACAATAGTATAATCGATTGATTGAGCATAATTACCGTAACAAACCCTGATTGTTGTGATGACAATCAGTGAATGGTCCTTCAGAACTTTTAACTGATTTTATAGAACAAAAGAATAATCAATTAAGCATTAAGCATAATTACTGTAACAAACCTTGACTAAAGTGAAAAAATCAATAAATGGTCATTGTTCTATATATCTTGAATTTTCTGAGCTAATAAAAATACAAAAAAATCAATTTTATTGCACTACATGTATGACTATATTTTTTATAGAGATGCCAGTGATCCACTAGATGAGATATCCAGCTATACATGCCAGGTCCCAAATACATACATGAATAAACTCACTATAGGAAGATATACAGGTTTCTTTACCACTGGTACTATATCCCGTCTCCTACAGAATACAAGGTATACCTAGTCTTAACTTTTCCAAAAGTTTCACCTATACAATTTTAAGATGAAGCAAGATGGGGTTTTCAAAACAAGGACATGAAATTATTCATACATGAGCATTGCCTTGAGATTTCAAAAATGCTTCCTATACACCTTCTGAGAAAAAAATTATTTTGTACTTTTCATGCATAACTTAGACTAAAAAATAAAAACACAATAATCTGCATGCACAATAAAAAATGGATTTCGTCATAAGTATGGAAGTAATGAAAATTTGAGTTCTCCCACAAATGATATTTTTATTTGAATGTGTTCCTGAATAATTACCCACAATGCAACACTTGGGGAGAAAATTACACTTGAAGAGAAAATGCTGAGACCTCTTCTTCTTATTGATCATTTTTGTTGACAAAATATTGATATTTGGCATGTCGTCTTGGGTGTAAGGATTGACATTTGATGTGTCAGCTCTTGATATTTGATGTGATGTGATCAATTGAGTTTGTTGTGTCATCTGTTGGTATTTGAAGATTGACATTTGATGTGTCATCTTGGGTACAATAACAGATGCATAACAATAAAAATGTGTAAAGTAATAGAATTAATTAAGATGTGATAATAAATGTCTGCTGAGATTTTAAAGTAGTTCAAGGAACTTCTCCAAGTATAGATTGCAATAATAATCTTTAAATGATTTTTTGAGAATAGAGATGCTTTTTGAGATATTGATATTACAAGGTATCCATTCCATATTAGGCCACCTTGAACTAAAATACTTTTTCTTAAATCTAGCGATATAGAGATCATTCACTTGACGAGTGAAATGATGATGAATCAGAATGTCCATATTGGATTTATAATAATTACAAAAAAAGGTCATCTGGGAAATCAATTTTTAGTAAATATTCAAACATGAATATGAGAACATTCAACATGACATTCCTGCATAGAATCTGGGAGCTGATTAGGTACACTTATACCAGATCCTTTAGGTGATATGCATATTTCATCTTTGTAATTTTGCTACAACATTCGATGTCTTGATATATGATCTTCCATCTGAGAAATGATTGATATCTGATGTCTGTATATAATGTTTTAACTTATTTATTTTCAGAGATCTCATGAAAGAGAACAAACTACCATGGGCTTCAGTAACTATACATGGCTTTGCTGATTCCCCGTTGTCCTGGAAACACAGAGAACATGGTTACCATAAGGGAGGGGAGAATCTTTACACATATGTTGTGTTTCCAAATGATGAATACTGGCTGTACATGGCTATAGGGACTCATGATATTTGTCCTTGACTTACTGAGATACATGTAAATACTGGCTGTACATGGCTATAGGGACTCATGATATTTGTCCATGAATTACTGAGATGAATACTGGCTGTACATGGCTATAGGGACTCATGATATTTGTCCATGAATTACTGAGATGAATACTGGCTGTACATGGCTATAGGGATTCATGATATTTGTCCATGAATTACTGAGATGAATACTGGCTGTACATGGCTATAGGGACTCATGATATTTGTCCATGAATTACTGAGATGAATACTGGCTGTACATGGCTATAGGGACTCATGATATTTGTCCATGAATTACTGAGATGAATACTGGCTGTACATGGCTATAGGGACTCATGATATTTGTCCATGAATTACTGAGATGAATACTGGCTGTACATGGCTATAGGGACTCATGATATTTGTCCATGAATTACTGAGATGAATACGGCTGTACATGGCTATAGGGACTCATGATATTTGTCCATGAATTACTGAGATGAATACTGGCTGTACATGGCTATAGGGACTCATGATATTTGTCCATGAATTACTGAGATGAATACTGGCTGTACATGGCTATAGGGACTCATGATATTTGTCCATGAATTACTGAGATGAATACTGGCTGTACATGGCTATAGGGACTCATGATATTTGTCCATGAATTACTGAGATGAATACGGCTGTACATGGCTATAGGGACTCATGATATTTGTCCATGAATTACTGAGATGAATACTGGCTGTACATGGCTATAGGGACTCATGATATTTGTCCATGAATTACTGAGGAGGAACAATATTATCTATTATATGAATTACTGTACTGTAAAACCATTATTTGTTTTAAATAAAAATGTTGTCCAATAGTAAAATAGAAGTTTATTCCATTGTCTTAGTAACATGGTCATTATGTCATCACCAGAAGTGGTGACATATTGTTATAGTCTCCATTTTTCGTGGATGGTGTTCGGTAGTTGGCATATGTAATGCCGTGTAACATATATCCTGTGTGTTCTCTCTTGTAAATGGGGAAAATGAAAAACTATAGTATCGTGAAAAGTATAAAAATACATGTTGATGTGGTAGGCCTAGTACTTTATTGCAGAAATAAAGTGCATTCTAACTGATCATTTATAAGATTGTCAGATTGTTGTCTAAAGTATTATATTGTGGCCTCTCCACATAATTCAATCAGAGGGAAAGTAAAATATATCATAACCAATACAGATGCTTATCAATCTGCTATTTATTTGAACTCAATAACATTGATATTACAGTTTGCCATCTTCATTTTGCTTACATGCATGTTTGCAAATAAATGATTTTCCTCCCGAAATCATTGTGACATTGGATGTGTTGCTTCTTTCCCACGGTTTATCTTGTTGGGTGATGGTTAAATAAATTGTATAAGATTCGTATTAATTGAAATCCTTCATAGGCATATAGTGTTAAATGGGCTGAGGGTTTTTATTTAGCTATGGTAAGCCAATAACAAAGACCAGAAGTGGTGACATATTGTTATAGTGTCCAAGTTTTTTAAGGGTGGTGTTCAGCAGTTGGTGTTTGGTGGTTGATGTTTGTAATAAATCCATTGGGCAGTCGGTCTCTGTAACAAATGGCGGGTGGTGACATTTTGCATTAACTTATGCCTTGTCTGTTCTTGGTGTACACTCTACAATGACGCCATTTATATTTCACAAGATAGTTCTCCTGTGGGGAATGGGGTGCAGGGGGGGGGGTAAGTACCTTTAATGGTCCTTTTTCCATTTAGCTTTGAAATCACATTAAAGTCTCGTTTTTAATGAACTTTTAGGAGATCTGCATTTTATAACCATTAAAGACTAAACTTTTCATCCATTTGATGGCATATGAATTCCCTGTGTACTTTTCTATCAAAACAACTTTGATTTGCACTGTTATTCACCTTCATTCAAATTCTGATGATTTTCAAGTTGTCTTAAAAAGGTCGGGCTAAATCCCCATTGACACAATGCTGAAAAACCTTTAAAACTTCATTTACTCTTACAAGGATCACAATTTTAATGTGAAATCACAATCCACATGTCAATAAGATCATATAGTTACATTCCAATGGTATTTAAGTTGATCCAAATGGAATTACTTATTAAATCAAGAAATTAAGTGATTTGAGCAATACATTTACATGTATTCTAGCCCTACCATAGCCCTACCCATGATGCCATCTATTTTCCATTTATATGGAAAAACGTCAATTCATTCAGGTTCACCCCTCCCCCTCTGAAATATTATTCCCCACAGATCTGTGATGTTTTAGATAGACAATCAAGAGCATGTATATTGTATATACAGTGTTACAATAATACTTCTTAATCCCGGGAATTGAAAACGGATGCCGTTTCGTTCAGTGTTTGTTTTGGTATTCACGACTCTTCAAATTAGAGGAAATAAAGTTTAAGCATGGAAAAGTTGCAAAATGAAGTGCATTTTCTTCGAGCTCAACTAAAAGATAGAGATAGACAAATACTACAATTACAAAATCAACTGATTGATAAGGTATGTAGCTATTATGAAAATATTCGTTGTATGCAAGAAACGGCTTAGTACACGATCGAAAGTCTAATCTTTATCTATTTCTAAAAAATCATTTAAATTTAAATTTTTTTTTATTTTCTGAGAAAGCAAGAGATATTGGCAAAAATCTGGGATAAGAAAATTATTTAAGATTCAAATTATGAAGGTCTTATTTATTCTGGTGTCATCGCTACTGTAACGACCCTGGGCACGCTCGTCCAGGAAGCTGTAGTGTGACTAGCCAGATACTCGACATGAAGGGAAGTGTGCTAAATTCACTACACAGTTCAAGAATCGAACTCAGGACCATAAATGTGGGCATGATTTGCACTTTTCTTATTCTAGGAGCAAACCAGGCCTATAACTTGAAGCCTTATCATTTTTTAGGGAAATGGTAATTCTCGTCGCACATAGAATTTGTTGGGTTGTTACATCACGGACAAATTTTTGTGACAGGCATAGGCAGTGTCTGCCATCACTGCATCACTGTTGCCATCACTGCATCAACAATAACTTTCCAGATTGTCATATATGTCAAGTTCTGTCAAGTCATGCATTATTACCTTAACATTATGCCACTATTGGCATGGCCAGGGGATCTAATTCTTACATATTTGATACATGTGAATAAGTTCATGTTTTAGGAGAAGCCATTCTTTCCCACTGGAGTAACTAACACTCATGACATCTCAAAATTATGTACAGAAAAGTTGACCAATGAGAGCATAGCAAGGCATAGCAGGCAACTTATCCTCCCTGAGATTGGCGTGAAAGGTCAGTAGTACCTGGATGTTCTTTAGTTTTTTTAAAGCCTTACACATAATACACATTTTATTTCTTTGCTCTTTCTTACGTACTATATAATTTATGGATCTGAAATCTAGCTTATGATTTGAAAATTTATAGTTTGTCAATCTAAATTACAGGTCAGCTGTCATTGGCCAACACATCTGCTCTTATAGTTGGTTGTGGAGGGCTCGGTTGTCCCTCTGGTCTCTACCTTACAGCTGCAGGCATAGGTAGGTACTACAGTTATTTACTATAAGAACATAATACTGTACAAGTACATAATAGTATGATAAATCTATCAGCCAGTATAGTGCACAGCCAATGGACCATAGGAATAGTTTATAATAAGTGCACAATTACAATAAATGGAATGGGTGGAAAAGTGCATTGCTGTTGGGATAGGTACTTTTTTAGAAGAAATCATTTGAGAAGTTTTAGGCCAGCATAAAAGATACATGATGTATATAATGAGGTGAGGTTGCTCTCTCAGCTTTTCATCATATTAAGAATTGATTTTCAGGTAGACTAGGGCTGGTAGACTATGATGAAGTAGAACTGACTAATCTACACAGACAAGTGTTACACACAGAGAGTTCTATAGGAGTGACAAAATCATCATCTGCAGCTTTAACATGTACAAGGTATAATTGGAGAATTGGGAGATATACCACAGGATTATTAATTGAAACTGATTTATTTTTTATCTATTATGGACATGTGAGCATATGTTCTCTGGTATTCTTTGGTCAGTGTCTGTAACAAATGGCAGGTTGGTTGTGACATATTGCATGCTAATGTCTTGTTTATTTTTTAGGTTGAACAGTAAAGTTGAGTGTGTGCCATACCATATTGTATTAAATAGTGAAAATGCACTGGACATCATTAAGCAGTATCCTTTGAATAATACTATTAATGCTAAATAAAACCATGAGATACATTCTGTAGATATTATATTCTCCCACTATGCAATATTTCATACAAAAAGTGCCAGAGCATACCATTTTACCAAGCAGTATCAAGAATACATCAGCATAAAAAACTAAAATCATTTGTAATGGTGAGAGAGTTGTGTGACGAGCCAATTGTGAATTGGGAGTATCTAACATAATGTTACTATTTCCTTGATTCATACTTACAAGATATGACATTGTCCTGGACTGCACGGACAATGTAGCCACCAGGTATCTGCTGAATGATGCTTGTGTCTTAGCCAAGAAACCTCTAGTATCTGGGAGTGCTCTTCGATTTGAAGGACAGGTAAGGCGGAGAGTCTGTACTAGGCTATTCTTTGAAACCTCACTGTTTTTTTTTATTAACAACCATGGGACATACAGGCCTGGAAATGTCAGGGAATTTTGTATCAGAACTGAAAAAAGTAAAAACTTGATAGGAAACAGCCTGTTGATAAATTTATTGATGAGATACTTGGACTAATGCCTAATTTACTCCGATTCATCATGATTTAAAAAAAAGGTTTGGTCAATTTGAAGCAAGTTGAAATCAGTTTTGAACAAAATACTGCAATTAGCCGGGTGCTGGCCGATGAATAGGAGCAAATGTGACCTTTAGTGGCTGTGTAAAGCAAGGAAATCTGGAAATAATGTATTTCCTTAAGAGAGGCATGGGTTTCTGACTACTTGAAATGCAAGGAAAGGGTTTACGTAGAATAAAGTACAAGGGAGAACATTGGTAGATTATCAAATATCAACATATTTAATGTTTATCATGTCTAGACTTTGCCCTGGAAGATTTAATAGATTTGTATGTTGTATTTCTAGCTGACAGTTTATAACTACCAAGGTGGACCTTGCTACAGATGTCTTTACCCTAAACCTCCACCCCCAGAGACTGTTACTAATTGCTCAGATGGAGGTGTACTCGGTGTCAGTAAGTTACACAAAACTTTAAATATTCAAGAAAGAGCTACTGTGTTCAGTTGAAATGCATCTTTTGCGAAAAAGAAGTCTGTTTGATTGTTGAAAGTACATATATAAGTAAATTGATTTCCAATGGTATGACACAAATCTTAAGAAAATGAGAACACTGCCCTTCCCCAGGTATTAAGATATTTACTTTATTTAGAAATGTACTTTTCAGTTCCAGGTATTATTGGATGCCTACAAGCCCTGGAAGTTATAAAGATTGTAACAAATATAGAATGTATCCTTGTTTCAAATAAGCCAGTATGACAAGATTATCTGGTAACTTAGCATGTGCACTGGAAATTACACGAGCTTTTGGATACAGGATTAATTCCAAGGAAAAAATGAATATGCAAATGGACTACAGGGACGAGGGAGATATACATATTTCCCTCATGATAAACCTATAAACACTGTATGAACACTCCATAATGTATATCAATGCTATGCAAATACCAATTACATCAATTATATAAGATTGTATAAAGATTACCAGATTGACATTTCAATCAAAAATATTAGAAGTTATAATACCTTGACTCTCCTCTAGCTTCATATAAGCAAAAAATGCTGTTATTTGATGGACTTGATGGTTCATTCCGGAATATACGTCTCCGTCCTCGGCAGCCATCCTGTATATTATGTGGAGATGCACCATCTATTAGTAAACTTATAAACTATGAAGAATTTTGTGGTTCCAAACCAGATGATAAGGTATTTTAAAACCATCGGTTGCCTCATCTTTTTTACTATAATTATGAATACAAATTTATTTGTAATGATGAATAATTTGTAGATTTCAATAAAAAAATCCTTTGGAGACTTGTAATATTAAGGAAAATGATCGCAAGGTTAGATATAAAGATTATGAATTCTTATGTACAGGTTTGTCCAAGTAAGTAAATTAAATGACAAATAATTTTTATTTTAGTGTAGACTGGTGCGACTTCTTGAATCAAAAGAGAGAATATCACCTAAGGTAAGAAACAATAAAAAAGTTGAAGATTATTAATTAAGCAGTTTTTTGTTTTTCAATTTAAAGTTAATAAAGAATTTCGTAATAATGAATACATTTACAAAAATACATGATTTTATGGTTCATTCAGATCTTTACGAAATAGACTAATGATTATGATAACATGTACATGTTCATTAAATCTCTAACATTTACACCTTGTTTGATTTTTTTTATTATTCATTCCAGGATTATGCTAGTGTCTTAGAGTCGGACACATCACATGTCCTCGTTGATGTACGTTTGCCTGGAGAGCTAGAGATCTGCAAAATAGCATCGCCTCTTAGTATCCTTTACATATCTATTTCATACTGGTTATAATGGTTTCACTGGTCCCCACCTGGTCTTTAAAAATGGATGAACTTCTGTTCATTTTTATTTTCATCATTCTCACCAAGAGGGGGTCGATCTGTATACTAATATTTTACCCTTAGTTTAATAGTAGCATCCGGTTACTGAATAGCAAATCAGTCACGTGTATATACATCCAAGGGCTCCTATAATCTAGTGAGAGTTCCTCACTTCGGCAACCAGGATGTTAATAGGCCATAACAGGAAGCAACCAAGACGTTATGAAATTCAATAGATGATGTCCTGGTTGCTCAAGTGAGGAATTCTCACTCAATTGTTAGAACTTATGGATATACTTGCTCTTGACTGCCTAGATTTTTGATAACCGGATGTTACTGTTAGCATATGGGTAACATAACTCCTTTATAACCAAGTGGGGACCAGTGGGTTTGTAGGGCTTTATTTTCAATTTCCTTTGGGTTTCTCGCTCACCAGTTGTTTTATTTAATACATATAGTGTAGATATCAGTTAAACTAAACACAACAAAGATTTTGTTAATTTATCATGGTTGCCCCTCACCAGTTGTATTAATATTAGTAAAGAAGGTAGTTAATTAAACAAAACCAAAAGGTTGTTTAGCTGTGAATTATGGTACTAGTATGTTCCTTAACCCCTCCCTCACTAGATATTCCTATAGGAGAGATGAATGATCAGGCTCACATCAGCACACTGAAGGCAATGATTGACTCCATTAGGGTAGAGGAGGGACCCGTCCCAGGTAAATACACTGGAGAATTCAACCCATAATTCACAGCCTTGAAATATACTAGAGGCTACCATTTCTTACATTCACATTTTTAGCAATGCAGAATTGAATTTGTATTTTTATAATCACTTCTAAAAGAGAAACTACAAGGATATAATGTATTAATGTGCTAACTGATGTATTTCCAGTTTATGTTGTATGCAGAGCTGGCAATGACTCTCAGAAAGCTGTAGTTGCACTAAGAGAGAAGCTACTAAGATATATTGTATTAATATGACACATTTGATGTATTTCCAGTTTATGTTGTATGCAGAGCTGGCAATGACTCTCAGAGAGCTGTAGTTGCACTAAGAGAGAAGCTACTAAGATATATTGTATTAATATGATACATCTTTTGTATTTTCAGTTTATGTTGTATGCAGAGCTGGCAATGACTCTCAGAGAGCTGTAGTTGCACTAAGAGAGAAGCTACTAAGATATATTGTATTAATATGATACATCTTTTGTATTTTCAGTTTATGTTGTATGCAGAGCTGGCAATGACTCTCAGAGAGCTGTAGTTGCACTAAGAGAGAAGCTACTAAGATATATTGTATTAATATGATACATCTTTTGTATTTTCAGTTTATGTTGTATGCAGAGCTGGCAATGACTCTCAGAGAGCTGTAGTTGCACTAAGAGAGAAGCTACTAAGATATATTGTATTAATATGATACATCTTTTGTATTTTCAGTTTATGTTGTATGCAGAGCTGGCAATGACTCTCAGAGAGCTGTAGTTGCACTAAGAGAGAAGCTACAAGGATTGGATGTTGAGATGAAAGACATTAAGGGAGGACTTCTAGCTTGGGCTAGTCAGGTGGACTCTGAATTCCCAGTGTACTGAAGAACAATAAGTGCCATATTATGAAGATCAATGTGTATTTATTATCTAAATTGGAAGTATTGGTGTTGCAAAGAATACAAAAATACTGTGAACTCAAAATGATAAATAATGCTCATACATGTCTGTATAAATAAACTTTGAACTTAATATTCCTGAAAACAGACTGCAATTCTAAAGAAATGAACATTTCTAAGAGATTTGAGGGGTTCTTTTAATTTGTACTGCTATATAAGGTATATGGTAAGGATGGTTGCCAGAAACTATCATGTACTGTGCTTCATCAATTGGATTAGGAACATAATCAAGCATTCTCAGAATAGGACGGGATACTTCAAATTGAATTTACTTCCCAAATAAGATTAAGTTTATTAATTTCATTAATTAGTAACTACCCATATCTGGGTATATGAATATTACATACTGCCCTCCCTACTTTAAAAACACCCCTGTTTGAGAGAGCTGTTTGTCATTTTGGAGGTTCTTGCTAAAGTGAAGGGTATAAAACAATTTATCCTATACTTAGTAGTGCTATAGCTAAATAACATGTTGGAATATAATTAATATCTTTAATTAAGCGATACTTCATGCCTATGCATAGCATTCATCCCCACATGTATTTTGTCGAAGAAATTAAGAATATTGGTTGATAAATAAGCAAGAAGACAACTCCTCTATGCACGAATGTGGTTCAGAGAAAAATGCATTTAAGTTCTCATAGAAACCAATGGTAGATTAATATTTAAAACTAATCAACATTGGTTTATTTTGAGGTTTAGCAAATTCAGAAAAGATTGACAAGAAAACTTGTAAAACAAAATTCAAAATACTTTTGCCACTATTAGGTTGCATATTACTTTTTTGCCAAAACATTTAAGTGGCACATTAGATATGCCATTTTATTATTGAAGTGTGTCCTTTGTTCAATCTTTGCAATAGTGCTCAAAAGATATTGTGTTTTGCATTGTATAGTGGAATATTCCATGAATTTTTAACTTTCATTTGATAAATGATGTGAAGAATAATTGAAAAATAAAAAGCTGGACAACTTTTTTCAAACTTTGTATGGGCCCTTAAAAAACAAGACACATTGTTTGTATGTCATAACATGATGGTATATTTTTATTATCTTATAAAATATCACATTATACATTAACATCTTTATTAAATAATAAATTAAAATGAAATAAACTTCCAAATGTTGGAAACTAAAAGACCTATTGTTGGTTGCTCATATTCACTAAAATAATCACAATACACCCTAACAGATACATCTATCTAGTGTAATAGAAGTTAATAGAAATTTTTGTTTTATGATCTTTCCTGGACTATTACTTTTCAAGACACCAGACAAGTAACATTTTTCCATTCTGGTTGCATTTTTGTGTATCTATATGCACTATTTAAGGTCTAAAATCAAAATTCTTTTGGGGGGGCATGCCCCCAGAACCCCCTAGTTTTGCTCAGCCTTGCGTACCTGCTTTCAAAATCCTGGTTACGACTCTGATATTACAGAGCTTGTGAAGGAAATACAATATTTTGATCAGTATTTTATAATATCAAAAATATTGCCTGGTGTTACTGTTAATCGCCAAGAACTTTTTGGTTTCATGGAATAAAAACCTTTTCAATGATTTGAGTACATAAAATATTGAGCTAGAGAAAATCACAATATTTCTGTATTGTATGATATTTTTCATATATGTTATTTTTGAAATATTGGATATGTTTGCATCACATTGGCCAATAATCAGATTGCTAAAAATGTCACCATCATTGAATAAAATCTCAGACACTTTAATTAACTAATGAATTAAAAGTTCAGGGAATTAAAATTAGGACCACAAAGATCTACAGGATGTCCATAACGTATCTTTACACTTAAAATATAAAGTCTTTGTAAAGTGTAATGAGACTTTATGGACACTCTGTACATCTCAAACCTAGAAGATACATTTTCAGGTAATGGGTGATGACTCGCTATATAAGATGGCATCGGTGGTTTTGGATGGGCTAGAATAGTATTACATAACATGTTAGAAATAGACAAAAGTTACTTACTTGTTTTATCAATGTGAACTCAAAATAGTGATCCTTAAAAGAGAAAATCAATGTTTGATGTTCAAAATTAGAGTCATATATCCAGAGAGATATCATTTTGCATTTTTGAAATTTTCATACACAATCAGAATAAACAATGACGACTTTATTGAGATTACTAATTTCAAGCATATAATTTGTTTGCTCCAAGCTGCCCACTCTCATGTGCCAGTGTCACCCTGTGTAGGGCTAAATGTCCTAGATCTATTCCCCATATCAGGTGTAGAGGGGGCATTCCCCTGCTGTCTTTGAGTTGGGTTCTTTTCAAATATAGTTATTACACTTTTTGCCATTGTTGGCAGCTCCACCATGTGTTTAGGCAGATTAGCATTAGCTCTGCCAGTTTTACTTAAGTTCTTAATGCCTTCTATCACACTAGAACCTTCAAACTTCACCTGAAATATAAATTGAATTTTTTCTGATTGATCCTTTTCGCAACAGTTTACATAGCCTCCGATATCCATCCAAAACATGCAATGTAAAACTTACTGAGCTCGACAGCCAATGAAGCTTTATAGTACAATACAAATAATCACACACAACAAATTACAGTCACCACATGCCACAAACTCATGTTTTTTGTTTGATGGGAAGTGACCATTGCCCTGTGCAATTAATAAATAAAAAAATAAAATAAATATATCAAATAACTTTCAAGTTAATAATTTTCATTTAATTTTCACAAGTACTACAGTATTGGAAATATTGTAAACTGAGAAATACTTGGAAGTAATTTCCTTGATTAAATTCAATCACATGAAATGTTCAACAGTATACCAAGTAAATAAATATAATTTGTATTAGCTTACCTGGCAGTATATTTGTTTTGACTTGAGGGCTTGTAGTTTAGGACTGACAGCACATCCTCTGAATCTCAGGTTGGTCTGTAACATAACATAAATTGGTTCTTTGTATAAAACTGATCAGGATTCATGATGTTTCATCTATTTTTTGTTAGAAAACATGATTTTAGGGAGACTCTAAAATATAGATTAGAAAGCAAATCAATCTTAGATAGTGAAAAAATGTATGTAGACTGGGCAAAGAGAGTGATATTTGCCATAGGTTTACTGACCTTATAAAGGACTTTCTCCAGATTCGGCTGTTTATTTGGTCCAAACTTTTCTGTAAGGTACTCAGTACGCGATTGGTTGTTGGTCTCATGTTCAAACAATATGCGACTGTCATGTTCTTCTCCTTCCTCTAAAAATACAAAAGTTAAATTGATCAACAGTAAAGCTCAATAAATTAAATCTCAACAATCAATTCAATAAATGTCCTCAATCAAAACAATAACCTAGATGCGAGTAGGTAGTTACCAGTTTCACCACCAGTTGGCGCATCCGGGTCAGATAACTTTGCAGGCATAGTAGAAAATTCCATTTAACTTGAATATTCATCAGTTTTAATGGTTCAATTTCCATATCACCCTTACTTATCTAATTCAATTAAAATATGTTATGTCCAGTAAATGAAAATATCATCTGTCCAATACAAGAAAATATTTCACTTTTTGTGATTTTGTAACATGGGATCTATGGGGAATCGCCCCGAACTAGAAATGCATTTTCCAAAAAATTAAAATTTCAAATATGAAACCACTTTGACTGAATTTTGAATATTTAATGACAAAAATCAAGAATATTTCTACTCGCATCTTGTCTGTTGATCTCAGCAATCAATAGTAAAGCTCAACAATCAATACCATGAATCAAAAATCAATACTTAATCTCAGCAATCAATAGTAAAGCTCAACAATCAATACAATGAATCTCAAAAATCAATAGTAATGATGGTCATCATTACAATTCAACTTCCACAAATATTACACACAAACAGCAATAGATCAAAATCATTTTTTACATATACACCATTTACAAATGGAGGGTACCTTTCAGTCCAATGATGTGATACAACATACTGTTGTAATGTGTTATGTTTTAAAGTGTTAAACTTAGAATACACTGTTGTTGTAATGTATAATAGTGTTGTCGCGATGTGCCATAATCGTACATCGATGCATCGGCAATTTGCAGTTGTAAACATCGATGCACATCGTGATGTACATCGAGAAAACAAGTCCGAGAAAAGTGCACTGAAATACTGAACGCTAATGCACTAAAATACCGAACAGAACAAATTAATAAGAGTACGCTGGTACATCCGGGAACTTCTAGTAACGGTGAAATGAAAGTAAAGTAATTTAATGGTTCATTTCGACAAGCTAAAACAGTTTAAAAGCGAAAGAATATCAGAAAACATTGGAAAATGAAATAAAACATGAGAAAGGTAAGCGATTTGCGTCAAAATAAGATAAGAAAAGGTGATTTTTAGCAAATTAATTTTTTTTAAAAACATCAATGTTTTGTTTCAGACAACGATGCATCGCCAGAATCCGCTTTGGCGATGTATATCGCGATGTATCGATTAATCGCGACAACACTAATTAAATGTATAATGTTGTAATATGTTGAAATGAATTATTTTAAAACATACACCGATTTAAAATATTTAACTGTGCTTTGATATTGCAATACAAACCTGAATCTTGTCTTTTTCTCTTTCTCGTTAAAGGATGAGAGTCTGCCTGGTTTTGTTGGAACCTCGTATATGCTCCCTGGAAATCAAATCATAACAAACATTTAAACAAGGCATTAACATGACAAAATGTCACCACCTAGTTGCTCACAATATTATGAGTTCAAACTTAAGTCAGATTTGAATTTCTGAGAACTTGTAAAGTCAAATTTGAACTTCTGAAAAGATGTAGATGTAGATGATTTTGAAAAAAAAATTTGGTCAATTTGAAGCAAGTTGAAAAAATACCTTTTTGACCTTTTTTGACCTTGAGAAGGTCATTAAAGGTCAAATGTCAAATCTAAAGTCAGATTTGAATTTCTGAGAACATGTAGATGATTTTGAAAAAAAAAATTAATCAATTTGAAGCAAGTTGAAAAAAGACCTTTTTGACCTTTTTTGACCTTGAGAAGGTCATTGAAGGTCAAATGTCAAATCTAAAGTCAAATCTAAAGTCAAATCTAAAGTCATATTTGAATTTCTGAGAACATGTAGATGATTTTGGAAAAAAAATTTAGTCAATTTGAAGCAAGATGAAAAAATACCTTTTTGACCTTTTTGACCTTGAGAAGGTCATTGAAGGTCAAATGTCAAATCTAAAGTCAGATTTGAATTTCTGAGAACATGTAGATGATTTTGAAAAAAAAATTTAGTCAATTTGAAGCAAGTTGAAAAAAGACCTTTTTGACCTTTTTTGACTTTGAGAAGGTCATTGAAGGTCAAATCTCAAATCTTAAGTCAAATCTAAAGTCAGATTTGAATTTCTGAGAACACGTAGATGATTTTGAAATTTTTTTTAGTCAATTTGAAGCACGTTGAAAACAGATCTTTTTGACCTTTTTTGACCTTGAGAAGGTCATTGAAGGTCAAATGTCAAATCTAAAGTCAGATTTGAATTTTTGAGAACATGTAGATGATTTTGAAAAAAAAATTTAGTCAATTTGAAGCAAGTTGAAAAAAGACCTTTTTGACCTTTTTTGACTTTGAGAAGGTCATTGAAGGTCAAATGTCAAATCTTAAGTCAAATCTAAAGTCAGATTTGAATTTCTGAGAACACGTAGATGATTTTGAAATTTTTTTTTAGTCAATTTGAAGCAAGTTGAAAACAGACCTTTTTGACCTTTTTTGACCTTGAGAAGGTCATTGAAGGTCAAATGTCAAATCTTAAGTCAGATTTGAATTTCTGAGAACACGTAGATGATTTTGAAAAAAAATTAAGTCAATTTGAAGCAAGTTGAAAACAGTCCTTTTTGACCTTTTTTGACCTTGAGAAGGTCATTGAAGGTCAAATGTCAAATCTTAAGTCAGATTTGAATTTCTGAGAACATGTAGATGATTTTGAAAAAAAAATTTAGTCAATTTGAAGCAAGTTGAAAAAAGACCTTTTTGACCTTTTTTGACCTTGAGAAGGTCATTGAAGGTCAAATGTCAAATCTAAAGTCAGATTTGAAGGTCAAATGTCAAATCTAAAGTCAGATTTGAATTTCTGAGAACATGTAGATGATTTTGAAAAAAAATTTAGTCAATGTGAAGCAAGTTGAAAAAAGACCTTTTTTACCTTGAGAAGGTCATTGAAGGTCAAATGTCAAATCTAAAGTCAGATTTGAACTTCTGAGAACATGTAGATGATTTAGAAAAATATTGAAGTCAGTCTAAACAGTATTTGTTAAGTTATAGGAAGTTGTAAGAAATTGTTACAGACGCCGGACGCCAACCGCCAGACGCCAACCGCCGGACGCCAACCGCCGGACGCCGTCACAAAAAAACGGAGACCATAACAATATGTCACCACTTTTGGTGGTGACATAAAAACTGCTTATCTTTAAGAATAATTGGAAAATGAAACAAGGCATTAACATGACAAAATGTCACCACCTAGTTGCTCACAATATTATGAGTTCAAACTTAATATAAGTCAGATTTGAATTTCTGAGAACTTGTAAAGTCAAATTTGAACTTCTGAAAAGATGTAGATGATTTTGAAAAAAAAATTTGGTCAATTTGAAGCAAGTTGAAAACAGACCTTTTTGACCTTTTTTGACCATGAGAAGGTCATTAAAGGTCAAATGTCAAATCTAAAGTCAGATTTGAATTTCTGAGAACATGTAGATGATTTTGAAAAAAAAAATTAGTCAATTTGAAGCAAGTTGAAAAAAGACGTTTTTGACCTTTTTTGACCTTGAGAAGGTCAAATGTCAAATCTAAAGTCAAATCTAAAGTCATATTTGAATTTCTGAGAACATGTAGAATGTAGATGATTTTGAAAAAAAATTTAGTCAATTTGAAGCAAGATGAAAAAATACCTTTTTGACCTTTTTTGACCTTGAGAAGGTCATTGAAGGTCAAATGTCAAATCTAAAGTCAGATTTGAATTTCTGAGAACATGTAGATGATTTTGAAAAAAAAATTTAGTCAATTTGAAGCAAGTTGAAAAAAGACCTTTTTGACCTTTTTTGACTTTGAGAAGGTCATTGAAGGTCAAATGTCAAATCTTAAGTCAAATCTAAAGTCAGATTTGAATTTCTGAGAACACGTAGATGATTTTGAAATTTTTTTTTAGTCAATTTGAAGCAAGTTGAAAACAGACCTTTTTGACCTTTTTTGACCTTGAGAAGGTCAAATGTCAAATCTTAAGTCAAATCTTAGGTCAGATTTGAATTTCTGAGAACACGTAGATGATTTTGAAAAAAAATTTAGTCAATCTGAAGCAAGTTGAAAACAGACCTTTTTGACCTTTTTTGACCTTGAGAAGGTCATTGAAGGTCAAATGTCAAATCTAAAGTCAGATTTGAAGGTCAAATGTCAAATCTAAAGTCAGATTTGAATTTCTGAGAACATGTAGATGATTTTGAAAAAAAATTTAGTCAATGTGAAGCAAGTTGAAAAAAGACCTTTTTGACCTTGAGAAGGTCATTGAAGGTCAAATGTCAAATCTAAAGTCAGATTTGAACTTCTGAGAACATGTAGATGATTTAGAAAAAAATTGAAGTCAGTCTAAACAGTATTTGTTAAGTTATAGGAAGTTGTAAGAAATTGTTACAGACGCCGGACGCCAACCACCAACCGCCGGACGCCGTCGCAAAAAAACGGAGACCATAACAATATGTCACCACTTTTGGTGGTGACATAAAAATTGATTGGCTCCCATGATAAACTTCTTTGAATATTGATACGAGTAACGATATTTACATCACAATACGATACAAATGGTATGGCCCATAGACATGGTAAATAAAGTTCATAAAAATTTTCACAAGAGATGAAAATCAAAAAATGAAAACTGTTCAGTCTTTCGGTATTTGTCTGTTATTAACACTCATTTATTCCTGTTTGAACCTATACTTTCTTTATTTCAAGTCCCATTGTTAAATATTAAATTACTGTAATGAGGTGAGGACATTCGCAAGAATAAACGAGGAAAACAAACCAGAAAATCTGTACTCGCACGTCTTGACTGTTAGTCATTTTTGTCTTTGTTTATATCAATATGTTACTACGGTGACCATATATGGTCCCAAGTTTCTTTGCCATCAAAATGTACTTATGAATCTCAAACGAATTGTAATCACATTTCCGTTAACCAATAGCGAAGCAATCTTTTAAAATGACAAAATCATCGAATAATAAAAAGTCAATGATGACATTTTCAACATGATGATTTGCTAATACTTAGAATGACAGAGATTCCCTGTGAAATCGCCAGACAGTTTTGGCAGGAAATGTTGAAACAGGCATGATTTTAATAGTTTTAAGATATGGTGGGTGGTTTTTCAAGCTCAATAAACTAATTTATAAAACAATTAATTTTCGATATTCAAGTTGAATATCGATACACTTGTATCATGACCAATTGCTCGAGCACTCTGGCAATATTGAGAAATCACGGGACCCCTAATTGACATGCAGGCTATACCTCCCAACATTTTATACTCTTAGTCTTTGCTGTACATAGATAAAGGTATATTTTCAATATTAAATCCAGTGGTGGGGGTTTGCTTTTCAGTAGATAGTTAAATCCTCTTTATTTTTCGATGCTAGACAATTATGGTACATCAATGTAACATCGTCCGCAAAAATTGCATTGGGTGAACTTAAATCAAATAAATGAAAGCCAAAGTATTCACTCACTAAACTTTTCTGATGGTTTGCCAGTTGTGCCAGAGACACCACACAATGACCTGCTAGAGGTAAGTCTTCCCATGTTACACACTTAAGTGTACTTAGTACAGCCTGGAATATAAAATGAACATGTGCTATGAAATAATTTCGACTTAACTGTTCATACATTAGGCTATCACTACTATAATTTTCAGGAAATTAGGCAAGGAATTTACATTTAAGAAAATATCACCCCTGCCGGGTTACAGAAGTGTAGCAATGTGTTACATTTGTCAACTGCTGTACAGTACTTACAAAAATTAAAATGATTTTGAAAAAATCATGCTTCACAATAAATCTAATAAAAACATTGAAGCCACCCAAAAATTAATTTGTGATAAGAATGTAATGCTAGCTTTAAAAATATGTTACCATTTCTTAGTTGTGATGTAACAAGGCACAGGACGTGAACGAGATCACACCATCAAATAGGCAGACACTATGAACCAGGAAAACTGTTCTCCTATTATGTTTACAAATTTCAAGAACAAGAAAACAAGATGGCGGCCCAAAAGTTAATCAGCTCTAGTACTTGATATCCTCTATCATTTGTGTAAATTTGAAGGAAATCCGATGAGCGGTTTTCCTGAAATGGCGATGACAAGATTTTTCAAAAAACCTTCAAAATGGCCACCAGAAAACAAGATGGCCACCCAACAGTTAATCAGCTCTAGTACTTGATATCCTCTATCATGTGTGTAAATTTGAAGGAAATCCGATGAGCAGATTTTCTGAAATGGCGATGACAAGATTTTTCGAAAAATCTTCAAACTGGCTGCCAGAAAACAAGATGGCCGCCCAAAAGTTAATCAGCTCTAGTACTTGATATCCTCTATCATTTGTGTAAATTTGAAGGAAATCCGATGAGCGGTTTTCCTGAAATGGCGATGACAAGATTTTTCGAAAAACCTTCAAAATGGCTACCAGAAAACAAGATGGCCGCCCAAAAGTTAATCAGGTCTAGTACTTGATATCCTCTATCATGTGTGTAAATTTGAAGGAAATCCGATGAGCAATTTTTCTGAAATGGCGATGACAAGATTTTTCGAAAAATCTTCAAAATGGCTGCCAGAAAACAAGATGGCCACCCAAAAGTTAATCAGCTCTAGTACTTGATATCCTCTATCATTTGTGTAAATTTGAAGGAAATCCAATGAGCAGTTTTCCTGAAATGGCGATGACAAGATTTTTCGAAAAACCTTCAAAATGGCCGCCAGAAAACAAGATGGGCACCCAAAAGTTAATCAGCTCTAGTACTTCATATGCTCTATCATCTCTGCGAATTTGGAGAAAATCTGATGAGCAGTTTTCCTTAAACGGCGATGACAAAAAGCGGGACGATCATGATCACGATCACGACCATGACCAGTATGATGACTATATCCCACCGATGGTGTGATAAAAAGAGATAGTGGGAGTGTAATGATTAGTACAGATTTACTGTACACAGGGCAATAAGGGATGCTGGAAAATATCAAATTTGAAATCATCTTTATCAAGGTGCAGTACTTTCCACAACTAATAAATATCATTACAATCAAGATAGAAAGACTGTTATCAATACAATTAATATCAGGGATCTCCACAGGATTTTTTCTCAAGTGGGTGCACAATTCTCATTTTCACAAATCAGACCAAAATTGGTTAAATTATGCCAATTTTTCACGATTTTTCTCATTTTCAAGTGGTTTCAAATGGATTTTCAGGTAGGTGCAAGCCTATTTTCAAAATCTCAGGTGGGTACTGCACCCACTTGCTTAAATGTGGGGAGATCACTGAATATGATTTGCGAAGTAAAAGAAACTCACCCGTCTTATATAGCTCTTATATGCAGCACTCATTGTTGAAGATATAACAGTGTCTGTGTGAGGATAGTGGGCTATGTAGGTGACATGTGTAGGAATATAGGACTTGTATTCTTGAATTGACACTCTCATCCAAAAAGCTTCGTTATTCTCCAACACATTCACATCCTGTAAAATATCGATCACGCCATTTCAGGGAGGCCATAAAAAAATGTAACATAAATTCAACAGATTTCCTGCAGATTCCAGAGTCAGCATATTTCTTTGTGTATGTGTTAGTTTTCAGCGTTTTACACAAGGACGTATCTGTTTCAACCTTACCAGATCATCTCATAATAAGGCAATGGGAGTCAACATGAGTGTAAGGCATAATTCTTGGAATATTTCCATAAAAATAGATTTTGAAATTAATTTTAACTCTAGCTATAATAATGAAATTTTTAAGTGGTTGCAAGTTTATTTTATTAATTTTTAATAAATCTTGATTGAGTACAATGCCTACTTGGTTCAATGCTGGACGAATCAGTGTATTTATATATAAAACGAACTACTCACAGCATCGAAGTGTGCCAGGTTGCGACTGAGACCTGACTGTAGCATCTTAGCTGTAAGCACTGTATGTTCACCTGTAAACAAAGTAGAAAACAAAGTGAAACTGACATTTAATAAGTAATAAAAATACACACGGTGAACAATATCGCACCCTTGAACAGAAATGGCTGTCTTAACATTTATCTAGAATGTCGAAAAACTAATCAGTTCTAAACTTTCATAGGTAGAAACATCCCTGAGAATTTCAAATGAATCCCTCAAACGGTTTGGCTGGAAACCTGTTGACAAGCCTTGACAGACAAGATTTTAGGACGGAAAATCCAAAATGGCCACCTTAACATCTACCAAGAATGCCGAAAAACTAATCAGTTCTAAACATCCATAGGTAGAAACATCCCTGAGAATTTCAAATGAATCCCTCAAACAGTTTGGCTGGAAACCTGTAGACAAGCCTTGAAAGACAAGATTTTAGGACGGAAAATCCAAAATGGCCGCCTTAACATTTACCCAGAATGCTGAAAAACTAATCAGCTCTAAACTTTCATAGGTAGAAACATCCCTGAGAATTTCAAATGAATCCCTCACACGGTTTGGCTGGAAACCTGTAGACAAGCCTTGACAGACAAGATTTTAGGACGGAAAATCCAAAATGGCCACCTTAACATTTACACAGAATGCCCAAAAACTAATCAGTTCTAAACTTTCATAGGTAGAAACATCCCTGAGAATTTCAAATGAATCCCTCAAACGGTTTAGCTGGAAACCTGTAGACAAGATTATTCGGGACGCCCGCCCAACCGCCCGCCCGGCAAACTGATTACAATATAGCACCTTAGGGTGCAATAAAAATAATATTTCCTTTGGTCTGTCTCTATCTTATGTTTCAATGTTTATAATATTGAAATGCTGTCCCAAGAATGTTTTCAAAGCGCAAATCTTCATTTTTCTCTAATGTAGAACTATGAAAACGATATGAAGAACTATGAAAATTATATACATATAAAATAAATGTGCGCTACATTATTGACTATTTCCTCTTGAATTCCAATTACTCTAGGTTGAAAGTATTTCTTCTTCTTGGTCAAATGAATTTCACGAGATAAAGGCTCTCTATTCCAGGCCTAATGTACATGAAGATATATTTGAAATGTGACCAATATAATATACCTCTCACCTGAAGCTTTCTTGAGTTTACTGACCAACCAATTTTTCTTCTTGCTGTTCTCGGAGACATCTACAATAAAACAAGGAAAAAAATCAATATTTTCCCCCGGTGTGTATTAGGGATGGGACGGTTACCCGAGACTGGAGTTTTGGACATGGAGTTTTGTCCCGTTCCGAAGTTCTGATGTTCCAAAGGCCAAAATACCTTCCTGTTCTGTTCCGTCCCATCCCTAGTGTGTATATGTAAAGAATGTTTCAGCTTTGATAACAAACATTTTTAGAATTAAAAATGATAATTAAACTTACACATCAAGTCTAGCATCCCAACATCTTGAGTTGACCTTCTCTTGTGTTTCTACAATGAATTAAAACATATTCATGTATCTTTGATGGTATTTCACACTCAAAATTTTTGAATAAGAGTAAATGTTTTGTATAATGTCATGAAATGTTGTGTGATACAAGTATGACACAATAATTTGCATATAATCTTTCATGGAACATTTCTCAGGATACATTACTTTACAAAACTGACTTATCTATGTCGTAGTTAGTTTGGAACGAAATAAGTAGCCGAGACTTTTCTATATTTTATGTGATCATGCACACTTAGCAGAAGTTTTGTTTTTGCTATTTTTCATAGTTCAGGAACAAACACGTAAATATATTTTACAATATTTATTCATCTATAAGCCCATATGAGCAGTGTGTCCTTAAAGAGTAAATACCCCCATTTCGGAATGGATAATGGGAAGTTCTCCATTACAAATAAAGTTACTCACTTCGAGAGCCATGTTAGATTTTGAAACTCATGGCTTTCCAAAGGAGAAATGGACAACTGAATAAAAGTGACCTTTGAAACACGAATTAAGGTGATCAGCGGCGTACTTTTGTTCTCTCTTTTCGACCAAGAGTAGACTTGTAATTGTTAGTCGTGTGAATGTTTTTTCTGCCAAATTCCAATATGGCATTTTCTGCTCGGACATTTCCGTAAATCTCCGGAGGTTGTCCGAACCTAAACAATTCTCAAAATTCATTTCATTCGTTGACCCCTAGATTCACTCGATGAACAATTTACAAGTCTTGATCGAAAAAGTATTTCAGTGCTCCAATACTTGCACGGATGGATGATACTGATGAGAGACCAAAAGTAAACCGCTGATCTCATTATTCATGTTTTAAAGGTCACTATTATTCAGCTGTCCAGTGCGCCTTGGGAAAGCTATCATATCAAAATACACAATAATGGGGGGGGGGGGGGTTTCACTAGACATACAAGGGGGTTCTCTATGCATTTCGCATTAGTCTAGCCCAGATCTACGACATTTCAGAATATGGGAGTAGATATTTGGGCCAAACTGGTTTTGTTAAAAGATAAGATAATAATATAGCCTAAAGTGAGACCGTTTGTAATTTCTTGTTCGTGTTGTTCAAATCATAAAAATTTTCAGTTCTTGAAGTTGTTGACTTACAGTGGGGGACAAAAATAAAACTCAACGTTCACAAGTTGTCACAATGAGCTAATTTCCAAGTTTCGTGTCTCAAACTCTCCCAAGCGGTAGAAAAATAATTCCCGTTCACTAAAGTAGCACAATAAATGAATCCAAAGCTTCATACCTGCAAATAATGGATAAATCCCTACCAAATCGAATGAATGTTTTCAAGAATCGCCATGTTTGTTATCCAAGGACGGTTGACTCCCAGAATGCAACATCAGTTAACCGTATTTACTCATGAAAGATTTCAAAATGGCGGAACAGCATTTTGAAAGCTGGCACGTGTCATGTTGCATTCTGGGAGCCAATCCTCCGTTCCGGCGCAATCGGGCGACAAAATCACCTCAACATTTGAAGAGTCGGCATAACATGTGAATATCCAATTCAACTTTTGAAGTTCTTATTTATCATTAGGGATACAAATTCCACTATATTTGGACTAACTAAGACGGACAAAATAGAGCACTGAATACACTGAGGTAAGAATTTATTACATGTGCGACAGCATGTAATTTTCATAGCTTAAGGACAGGGTGCATGTTGGGAAATTTTCTGCATTCCTCAATTGAGTCACATGTTATTTTTCAAACATGAATAACTCCTTCCCCACATTGTCTACATCTTCTAAGTTTGCACAAAGAGTGCACTTCTGTGCCTAGAAAAGCCTTGTGAGAAGGTTTGTTTTGTAAAATGTATAAAAAATGAGAAAATTCAGTGAAAAAATTTCTGAAAATTTTCTGATTTTTTTCACTGAATTTTCTTGTTTTTTATACACTTTATCAAAACATTCTTCTCACAAGTCTTTTCTAGGCACAGAAGTGCACTCTTTGTGCAAAACTGGAAGATATAGACAATGAAGGGAAGGAGTGATTCTTGTTTGAAAAATAACATGTGACTCAATTGAGGAATGCAGAAAATTTCCCATCATGCACCCTGACCTTAAATTGCAATTCTTTATGATCACTGTACCTTATATATGGCAGCGATATTGGTTATGATGTTGCCTTTAGCTGCACTAAATTTTATTTTCTGTTGAATTTCATTTTCATTGATGGATCCCCATTTTTCCAAATACAATGGTATATCTGGTTTCTTTAACTTTCCAAGGACCTTCCTCAATATTTCCTCCTCCATTTTAAATTTACGAAAATGGCGCCTTTCATGACAGAAGTTTCTAAACATTTTCTCTGTTATCCTTTCAAAGATGAGAAAACTGGTCAATATAAACATTATAACGGAGTCTCAAATTAATTCTCAAATTATTTTTGTATTATTTAAGAATAACATTTTAAAGTTTGAATGGTAAATAATGAAATATGAATAACAGATACGCCTCTTGTTTTTAGAGCAACACATATTTTGATGACGTAGTTCACAACCTCACGTTACAAAACTTTCAGAAAGTCGAAGGCAGATGAATATTCTTGTCATACCACACACAGGTAAGTAATGAACATATTTTATAAATAACTTCAGTTTCGATGAATTTATTCGTGCTGAATTTACCATGTTACTTTCAATATTTAGTCCATAATTTAGAACCTTTTCTAAAAATTAAATTTATCGATGAAATTGAAAGTTGATAAATTTCTGGCGCAGGAGAGCCTACTACTTTTTTCAAGGCCTGACTGCGTCGCTAACATGCTAAATATAAGAGTTAGCTGACGTTTGGGAGTCTGACTTACCTTCTAAAGGTTAGAACCCGAATCTTAATGAAACCATATCACCTTTGTTGCGTCGATGATGATGCATAAACATAGCATTTGATAGAAATTAGCGTAAATGCTTTTCCGACTTTTTCATTTTTCATCAATGTTGACTTCCGGGAAGGCGTTGTAGTTATCACGAAATAACGCATTGACCCTTGAACTTTACTTTGTTGACGTGTCAACCAAGCATGTCTGGTGTGAAAATTAAAAGAATATTAATATTATTAAGCAATGTTCTACATCCGCCAAGCTAAGTGAAGTAGTCAATATTTAAAATTACCAATTTCAAGTGAAGTACGCAACGAACGAAACTGCGTGATCTACACTCCCACTATTGGTCTGAATGAAATGCTACGTAGAAATATGAGCCGTCTGCTGTATTAGTCGATTAATAGAGTAAGACCTGTTGGTGATGCTTTATAATTTAGACCAAAACATTGAAGAACAAACGAACCTGTAAATCGTGAAAACAACGAACAAAAATTCGGTTTTCACATATGTTCGGTAATTTTTCGTATTGAAACTTCCAGAACTTACAAGGAAATCATTCATTTTCTCGATCCATGATTTACCTCTTGGATGTTGTGGCAAATGCTCCATGGTTGACGGAACAAAGGTGATATGGTTTCATTAAGATTCGGGTTCTAACCTTTAGAAGGTAAGTCAGACTCCCAAACGTCAGCTAACTCTTATATTTAGCATGTTAGCGACGCAGTCAGGCCTTGAAAAAAGTAGTAAGTCAGATTTGAGACTAGCCTAGGCCTAGTAGTTCAGGGGCGTCGGACCATATTTCAGAAGAGGTACGTTTTTACAGAAAATATAGGTGGGGAAACTGATGGTCAAAGACTGCACACTCAAGGGGGGGGTCTGGGCAGGGACATTTTTTTCGAGGTCTCCTCTGCCAAAGGCAGTGCAAAGTAGGAGCGTAGCGACTACTTTGCGGGAGACCTTTGATCATGTTTACTCACGTTTGCTCCTGTAATTATTCACTTCTTCACCTCTTTAATTAAAATGTGATTTCAATCAGTTGATCAAATTTTTGGACTTTGACCTGAAATTCAAATATAAATATTTATAAAAAAATACTGACTCATTATTATATTTTTAAAAGTCTTTCAAATAAAGTGAAATGAAGCCGAAATCAGCTAAAATTATGCAATGTCGTAAAATGGCGTGACTGGAATATGATGCAATCACCCGTGACATCAGACACATATTGCCACATCAACAACTAAACAAACAATTAATATAGACTTCACTGATTGGTTTAAAGATTCTTTGCATCATTTGTGACGTCATAAACATGTTACCCAACCAACAACTAAACAAATAACAAATACTAGGTTCGTTCAGTGCCATGCTCTTGAATCAGTTATAAACAGGGATTATCAACATTTTCTTGTTATTTGAAGTGCAATCTGATTGTTTTTAATGACATATCAATATCAATGATATATAGTTTTATCTAATAAAATAAAACTACATTTTTTGTAGTTTTTAAGAATCTCATTAAAAAAATTCTGGGCTGTTTCAGAGGGAGTGTGTTTGCATCCAATGCACCCCCCCCCCTTTTGACGCCCATGTAGTTCAATAAGTTAAATCCAATAGCTTTAATTATTGATCTGAATTTTCTTGGATTTAACTTCCATGCAATGTAATCATGCATTGCAAATTTTCCTCTACACAATTAATATGTGACAGATACTTGACAATATTATAGATCATTCCACGTAACATTTTTGTATTAAATGTTGATTTATGATAGATAAAGGCCGACTATGCATTTTCAGTATTTATAGCCAAATTAAAACTTTTCATCATCCTAGAATATCATTTAGATTGTTCAGTACTCGAAGTTTTGTTTGTTAACAAAAACACCTTGAACGAGCCATATAGTAGCTTACATTCTTAAATTAGATAAAAAATTATATATTATCTAATCTGTCAAAGTTTTGTCGATGATTTTTATCATTTCCAACACCAGATGGCGATGTTTTGATTACATCGCGTGAGGCCTCTCCTGGCATGAGACCCCTGCTCTAGGGGTCAGCAAAATATTACACCATCTATTCTCATAAAAGTAACATGAAAACCTACTAGTTGTAAATAGCACAGGTGAACCAAAACAAATGTTCAATGCTCATGCTGTTTTTACGTGAGTAATTTTTTCTAAGTTTGAGATTTGCATTAAAGAAGCTTTGTGTAACAATAAGACTGTGAGAATGTTGTGTTCCCATGATTTTTTTATGTTTTATTTCCCTTTTTATTTGTTCCTCAATAGGCATTGTCAGTCTTTAAATGTGGTTATTGTTGATTACTGGAATGTATTTTTGCATCGACCATTTGGCGAAATTAAACTGCTTTTGAATAAATTTTCAGAAATCAACCGAAGGATTAACATGCAAGCTTGATTGATCCCTATAATCCAGTAATCCTATAATACACAGAAAATGCATATTAATGTTACCTTATTAACTTGTTACATTCAAAGTGCAATCAGGTTTAGATTACATTTCCCCAGTTTCGGTGATAAAGAACTGTTACCATCTTAACCCTATGAATGGTGTCTTGGACTGCACTTTCTTCTATTTATATGGTCACAGACAAGTATTTAAATTCCGCCAAAATTCCATGAAACTTAGTATTGTAATATTGCAAGTCCGCTAAATTAAGTTGCCACCAAATGTTCAAAGCAGTAAATCTGCTAAAATAAGTAGCGCCAAATTAAGTAGAAGTACAGTCTCCACTTTCTTAAAGGGATTTCATCAATATTGAAAATAGGTACTACCTTTTCAGAAACATTGACACAACGGAAAATTGCCTCAGGATGGCATTTAGGAAGAACGGATATTGTGTCGGTGCTTTGATTGGTTACTGTGCTCTGGTGATCATACCTGTCGTACACCTAGCTGTCGTATACAGCTACTGGAGTGAGAAAGCATATGTAGACACTGAACAATGTACATGCTCCTGTTGGGACACTATCTTCAAAGGTTCTTATGAAACTCACTTCTCTGGATATAAACACATTTACATCAATGTTACATCAAATACTTTGAAAATCTGGATGCTTACCATGTTAGCAGTATTGTGCCTCTATGAATCCATAAAGTACGTCGTTAAACTGACCTACAAGGGAACGATTAGAATAACAATGCTCGCAGCCTTCGTGAGCTCTATATATCCACATTATTATACCTGGTGGTCATTTCTCAACTATTGGAACGATGAATTCTACGACCAGTGGAATCACCAGGTTTTCTTTAGCACAACTGAGCTAGCGTCAACTATTGTGACGTTATTATTACTAAATACAGAAGACAAACATGAAATAAGATACAGGATACTGCTATTATTAATAATGATCAATGTTGGTGTCATACATATTTTAACAGCTGGAACTGACCAGTTATTTGTTAATGTGGTGGCTGGGGAATGGCATCAAAAGACAAGAGATTTAGGATTCCTTATTGGAGATATTGTATCAATAGCTGCAGCATTTTTGGAAATAGGATTCATTACTAGACATAGACCACTGAGGGAATGCATCAAAGATGAAGATGCTTTCATCTCTTGTCTATTTATCATATTTATGTGGTTTCTAGCATCACGTTTGTGATCATTATAAAAAGATCTTAGGACATGCTAATATAATGACGATACCCCAGGTCATAAAATCAAATGTAATACTTTGAGTAAATTAAAAATTGTGTTTAAAAAATATGTATATCCAGTTTGTTTGTTAATATTTATATTTATTAACTCATTTGAAATAGAATAATTATGTCACCACTACCAGCAGTGGTGACATATTGTTATAGGATCCAACTTTTTTGTAGATGGTGTTCGGCAGTCAGAGTTCAGTATTCAGAGTTAGATGACTGTAACAAATGGCAAGTGGTGACATGTTGCATGTTGATACCTGGTTGAATTATGGAGTGTACATGCTACTTTCTCTAGCAAAAGCATACCTCTTTCTGGGGAAATATGTACATTTCATTGCATGAGATCATAATAAAAAAATTATGAGATGAGATAAATGCTTTTGTCAGTGTGCAACTCCAAAGTGGTTGCTACTTTTGAGAAAATATACACAGTGCCTTGTCAGTCTGCATTTGTAGCAAAAGATGTATTTTTCAAAAACTTCCCACCAAAGCATGTCATAGGTGACATTTTATTTTTCTATAAAATTTTCTATAGTTTATTTTTGCATGAGGCAGCACTGCCTAAATCTATATAGTATTTTCAAAGCTTGTAATGGCCAAATTTTACCTACAACTCTGATTCAGTCAGCTACTTTTGAGATTTCCAACCCCAAAATAGGCACTTAAATTTTAACCACCCAGCATTGAATCATAAATCAAGTCAACAACATGAGCATGAAATCTGACATCTTTCAATGAAAAGCTATCAAGAGATACCAAATCCCCCCAACTCACCAAGAGGTATTTTTATTTTAAATTGTATTGCATTTCAGATATTGCTTGAGATCCTAGATTGAGACAGAGGTACACAATGCATCCTGACTTATCTCCACATCTTCACAGTGAGGCATGTAATGTCATCATAGCTGATTTACACAGGTGCCATAAAGAGGTAAATGTTCCTTAATTAATAAGTATTAAGTATGGTTCCTGGCTCTCTCATAGCTTGGAATGATTATCTCATTGTCTATTCATTTTGGTGCTATTATATGTCCATCTTATCTCTATTTATTCTTCTTTACTGTTACTCTCTACTCAAAAGCCTAAAATAAACTTTGCTGCTATTAACTGTGAAGCATCAAATAAAACATAAGATGATCTTAAAATTAATTTTGTTATAATGGCAGTGTTCTCCATAGTGCAACATTAAGTTGTAAAAATGATACAGAATATCACCAGATCAAAATGTGAACACATCTTAAAAATCATGTCATTCTTTCAACAATTCATTCATATAACATATGTTGTTGTTTTTTTACTTTTCAGAATCCATTTAAGAAATTCCTAGGTCAATGCAACCAAATAGATAGAGATCTCCAACGCTGTTTACAAACTGAGGTACAGTTCTTCTATTACTTCTACTCATATAATTTGTTCATTATTTAAAGGGGCAATAAGGACTGTAGAGAAAATAGGAAAGTATTTTAATTTTTTCTGAGCTATCAAGGCAAAATTTGGTTTAACATCTTCTTTGACATACCTATTTTCTTAAAATGTATGGATAAATTATTAATTTCAGCATTAAGAAGCGTAAATTCAGTTGAAAGCTTCAAAAAGGGGACTTCCACTTTTATATTTTTAAGATCCACCATGTTTCAAGAGGAATATCAGCTAAAATAATGTTTATCAAGGGGGTTTCTTTGTAGATAATAAAAATAGATGTTAGTCTTGAGGAAATATCCAAACTTAAATATATTTTGACACTGGTCCATGATCGTTGAATGACCCCTCTGCACTAATTATTGCACCTTTAATCATACATTGGCTCCTTATGCCACTTGATCCTTGTCAGTTTCTGGCATTTTGTCTTCTTGTATGAATGCTTAGATTTTATTATCGGTTCCAATTTAGCGCTGATGAAATAAATTGAGCATGCTGGGTAAAAAATTTGCAGCATTAATCTTTTTATTATCGCAATCTTTGGAAGTGCTATATTGTTGTCGCCTTGTGACCATTTTGATTTTTTTTCGATACAAAGGTGTGATGTTTATCACTGTATGTTTTGTTTTACCTTAAAAAAAGTAAAAAAAGAAAAAAAGTAATGTTGTCAGCTTGGCTGGCAGTGAGCAGCTGTATCTTTTGGGGCATTCTTGATTATTTTTTATGTCAATTTTTTTTCTTAAATGTATTTGATTGATTTACTTGATTCATAAAAAAGTGTTGATTTTTATTTTCAGTATCTTAGGAAGAAAAAAGCAAACACTGACCATGCGGCAAAGATGCGCCAAAGAATTAAAGAAACACAGGGAAAATCTGAATTTCAAGTATAACGACACAAACCTTTAGTCAATTACATGCATCTTGAATTTATTTATTATGGAACATAGAAAAGTGAAATACGGTCGTACATGGTGGAAGAGACAACGTAAGAAAAATCAAACGCCAAGCAGACCAAAATCTTGTGATAATGATCAAGATATGATTGTATTAAGACAATGGATGCATAAAGATGGATATACAGGATGTAGTCTCAAACCAGCCGTTTTCCCCGACACTGGACGAGGGTTGATGACAACAAGGAATATTTCACCTGGAAACATTCTCATAAGTATCCCAGAAGCATTATTGATTACTACAGATACAGTGCTGGATAGTGATTTAGGGCAAATGATCGCAAATTCTAAGATGAAGCTGAAACCAATCCAGGTGTTAGTGCTATTTCTGGTTGTTGAACGCTACAAAGGAAGTGCTTCACAGTGGCAACATTACGTCGATGTTCTACCAAAGGAGTATACAACACCACTTTATTTTAACCATGATGAAATAAACAGCCTTAATGACCCCATAAAACATCAAGCAACGGAATTAATTGATAATGTAGCTGAGTTATTCAAATCTACGCAATACTCAATCAAACACCTGGATTATAAGATTGGGACTGTTTCCCTTGATGATATCCTTACCTATGACATATTCAAATGGGCGTGGTGTGCTGTAAACACGCGCAGTGTTTATATCGATCACATCAATTCTGATTGGCTGGATACAACCACGGAGAAAAATCACTTCGCCCTTGCACCATATCTGGATTTAATCAACCACACTAACTCTGCTAAAGTTGAAGCAGGTTTCAACTTTGAAAATCGGTGCTATGACATCAAAACATTGGATACTTATAAAAAATACGACCAAGTTTTCATTTGTTATAACCAGCATTCAAATGTTAAACTGTTCCTTGAATATGGGTTTATATTACCTGACAATGATTGCAGTATTGTATCAGTCACCCCTAGTGATATATACACTATATGTAAGAAACTCAGTCACCTTGGAAACATCAAAGAAAAGTTGAAGTTTCTAAATCAAAAGGAATTACTTGTTAACCTTGAAGTGAGTTTAAATGGCGCTTCGTGGAATTTGAAAACATGTGTACTCATTTTGAGTGCAAACACTGAGAAAAATGAGTATAGTTTCATGAAATGTGTGTACGATTCATCTGATTCTTGTTACACTACATGTAAGATGCTGATGAAAACTCTGCTAGAAAATAAGATAGAAAGTGCAGGGAACCATGATAGTTGTAGAAAAGGTTTTGAATCTAGTGAGGCCCCCTTGCCATATAAGGCTGTCATTATTGACACTTTAAACGGGGAGAGGGAGAGGATTTTGAGGTCGAATATTAAAATGCTGTTAACCAATAAAGAATATTTTCTAAGAGATTAATAAAGAGTAATTAAAATTTTTTTTTTTTTTTTAATTTATAAAACCCTTAGCTAGTTATCTCTCCAGATTTTTACTCTCCAGGGGGTGCTTTCCTGTTTTTGAAACAATATTTCAATATACATGTATTTTTCACAAGGGTGTGTAAACAAACAGGTAAAGGCAAACAGGGTGGGGAGCAATTAATTTTTTTTTTAACCGTGTGGGACTTAGCTGCTTGGGTGATCCCTGCTTGTTTATCTAAAACACATTATTAAAAAATGACTCAGAAATACTTTTGAGAGGAGCTTTTGAATGCATGAAATTAATATAATTATGATTTGGAATTATGCTTTGGATGTTTCACCTATCTGGTTTTACAACATCATCAATCCTGAATGATTACAGTAGTTCACATTCACAAACATCTAACATTGATCAGTTTTGGTATTGTCAATTTGAATCGCCCATACTTATTGTGCAAATTGAGTTTTTTGTAAAAGATTTTCAATGTTTGCGTAGTTAGCAACATAACAACAAAATGCTGCATGATGTCAATATTATCAAAATTATAGCCTATCGAATTGAAATCCTGAGTGTTTGCCATTGCCAAGGTACAGAAATGTGCTTTTGGTTTATAAGGTCTTTTAAAGATGGCAGTAGTGAGGAACTACAAAACAGCTCAGGCCCTTGCAAATTAAATCTTTGTTCATGAGTGAAGTTTAACTAATCATCCAGGAATCATATTGTAAAATCATTTTTGTGACTATTTTATGTATTTCTATTTCCACTGTTTCTTTCATGTTTGACATTTATTTTTGCTATTTCAAAGTAAAAAACAAGAAAAATATAATCAGATAATAGATGCCTTGGCAACACTTGTTTATAGCAACCAAAATATCAATAAGCTTCACCGCTAACATTAGCTTTTATAAAGTTTAGATGTAAAGTTTATCAAATTTTATATTAGCACGATATATTATTGATCTGAGGCTATTATAGGTTTGAGGCTATCTCAAGGTCATCTCCCTTAGCAACCAGGTAGCATAAGGACTCCAGGTAAAGATGCCTCAAATAACAGGTCGAGATTGGGGCAATTATCCTTATTCCCAGTATAACATCTTTAAGGGACGTCAGGAATTATCACAACCCAGGACTGTATGGTAAATTATATACATTTTTATATGTTTTAGAGTCTAGTATGTAAAGTTTGTGGAGAAACAAGGTATAAACATTAAAATGTGTAAATGTAAACATGAATGCTAAAGGAATAATCTCTCATAAAAATATTTAACAGTTTATTTGGATTTTTATATTGATGTAATTTCAACTAATAACATATCATTAATGAATAAATGGACCCATACTGATTGCAGATTAATTAGGTCAGTACTGACACAATATTTAAATACTTGAACTGCCTCAGCTAAAAGTTGAATTAATGACTACACCATGGCCATGCATATCGGATAAAATGCCATTGACTACACTAATAAAAGAGGGTGATTTTTCAAAAAAAACTAGAAGACATAAGAAGTTACTGTCATGTATGACATCAAAAATGATAGTAACTTGTGAGTTAATGGAAATGTATGTTTAACAAACTGTTAACAAAACATAAATGCTCATTTCACCTTGATGTCTATGTATAATAACTTTTACCATAAGAACGCATCCATTTCATTAAATAATGTACATTTATGTGTTTTTCTTTCAGGCGGGAATTGAATGATGATTTCAACCATGACGGCTGCGTTTTCCAACGTACCAATGGGCACAGAGGATTTTATGTAGTTCATCCTGATTGGCTATCGGAATCAGTCAACACTCCACGCTTTGAGGGCCGCAATCGCAACCCCTGGCCCTGGGAGGTCCAAGGTGCTAAAGGCTATCATGAACCTAGATACGATATGCCCAAAACAGCATGGGGCGATTCACTTACATACCCAGAGGCAACTGCGAGTACGAAATATTGGCAGAATATGCCACGTGATCCCACACGATCACATGGTAGTTCAGTTTCACGCTATAACCCCAGGACACAGAGAGGTGTGATTGAAGAGACTCTAACCCCTCTCCCTGGAAATTGGCACGCCCCTAGTAGGCTCCATAAACCTATTGACCAGCCAAGGGGAACACACAGAACATTCCCAGAAACCATAGTTACTGGCAGGATGGACAATAAGTTCAGTCCATCATGGTACCCAGGCTACTATTAACAATTGAAAGTAATCAAATATGATAGCTATCAAATGTGATGATAATGTTTCAATGGTCATCAAACTTGGTAGCTATTAAATGTGATATGCTTTAAAATGGTGGTCACCTGGTCATCAAATATAATAGCTATCAAATCTGACATGTTTCGAATCATCAATTATGATAGCTGTTAAATGTGACTTATTTCAAATTCGGTAGAAGTCAGATTAAGGACATCTAACATATGATGGTAGTCCAATCTGACTGTCATAATATTATGGTAGCCATCAAATGTGACGAATGTCAAATATGCAGGTCGGAAACTATGACAGTTATGATTGTCTTGAATAAGCTTATATCAAATTGTCCATTCTAAAGGTTATCAAGTATGATCACTATCAAATGTATTTGGTTTTCATATGTCATGATCATTAAGTATTTAATGGTTGTACAGATGATGTCATGGTTGCCAACTGTTATAGTTGCCAAATTTGCAAATATGATTTCTTAAGGTAGGCCTTGTAGAACAACTTTCAGACCTTATTCTACTCAGTATGCCATTATTCTCAAAACTCAATTGTAAAATTTATAGGCCTATTTATTGATTTATTTTAATTGTATCAATTAATTTTTATAATAAATAATCTTGAGCCTTGATGTAGGTATCTAACAATCATTATCAATTGTATAAGTAATGGCAAATCTTAAATCATGACCTTGGCCTTCAATTTGAAAACAGGAAATTGGGGAGAGGGCTGAGGTTGTAATATAAGACAAATGACATGCCAAAAGTGTCAAAGTTGTATACTTCTGTATGTTATATATTGTTCACTTCATTTGATGTGCCATACAACTTAAGGCTTGAACAAAATTAGAGTAAATCAATTTAAATTTTCTAATGTAGTGAAAATCGTGATTTCAACCTTGGAATTATGTCTGCTTTGCTGTACACAGCTTTAAAATCTATTGAATTAGACTTCTGAATGCAATAGAAAGAGAAAAGATAGGATAAGGTTGAAAAGAGGAAACCGTTTCAATAAGTATGTTTCAGAAAGACCTCTTGAACTTGCCATAGATATGAAGTGAATTGAGGTTCAACTAAGATGACAATTTTCAATCACTACAATATTATATGCTTTGTAGTAATTCTACATGTATGTAAGAAAGATTATCAAAAATACAAAAAATAAATATCAATTATAATATATAATTTATTTTTATGTATTATTTTATGATTCTAAATAAATACAATATATTACTGCAAAATAAATGTAAAATCATACAAACAGTCTAACCCTTTCATCCCAAAGAGGACTGGCAGCCTTTATTCAAGCTTGATCACCCACTGCCTGGCATGGAACAATAAAGCTATAATATCTCTATAAAGCTCATAGTCGGAGCAACGATCTATTCTATATAGAGTGTACAATTATTATGGTACTATTTAAACTTTGAATCAAGCAAGGAAGGCTTTGTTATAATATTATCTTTCGACTTAGACATAGGGTTTTTGCAAATTTTATTTATTTGAATGATTAAATTCCTGCTATTCCTAGAATCACCAAGTTGTTTTTCACAATTTGAAGGAGTTTAAAATATTTCTTTTAGTTTAATTTTTTTTTAGTAATTCTTGAAATTACCTTTTATGAACAAATTGACCAAACACAAATACATAGCAAAAGTTTTCCCCCATAAAATATTTGAACTTTAAGACTGTATTATATTCATTTGATCACATATATGCAGTATTGTCCATATTATTTCCTATTCTGTTCATTTCGTGCAAAAACAAACAAAAATACAAAAATCTCTCTTTTCGTGAGTAAACTGTCATGAGTTGACATATCAAACTTTAAACAGTGGAATTGGCAAAGAATAACAAGGCATGCATGTGCAAAATGTCACCACCTGCTATTTGTTACAGACACCAACTGCTGGATGCTGAAGGCGTCGCAAAAAGATGGAGACTATATCGATATGTCAGCACTTATGGTGGTGACATAAAAACATAAATTAAAGGACCTATCTCATACATCTTAAAAAAATGTTGGAATGTATTCTTCAAATATCAAATAGGAATGAATTTGATATGATACAAGGCTCCTTGTATTTCATGAAACAAATGTGGGACAATCAAATTTTGTACAATTATAGACCATAGACAACAGGCACAATCAAATGCATAGGCCGAATCTAACCTATATGATATGTACAATCAGTCGTAACATTGTGTTCAAATGGACCCATAACCTTAAAACTAATAATGCTAAATAAATAAGAATTAAAATATTTTTACATGTACAGTAGTCTGTAGATCCATAATAAATAGTATAAACATCTTAAAACAAAGTCAGAACTGTTACACTTTTTGGAAATAGGTCTAACATCAAATGTTACAAGCAAAAAATATTGTAAAATTGTGACCATATATTAGAGAGTCACTGTAAACTTGTCTTACTAGTCTTTGTTGTGCCTCATAAGATTGCAAGAACATTTAGAAGGAATATGAATGTTCCACAAAACGACTAGTTAAGGCAAGAATCTGAAATCATTCTCTTTTGTATGCTACACATATTCCCTCTTCTCCTTTCTAATGCCTTAAGGCCTTCCATAGTTATTCCACTACAAAGTGAAACGTCAAGACTTTTCAACCTCTTGGAATACATGGCTATCATCTCAATGGAAAGGTTAGTGAGGAGATCACAACTACTGATGTCAAGGACAGTTAACCTGGGGAGTTTCTTGACCAGGGAGCCGATACCATCATCAGTGATATGCTTACACTGACTGATAGAGACATCCTCGAGGCTGGGGTTATTACCAGCAATGGCAACAAGGGATTTATCAGTAAGGAGTGGACACATGCTTAGGTTGAGGAAACGAAGTTCAGTGAATTTCAGTGCAAGCCCAACTCCAGAGTCACTCAAGTTGGGGCAAGCACTGAGATCCAATGATCTCAAATGGGTGAGGTTACCAAGGGTGTAAAGCTCCTCATTGGTACGCAGGTGCTCATTAGCATCATCCCATGACAACTGGATTTTGGTTTCCCCACCCTTGGGCTTATTGAAGATATTGAGAACATCTGCTTTACGTGTACATCTACAAGTACCATGCTCTACATTATGCAAATGGTGCTCAGCGTCTTCACGTTGCAGCCCTAGCAACCCAAAATCGGTGATTTGTTTACACCAGGCAAGCCTTAACACACGCAGGAATTTCAGGCTCTTTGATATGGCATGTACACTAAGATCAGTGATAGGGAAACACGAACCTAAATCAAGATGCACCAATTGTTTCAAATTCTCACAAGCCTGGAGGACAAACTCATCCCTGATCATACTACAGCAGTTCAAATTCAAGTGAGTTAGCTTGATAGATTTACCTGAACAGAGCCCTTTAATCATCCCCTTTGACATTAACTGATAGCAGGCAGAAACATCAAGTAACTCAAGTGACTTCAATTGGCTCAGTTGTTTCAGAGATATGTCTGTCACAGACCTACATTTAGACAGATTAAGATGTTTTAACTTTGATAGCTTTGATATAATTGAATAGACACAGTTATCAGTCAAATCTGGACAGCAACTCAAGTCTAAATGCTCCAATGTTGTTTGGTGCTTGGTTAAACCAATGATTCCCTCATCTGACAGATCTCTGCAGGCCATAAGGGTAAATTGTTGTAGTTTCAAATCAGGGATCTTTGCGATGAGGATAAGTGGTTCATTTGTGATGTCAGTCCTGCTCAAGTTAAGCCCCTTTAGTTGTTTTTGCTGCTCTTGAAGAAAAGCCATAATGTTTACGAATGTTAGTACGGAAGCGTTAGCGAATCTTGTGGCATCTTCTGGATAGTAATTCCCATGGTAGAGAATATGACATGATGATAGTGACAATACCTCTACATTATGGCACACCGTTACTATGCGATTGAATGCAACATCAGACAGATAACGAAGGGATGCCAAATTGAGCTCTTTGACATTTCCAAGCACTTTCTGTAAATCTTGAAGCTCACTGGTTTTCTCAAGAAGTTGGCCTGACATGAACAAACTGTTGCAGCAACTCAAGTCTAGTTTCACCAAACTCTTGCAGTGTGACATCAATGAAATAAATGTCTTCTCGGTCAAATCAGTCCCTTTTAGGGACAAACTTTGCAGGTTCTCTCCTAGACAATGTGAGGTAGTTTCCAAGACTTCTCTATATTTCAAAGAAGTGTCAACATTGTTCAAGATTAAATGAGGTGTCTTCTTATGACGATCACTCGGAAGTATATGCTCTTGTCCAGGGATGAATGTGACAACGACATCTTTTTGAAGCATGGGGTCTAGTGATGCATAGTACCATTGTTTATTTACAAGAGAGACTTCCTTTCTATCGGATACATTGAGGTAGTAGAAGATCTGGGACAGCACCTGTAAATATAGGTATATGGCATTGAAGGACAGGTATATGAAATGGAATGACATTTATATCAAATGACAAATAAATGACATGTATGTAGATCTCTGACATTTAGACAAATAAATGACATGTATGTAGATATGTGACATTTAGACACCTGGTACGGAACATATAGTGTATGACATAGAATGATGAATATAGGTCTCTAAGAAACGGCTAGGTGATATATAGTTAATGAAAGTGCATGTTCTTGAACTTCACGCTGGTAATGAAGCAATTGAATCAGATTCCATTCGACATGGCGTTTCTTCATTGCACATGGATGGATCAGAAAATAATAGCAGAGCACCTACTAATTAATTGTGAACATGCAGTGATCAATATCATTGGTAATGTGGTTCAATTATATTTACATCACAACAATGGCTATATGTAACACTGTTTTCAGTATTTTGTAACAAATGGAACTTTGCACTTGTAATGACACAGAGTCATGTGAGCTCTTTTTTGACATGCATTCATATATTCACTGTTTTTACCATCAATTTGAAGTAACGCATCTAAAAACTATTCCAAATTTGATCTTGAATATACAATGCACACGACTGTTCATAACTGATGTTTTCTCCTTGGTTATTTTTGTACTAATTATGGAAATAAAATGAAACTTTACCTCAACTGGGAGAAATTCGGCCATCTTTTGTTTTGTAAACAGGTCAGAGGTCAAGCCTTCAGCAAAACTCTATTTCCTCAGATTTGGATAGAATCACATGCAAAACTGATTTAATTAATAAATTAAACTTCAGACAATTATATTCATGAGCAAATAGTACATTATTGCCATTAAAATCCAATTAAAGTCAAGTCTCGCATTTTCACGAACGTTAGTGAATTCAAAATGTCGTCTACAATTTCCATCCCCCGACGTTTGCCCCTCTTGCTTGTTGCGGATAATGTGCTCTTACCGGGCTCGTCGATGCGAATTCCTGTTCGTAGCATGAGAAAGTAAGTATCTATGTTTATTATGATGAAATTTGTCATGAAAAGCATGAGCTATAACAGAGATATTTTGAGTCGTTCACAATGTTTTGAAAAGTTCTAGAATTTTTTAGAAAATTTACTTTCAAGTCCATGGGTCAAAGTTCTAGTGAGTTCTAGTTTACTCTAAGTCATTTACCCTTACTATGATTATTTTCAAATTACATGTAAATTTGTCCTGCAGATCCAACAGTTGTCTTCTATAGCCAAATAACCAAACAACAATGCTTTAGCAAAGATGACATACGCCATCTATCAGTAAAAAATGCATATGACTTGTTTATACTGCAAGTTGTTCAACTTGTTGTTCCACTTGACATTGACAGTGTTTGTGTTTTTCATTCAGTTCTTCATTCCCGTCCTTCCTGGTGATATTCAGATTATGGTATTCTATGATAGTCTAGATTCGGTTGTATGATTCCAAACTATGTTTTTACATGTATGTCACCACTGCACCACTGCATGTGGTGACATTAGTTCAACAAGTTAAACCTAGTCTGGGCCTTATTTCTTATCTGACATATCTTGTGGCCCGCCCTAGGTTTAACATCCGTGCCTATTCGGCTCTTGATGCAAAAAGATTAATGGTGGCCTATGGCCGCGCATAGAATTCTATGCGCGTTTTATGAATAACTGATTGTGAGAATTTGCAACCAATGAAAGCATAGCACGGAAGTTAAACCCAATCACGACAACAAGAACATTCAGGTTAATAAATAAAAGCTGTGGTATTGGGTTTAACTTGTTGAACTAGTGGTGACATATGGTAGTCTCCAACTTTTTTCTAGACCCTGTTCAGCGGTCTGTGTTCAGCGGTTGGTGTTCGGTGCTCGGCATCTATAACAAAGAGCAGGTGGTGACATTTTGTATGCCTTGTTATTACTTTTAGTCCATGGGCAAGTTGAATGCCCATGGTATACATGTATCAGAGGATGTGGAAGTATATTTTCTTTTTTATTTAAAGGGGTAGTTAATTAATTGTACAGGGGGTGCAGCAGAGATCAAAATATCCACCCACATCTAAGGTTTTTATTCAAAATGTAGACCCATTTTTTTTCTATATCAAAACTTTGGGAAAAATTCTTGAATGGTCTCAATCATAATGGGACTTTCAATTTTCAAATTTCTGGAATGCCATAAAGCTATGTGATCTACACCTACATCAATAATCTGCAAAAGGCCATCAAGCCCATTTAAAGCAGATATACAGTTTAACAGTGATAGAATTTGAATAGAATACAATATAAACCTTACATTTAAAAAGATAGAGCTATGGTTTACAACTGATTTTAAAATTGAAAGGAAACTTCCTGGTTGGCCCATGTACACCCCTAGGAAGTAGTGTTGTCGCGATTAATCGATACATCGCGATAAACATCGCCAAAGCTCATTCTGGCGATGCATCGATGTCTGAAACAAAACACCGATGTTTTTGAAAAAATTAATTTGCTAAAAATCACCCTTACTTATCTTATTTTGACGCAAATCGCTTACCTTTCTCATGTCTTATTTCATTTTCCAATGTTTTCTGATATTCTTTCGCTTTAAAACTGTTTTAGCTATTCGAAATGAACCATTAATCTAAAAAAATTACTTTACTTTCATTTCACCTTTCTAGAAGTTCCCGGATGTACCGGATGTTCGGTATTTTAGTGCATTAGCGTTCGGTATATCAGTGCACCTTTCTCGGACTTTTTCTCGATGTACATTGCAATGTGCATCGATGTTTACTACTGAAAATTGCCGATGTACGATTATGGCACATCGCGACAACACTACTAGGAAGTCCCTTTGTTGAAATACCCTGGAATGACTGTCAGGCTACACACATTGACATCGCGTTGACATCAAAAGAACTATTAATATTTACCGAGAATGTGTTCACATTCTTTCAGAATCCTGAATATTGTGAATGCAAAAACTTTGAAATGTAAACACTTCCCAATCTGAATGCTTTTAGCCCAATGGGGTTCAATTTGGACAGGTTTTCCTGTGTAAAGTAACATGGAATATTTCATGCTGAGCATATAATACTGTACATACTATATTACTTCTCAATTTATTATGAAGACACTTTTGAACATAGTATTTCAGTATGAACTCTCTACAGTTTATAACATTATAAACTCCATGTATTTCAGTATGAAGACTCTCTCACTCTACAGTTTATAACATTATAAACGTCCATGTATTTCAGTATGATGACTCTACAGTTTTTTTAACAGTATAAACGTCCATGTATTTCAGTATGAACATGGTGAAGAGCAGGCTGCTGGCAAGGAACACCTTAAGTAGCACATTGATTGGAGTGATGCCAAAGGAACCTGGAGATGAGGTAAATTTAATACAATGTTTCCATATCGAACATTTCAATGTTGTAGAGTTGGCTCCATGTAGAATAATCATATCTGTCAAATATAAAGGTTGGATTTATAATTAAGACATAAATGCTAGTAGAACTGGAGACATTTTTTGTTATTGGTAAATCGGTGTCTGAAATCAAGATCTTGTATTATTTCCCTTGTAGAATGATGAGCTGCAATCATTACATCCAATAGGGACTGCAGCTGTTGTGGTTCAGGTGACTGGAACAAACTGGCCCAAACCAGCCTACACACTCCTTGTAACTGGTGTCTGCAGGTTCAAACTGGATGAGCTCCTTCAGGAGACACCTTACCCTGTTGCCACAGTTACACAGCTTGATAAGCTCCCGGGAGATGAGCTAGGTAACACCACATTTGGACTATCTTTAGTTAATATGCTACCATTTTTCTCAGAAAATGCTTATACTTGTACATGAACTGACTTCATCTTCGCAAAATACCACTTGCTTCTACATTTCTACTAATTGACCTAACATGTTTGTTTAATTCATTTGTCTCTCTGATTCAGATGATGAATCTACAGATGCTAGAGAAATGGCAGATAATTTCCGGGTGCAAGCTTCCAGACTTGTGGACATGCTGGATATCTCCATTCCTACTGTAGCAAAACTAAAGGTACTTACAATGTACTGTACATTTCAAATTTTGCATCTTCAACTTTTTTTAAAAGAATTATTGTGATTTTATTATCTTCATAACAAACATATAAACTCTGCCACTGACCATGTATTTAACTCCAGGCATTAGTGAGAAAAATGGATTGCCAAACAAGCTATGTGATCCTTAAAAAGCTTCTTGCTGTGTTTATCACTAACACCAGTTACCAGTTTTGTAATTCAGTAATTTACAAAAGTTTGGCTTCATTGATTTTCTTTGAAATGGGTGTTAGTGAAATTAAGTTTGGTCAACAACGAGCATAATTTTACTTAGTACCTGAGAAATAATTGATTTATATTTGTTATTTGAAGATATTGGACAATTTACCCATACACCCAGTGAAGTTGGCCAAGATGGATGTTCTTTGAAGTGGTGTTAGATACCTGAACAATCATTGAATCATATTTTTTCCTATTGTAGAAAATGTTGGACAATTTGCCCAGTCAACATTTACCAGACATCTGTGCATCAATAGTGAAGGCATCATACTCTGAGAAGATACAAGTGCTAGATGCCTTGGATTTAGAGGAACGATTCAAGAAAACCTTGCCCCTTCTCATGAGACAAATTGAAGTGAGTGTAATGCATTATAAGTTGTACACCTCTGGCTTAAATTAGCTATGGGTCACACATTTATAATGCTTAACAAATATGTCAATAAATCCCCTTAATTCTCTTTGAATAAAGATGAGCATCAACAATGAATTTTCATAAGATATCTCTATGATTTTTGGAAATTTTCACATGGAATAACATGGCATGTAATAAAATTGCCCCATTTCTGGAAAATATAAAATTATAGTTTTAAGCAAGGACATGTTATGAGAATTTATGGACCTACACTCATATTTATTTAACCAGTTAGGTCGTTGCTATTTCTTCTTATCTCATTCTATGTCAAATAATACAATATGACCTGATTTATTCCAGGGTTTAAAATTGCTACAAAAGGCAAAGAAAGACAACAACAGTGTGGATATTGTAAGGAGTAAGAATCGGCCAATCAGATTGAAGATGAGAAAAATGAGGGACATGGAGGATGACGATGAAGGAGAGGGTGATGAAATGGCAGACATTGAAGCTAAAATAAAGTAAGGCAGTATATCCTTATTAACAGATATATGGATAGACTTATTTAAATTGTTAGATTTACTTGTTTTTATCTTTGTCATATTGTCATAATCTCCAACTATTTTGTGATGGTGGTTGGTGTTCAGCGGTTGGTGTTGGAAGTTTGGCATTTGTAACAAAAATCATGTGGTGATATTTTGCATGTTAATGCCTCGTTTCAAATTTGATATATCTTGCTAAAGAATATACACAAAAGCTTCTGAGTATAGGTGTTGAAACTTGCATTATTTTTCTGGGTATGAACAAGATGCATTTGTATAAAAATATGTAAAGTCAAATAAAGGCAATGTCATTTTATGTATACTTACTTGTCTATGATTCCACATATTCCAGGGCTGCCCATATGCCAGATGATGCTGAAAAAGCAGCCTATAAAGAGTTGAAGCGACTCAAGAAGATGCCTCAGCAGATGCCAGAGCATGCAATGATCAGGAACTACTTAGAACTCATGGTAGAACTACCCTGGTCCAAACAGAGCAAGGACAATCTAGACATTGCAACTGCAAGGTAATATTTATAATTATCATACACTTTAATATTATGGAGTTTAAGCTTGCATGTAAAATCAAAATGCAACCTATACGTATGACCAATCGCCCATACAAATGCATCGCTTAAATATGTTCCGTTCACATTTAGGTTGTGAAAAACATTGCAAGCTTAAACTCCCTATTATCTTGAAATTACATACAATCAGCCATTTAACTGCTGTTTAGCATAATTGGTTGAAACCCCTTAACAGAATTGGAAAGTGGAAAATTGGAAACATATATGAAATAGGAGAGGTTGTCATGAATTCATGCACTTAGATTTGATTCAGGTGGTCAAAATCATCACCTTCAAATTTAAAGGCTACCAGTATTCATAGAAACATATATTGTGTCAATAGCATACACTAGGGAATGTTCAAAGGTCAATATGGAAGTAGAGTAAAGATATTTTACTCCACTCTTTTTAACTTAGAGAATAAATATCTTTTAATAAAAAAAGTTTATATGTATTGTAATTGTATTGTATAATATTGTATTGTATTGTTTATATAGTCTTTTTGAAGATTTATCTGTTTTCTCTGTATTAGACATTGAAAACATGATATAATTTGCATTTTAAAGGAAAGACTTGGATGAAGATCATTATGGACTAGATAAGCTGAAGAAAAGAGTGCTTGAATACTTTGCTGTCAGGCAACTGAAGAACAAACTTAAGGGACCAATCCTATGCTTTGTTGGCCCACCAGGTGTGGGGAAGACCAGTGTGGGAAGATCTATTGCACACACATTGGGCAGAGAGTTCCACAGGTGAGTCATACATGTTTAAGTGCCCTCTACTATCCAATTCATTTAAGACCAGTGTGGGAAGATCTATTGCACACACGTTGGGTTGAGAGTTCCACAGGTGAGTCATACATGTTTAAGTGCCCTCTACTGTCCAATTCATTGAAGACCAGTGTGGGAATATCTATAGCACACACGTTGGGTAGAGAGTTCCACAGGTAAGTCATACATGTTTAAGTGCCCTCTACTATCCAATTCATTTAAGACTAGTGTGGGAAGATCTATTGCACACCCGTTGGGTAGAGAGTTCCACAGGTGAGTCATACATGTTTAAGTGCCCTCTACTATCCAATTCATTTAAGACTAGTGTGGGAAGATCTATTGCACACACGTTGGGTAGAGAGTTCCACAGGTGAGTCATACATGTTCAAGTGCCCTCTACTATCCAATTCATTTAAGACCAGTGTGGGAAGATCTATTGCACACACATTGGGCAGAGAGTTCCACAGGTGAGTCATACATGTTTAAGTGCCCTCTACTATCCAATTCATTCAAGACTAGTGTGGGAAGATCTATAGCACACACATTGGGCAGAGAGTACTACAGGTGAGTCATACATATTTAGATGCCATCTACAAACCAATTCATTTAAGTCTAGTATGGGAAGATCTATTGCACACATGCTGAGTTCATGGGTGAATAATGTTAAAATGCTGTCTGCTAAGGATTACATTAATTCAAACATATTTATATTTATTAAAGAGTGAACCATGCCTGTTTAATTCCCCAATTTGACAGTAATGTTGTTGACCCTGCAGGATAATTATAACGAAATATATGAGTCGTCAATATGAATGCTTTCCAATAACAAAACAAAATATATCGGGTCTTTAACTATCTTAACTATCTTTGTATCTCATGCAGGATTGCGCTAGGTGGTGTATGTGACCAGTCTGACATCAGGGGCCATAGGAGGACATACATTGGCTCAATGCCTGGTAGGATCATACAAGGCTTGAAGCATGTAGGGGTCAACAACCCTGTGCTTTTGTTGGATGAGGTAGACAAACTGGTGAGTCACTGTTACATATGAAAAATGCAGTGAAACTTTTTTTTAAGTTTAAAGCAGATATGAAATGGTATTTTTAACCAAAAGGAATCAATATAATTTTTTGATAGATGTATTTGAACATATTTTCTCATCAGTAGTGTGAAAACTTTTTCACTCTAACGATCGTTATAGCTGCTTAATAAGCAATATTCGAATTGGTTGTGACGTTATTGGCCCCCACGTGATCTCTCACTGGCCCCCACGTGGCCCGTTTTGGTCCATTAGATCATGACGTCATAATGCCAAAATGTTTTGTTATTTGTTTACACAACAATCCTATGGTTGCCGTGACGTTGTGATTACTATGGAACCAATAAACCAAAGCTATAATTTGTATATGACGTTACTAATCACGTGGGGGCCAATTTGATTTATCAGTTAGTTTTATTTCGTTATCTATGACCGTTAGCAGTTATCTAACATTTATTTTATAATGGCTATCGCAAGATCTCTACGGTGGGCTTACAATAGAGAAAACCGCATTTTTGTAGCTGCAAGTTGAGAAAAGCTATTTCAGTTGTCCTTTAAGTAGAACACTTTTGGTACCTCTTAAATGTGTTCCACTTGGGAGATGTTCCACTTATAGAGGTTCATGCAACATTAAGTCAGTTGGTCTTGGAACTCTACACTTTACAGGTTTCACTGTACATATTTGAAGATGTATTGAAGTTATGTCACCACCAAAAATGGTAACATATGGTTATAGTCTCCAACTTTTTATGGACAGTGTTCAGCGATTGGCATTCAGTGGTTGGTGTTTGGTGATTGGCATCTGTAATAAATGGCAGGTGGTGACATTTTGCATGCTAATGCCTCGTTAGTGTTTTATCAAAGGATTTAAAACATAAAAAAATATTTATGGGTGAATAATAAAGAATATTCTATTTCTTTATTAGGGAGCCAGTTTACATGGAGACCCTGCTGCAGCACTATTAGAAGTTCTGGACCCTGAACAGAACAACACATTCACAGATCAGTATCCTTTCTACCAACTGATACCAACATAACAGAAACAGGATGTGTCAAATATATGCGTAAAATATATGCATATGTACCATTTATTTTTGTAAAAACCACAACATGTACAAGAAAACCAGATCAGGATTTTTAAATAGTAGTCACAATAATTTGGGTACCATAATTTGCTATATTATCACAATAAATGGAAAGCAGATAGGGATTTTTGTTTTCACAATAGTTTGCTACATTATCATATAAAAAAAATTAAGGGCATCCAACACAGCCCCAATTTGAATGTAATTGCTTAAGAAACTTATTTCTAGATGCAAGGTTAATTGCAAAATGGAAATCCACAAAGGATTAACAAAGAATTAACTAATTATACAGTAATAATCTTGTGATTGCTACTTGACAGACTGCATTGGAAAATGCCAAATATTTTCTTAACCTTATACAGCTACCTCAATGTGCCATTTGACTTGTCCCAAGTGTTGTTTATTGCAACAGCTAACAACTCACAGTCCATTCCCCCAGCTTTGCTGGACAGGATGGAGGTATGTATGTAAGATATTACTCTCAATGTGCCATTTGACTTGTCCCAAGTGTTATTTATTGCAACAGCTAACAACTCACAGTCCATTCCCCCAGCTCTGCTTGACAGGATGGAGGTACGTATGTAAAATATTACTCTCAATGTGCCATTTGACCTGTCCCAAGTGTTATTTATTGCAACAGCTAACAACTCACAGTCCATTCCCCCAGCTCTACTTGACAGGATGGAGGTATGTATGTAAAATATTACTCTCAATGTGCCATTTGACTTGTCCCAAGTGTTATTTATTGCAACAGCTAACAATTCACAGTCCATTCCCCCAGCTTTGCTGGACAGTATGGAGGTATGTATGTAAGATATTACTCTCAATGTGCCATTTGACTTGTCCCAAGTGTTATTTATTGCAACAGCTAACAACTCACAGTCCATTCCCCCAGCTCTGCTTGACAGGATGGAGGTATGTATGTAAAATATTACTCTCAATGTGCCATTTGACTTGTCCCAAGTGTTATTTATTGCAACAGCTAACAACTCACAGTCCATTCCCCCAGCTCTGCTTGACAGTATGGAGGTATGTATGTAAAATATTACTCTCAATGTGCCATTTGACTTGTCCCAAGTGTTATTTATTGCAACAGCTAACAACTCAGAGTCCATTCCCCCAGCTCTGCTGGACAGGATGGAGGTACGTATGTAAAATATTACTCTCAATGTGCCATTTGACTTGTCCCAAGTGTTATTTATTGCAACAGCTAACAACTCACAGTCCATTCCCCCAGCTCTGCTTGACAGGATGGAGGTATGTATGTAAAATATTACTCTCAATGTGCCATTTGACTTGTCCCAAGTGTTATTTATTGCAACAGCTAACAACTCACAGTCCATTCCCCCAGCTCTGCTTGACAGGATGGAGGTATGTATGTAAAATATTACTCTCAATGTGCCATTTGACTTGTCCCAAGTGTTATTTATTCCCAGCTCTACTTGACAGGATGGAGGTATGTATGTAAAATATTACTCTATTTATCATTAATCTTATTTCATAACATAGATACTAGTTTATCACCAGAAGGTGGCTGGCTATCTTAAAAAAGGTAGCAATGCAAAATGAAGAAGACGATACAATGAGCTAATCATTATAGAATCAAGCAAAAAGTCAAGTCTCAAATACCAGTATATGTATTTTCTGATAGATGATTTTGTGGTAGATACAGATAGAGGTTTTATCCCATCTACTGGGGACACTTTCCAAAATGGATATACAGGGTGTGACAAAACAAATATTTTGAAGTAACATTTCTAATAACACAAGGATTTTAAAAATGCTTTGTTGATTTATGGCCCAAAGTGAACAGCACAACAAATCTGGGAAGAAGAATACTAATGATGTTTTTCAGTAGTCACTGTATTAATGAGCTCTTTTATTTTTCTGTATATTTTCTTTAGGTCATCACCATACCTGGCTACACTCAAGAGGAAAAGTTGCATATAGGAGTGAGACACTTGGTACCTAAACAGCTCAAAGAGCATGGTCTTACTGCAGAACAACTGCAATTTGCAGAGGAAGCCATCAAACTTATAAGTAAGTACACATTAATTATCCCACCACGGCCAAGCGATTGGTGAGCGTTGGCGTAGCTAAATTTCCAAATGGCCATCATTTTTCAAGATTGAGCAATTAGATATTTTTATGGACCAAATTAAAAATTTTGGAATTTGGTCCAAGTATGACAAGTGTTGATAGTAAGAAAGTTGACAGGGTGGCAGTTGATCATATTGGTTGTATGGCAGATGATGGTATTAGCAGTTTTAAAAAAATAGCAAAAGATAGTTTGACAATTGACAGCAAAGCAGAAGATTTTATGATATTGGCAAATGAAAGTAAACCACATAATAGTGGATATTATTGTTATTATATCAAAATGATGTATATTTTTACTCTTAAGTTGCCAACTACACCAAAGAAGCTGGAGTGAGAAAGCTTGAGAGACAATTAGCTGCTGTGTGCAGAGCGGTTGCTGTAAGAGTTGCTGAGGCACAGACTAAAGCCAAACATGAAAAGGTAAAGTTCCTATCTAATTAACCTGAACATTTCTTTGCTATCACTGCTTCAAGGGAGAGGAGAGGGGTGGCATGTAACAGTTTGCTTCTTGTTATGTTATGTGATTTCAAGATCAAGTGGCCATTTAAAAGTGAATCAAACATTGTTATATTGATTTCAGATTCACTGATTCAAATTAAATTACTAGTATTCTGGGCACACTAATAATAATGGTTTCTACACTGCAGCTCGAATGTCTGGACACACTAATTACACCACAGGCAAAAAGTCTTGACATAAAAATAATGGTTTCTACACTGCAGGACGAATGTCTGGACAATGGACATGCTAATATTAATGCCGTGTACACCAAAGGCAAAAAATCTTGACATAAAAATAATGTTTCTACACTGCAGGACGAATGTCTGGACATGCTAATATTAATGTCCTGCAAATCACAGGCAAAATGTCTTGACACACTAATAATAATGTTCTCTACACTACAGGCAGAAAATCTGGACACACACAAGAAAGAGGGTGATGAGCATACAGAGGCTGGAGATGCCAGTTTGTTGGCCCATCCCCCAGATATGCCTATCGTTATTGATGAGAATGCAGTGGAGGATATTTTAGGGGTCAGTTACTAGTTTTACACATTCTATCTATCTAGTTATATAAACAAAGTTGTAGATGTAACCTCTTAGCTTAAATGCCATTTTGTGATTGTCTCCTTCATTACTACAATTACATTGGTAACTTATTTCATTAAATTGACTTTCTTCACATTGTCAGCAATTAAACTGTATAAGTACGGTATGACAAATTTCTGAGTGCCCTTTATTAACCCTCCAAATGAAGGTATGTAGTTATAAGTTATATTGACCCATGAACCCACTCCCCTGGCCATGGGCCTGATATAGGATCTTTGCTGAGTGGCTTTAACCTGTTTTTCAAATATTGTTATTTATTTTTATAGCCAGCCTATTATGAAAGTGAGACAGCCGAGAGGTTACAACAGCCAGGTGTTGCAGTGGGACTTGCATGGACAGCTATGGGGGGAGAGATCATGTTGAGTGGCTTTAACCTGTTTTTTATTTATATAGCCAGCCTATTATGAAAGTGAGACAGCAGAGAGGTTACAACAGCCAGGTGTTGCAGTGGGACTTGCATGGACAGCTATGGGGGGAGAGATCATGTTCGTGGAGGCATCTAGAATGAGAGGGGAGGGGAAGATCACATTGACTGGACAGCTAGGTGACGTCATGAAGGAATCTGCTAACTTGGCCCTCAACTGGGTCAGAGCTAATGCCAAACAGGTAGGAATACAATCGTATAAACTCTCACCAAAACAACAACAAAAATTACACAAAACCTCATTGGCTTCCATAGACAAACTGGAAATGTCTGGAAATAAGAACTGAAGTGTCAAATGATTGAAAACTTGTTTGAATTCAAATTACTGTATTTTACTCAATTACTTTAACAAAGTCAGTCCCAGATTCTCCACACCTAGTCTAGCTATGACCATTATGACCCCCTGACCAAACACACCTCCCCACAAGTGGTAGGCACAGTAGAGTAGATATGGGGGTCCAGAGACTTGAAGTAAGACTACTCCATAACTTCACAAACTTTTTTCTTGCATAGTTTGGAGTGAAGAGTGACCTAATGCAAGACACAGACATTCACATCCACTTTCCCATGGGAGCTGTAGGAAAAGACGGTCCATCAGCAGGGGTTACCATAGTAACAGTGCTTGTGTCACTGTTCAGTGGTCGATGTGTCAGGTCTGACACTGCCATGACAGGAGAACTGACACTCAGAGGATTGGTCTTGCCAGTAAGTTTTTTTAATGTTTCACTTTTAAAGTAATTAGTACATCTTACTTAAGCCAGGACAGTTTAGGTGTCATCTTTGCAATATTATTATTAATAAAGTAAACGTGTTCAATACAACCAATTTCCAACCTGTATGATCAAATTCTGTATGTAGATGCAAATCTGCATTTCAGTAGGTTCCATAGGTCAGTATATATAATTGCTTGTAATATTTATTGACTATTTCACTTGAGTCTGTTGTCCTTATAGGTTGGTGGTATTAAAGAGAAGGTGCTAGCTGCTCATAGGGCAGGTATACGACGTGTAATTATGCCAAAGAAATGTGAGAAGGATTTGCAAGAGATACCAAGCAATGTCAAAGTGAGTAAACAAAATTGTGCACGGCTAATTCATCTTTCAATATTTTAGTCTGAATATTTTGCAATTGAAATGGCCTTATGACAAGAGGTGAGTCAATTGACCTACAACCTAGAATACAAGAAAGTTATTAATTTTTTGCTCAGTTTGAGTCAGTAAAGTCCAGTATCGTCACTATTGAAATCATCAACCACAATGGATTGTTATAAATCAACCAGAGCCTACATGAAAAATCTGGGCATAGCCCAATTCAACCACCCTAAGGTAGAGCCCCCATAATAAAATACACTCAGACACTCCACTAAGAAGTTTGATATTTTCAATAAATCAATAGTAAATCAACTTTTCCTTACAACAAGACAAAATTGCATTTCCTTTGATAAAACATGACAATAATCCAACTTATAATATCGTACATACTGTACATTATTCAAATAAATATGTAATGGCCAATGAAAACGCAGAATGAAATCCTGTGCTAAGGGCTGATGTGAATATGTCTATCCCTGTGTAAATTGGTTTTCCTTTCAGGCTGAGATGAGTTTCATCATGGTTACACGTCTCGAGGAAGTCTTGAATGCTGCCTTTGAAGATGGTTTCCCTGCTCTTGTTCCAATGTTAGATGTCCCCAGTAAATTATAGGTATTGCCCCAATGCTTGCCTTCACATAGAACATTAGAGGAAGTTGCAATCAAATTCTAGGACAGTGCTGAATGACTCTGTATGATGTACAGACCAGGCTAAAATAAATGCCTGAATTTCATTACACTTTGGCGCAATTTAAAAGGAGAATGATTGTGACAGGGCTGTTTGATAGATCTAAAAGGGAAACTATTGTACCTGTATTACAAGCCTCCGTGTTAAAAGTCTAAGTTGATAGCCGAATGACTTATTTTTCTTAAACTATACAAGTACAGTACAGTATGTTAGAAATTAATCAAAGACCTCAAGTGAAACTTCAGAAAGAAGTGAAGTGGAACGAACATAATTGTTGAGTTTAAAAGAGCTAAAGCTGTAAATTTCATCCAAAATAATCTTCAAAATATTTTGACGTAGTAAGCAGAGGTTCATTAACAGAAAACTTCGTTAAGTTACGAATTCGTAAATCATTTTTTGTAACCATGTATATAATGATGCCACAGTAAGAGAACAATTCAATTTTGAAAGGTAATTCACTTTCTACATGAATGATTTTTTGAGCTTTTACTGAAAAGAAAATTCATATCCAAGTTTATTGCATTGATCGTGATATTATTATGAATTTAAAAATATTTTAGGTTATGTAGAATAAGAATTAGCCCTATAAGTTTAAAGCAGATGTATTTTATTTTTCTTGGATGAGATGATTTTGAATCCTGTATATATTCCACAATGGCTGATACCACCAATTCACCACTGTTGTATTCTTGATTTAAATGAAATATAATGCAGTAACATATGTGCAGTATTCAAATATTATACTGGTAATAAAATGGTCAATTGGACATATATTATATTGAATCGTCTCACTCTATAAATCTAGCTAGAAATAATGACAAGTTTGTACAAATAGACAGTGTCTGAGAAGTTGGGTGATACATCAGTTGTTAACAATTATTGTGTACAATTCTGAGGTAACCACAATGACTAGAGACACACCCCATTCTCTTATGCGTCGTAGCACTGGAAGTTTACGACGTTAAGTATTTTCGGCGAGAGATTTGTAAATATAATTACAGGATATGTAAATACATACAGGAGTGTAAATACAGGATTTATTTAAGTCACGTGGACCAATCAAATTGCAGGGAATTTCACCATCATGGAATAAAGCATCGTAAACTTCCGGTGCTACTACGTTTAAGAGAATGGGGTGTGAGAGAAGAAGTCATAATAAAAAATGAAAACCCTGATTTTTCCTATAAAGTCTTATTGTTTTTAAGTGTCCCTCTTCATATTGTGCATATGTTGCTATTAGTGTGGAATGGATATCTATTTTTATATTAAATGTATAAAAGAAATGTTTGATTTATCACAAATAAATCTGTTCTTAATTTTATATACTGAAATACTTGTTTTTGTTATATTCTGAAAAGATGAACAATCAAGTTGAACATGCTGAACAACAAAATAATGTGAAAAGATAGAGGACTTGCTATATACATGTACCAAATGATACATAGTACATGGTACATAGATAAATAAAAAAATGGCAATAGATGATCTTTAACAGATTGTCATTTTAACCTAACAAATATGACCTTCAAAAGAGTAAACCAACCTTATTTTAACCTTGCACCTAACCTTTTTCAGAAAACTTAAAAGTCATAGCAAATTGAATACAAAAAATAACTTAACATTTCGTCAAGTAGAAAACTTCACCAAATTCAAATCTGTCATCAAATAACAATAAGTTCTGAATGGTTAATTCTTCTAGTCCCATTAAAACAAGACATGGAGTACATTTCAAAGCTATATACGGATATAGCAAAGCCTCTGTTGATCTCAAATTCCAACTTAGTTTTTGTGTTGTTTTTTTGCCTTTGTTCTTTAGTGATGAGAAAATACCTTGCACCTAAAAATAAACCAATCTAGCTATTCCTTTTCCTTTTTTCTTTGGGAAATATCATATTGACACCCTTTATAAAACTCATATTCAACCCCCCCCCCCCTTAGTATAAGACTACATGTATATTATTTCAACTTGATTATTAGACTTTTAATGAAGCAATATTCACAGGTGGCTAACATGTTTTGAAAGTTGTAAATTCTTTATAATTTCACCAATTGATAAAATATCATTGATTTCTGTAGAAGTCATATCCTGAATAGTGAAGGGCACATTGGATGGAAAATAGTACATATCGCTTCCAATTTTGAACAATTAATCTATCATTCTGGCTCCTTGGAGCAATGGATCCCTTACTGGTACTTGTAACAGTTGGTACAAATATCAAGATTGTACTGGTACTTGTAACAAAACAAAAGATAACAATACACCTATATACGTGTAACAAATATTTATTTCATAAATTTAACACTATAAATATCTAAAAATGTGTTTCTTATTCTTCACAATATAAATGTGTGATAACCAATACAAAATAAATGCACATTGGATCTCTACATAATATCCTATAATAAACAATGTTCTCACTAAGCACCAGTTTCTCACAGTTGGTACAAATATCAAGATTGTCCAGCAATAAGATATATGTATAGTGTATAAAGGGTGTTCATAAAAGAAAAATCAAAGCTACTTCTTAATGTTAAGAAAAATTGGAGCATCTCTGCAAGAATTAATGAATACCTTGTAATATGTGTGCATAAAAAGTAGAGCTGTCCCTAAAGGAAATGTATGATTGGCATATCTTTTAACAATATTTAAAAAAATGATTATTGAAGTTAAATAAGGCTTCTTCTAAGCCATATAAAATTGCACTTCCCAATATATCCAATATGATCTTTAAATGTATATGTTTACTAATAGATTCTGTATTATGCAGCAGAGTTGATAAATATTGTTCCTATATTGCTGATTTCCATTGTGAAGATAGTCTTGTCTTGTCTTTACTCTGAGTGCCTTTGTTATCCTTTTACCCATACAGGTTAGATAATTTTATCGAGTTTTTAAAAATTAACATCTTGTCAGATGGTTCAAAGATGACTTAACCATTCAATAGTAAACAAATCGAATGGTAATGAAAAAATTTTAAAAAGCGACAAAATTATTTATCTACTCTGTATGTAATATATGTGCTAAGACCAAAGTCTGTAGAATCCCAAACTGATTGTCAAGCAAGATATAATTGTTCCTGAAATTAACAAAGTAAAAATAAAGCAAATCGCAAATAAAGCAAATGTCTCATACTTTAAAATGCATAATAAACTTAAGATATAACATCATAGATAACCAGAACAACGGCAACGCCAAAGCGTAGCAATCCCATCGAACATTTTTCAAAACGGGCACCTTCTACCAAAAGTGTCATTAGACAGTGTGCCATGCTTATAATATTCACATACCAAATATGAACAAAATCGCTCCACTACTTTTCGAGTTATAGTAAAAAACGTTAAAATGGCCGCCTTCTACCAAAAGTGTCAGTAGACGGTGTGCCATGCTGATACGTATTCACGTACCAAATATGAACAAAATCACTCCACTACTTTTCGAATTATAGTAAAATAAGTTAAAATGGCAGCCATTTTTAAAAATGTCCACCATTTTTCAAAATGGCCGCCTTCTACCAAAAGTGTCATTAGACAGTGTGCCATGTTTATACGTATTCACATACCGACTATGAACAAAATCGCTCCACTATTTTTCGAGTTTTAGTAAAATAAGTTAAAATGGCGGCCATTTTTCAAAATGTCCGCCATTTTTCAAAATGGCCGCCTTCTACCAAAAGTGTCATTAGACAGTGTCCCATGCCTATAGTATTCACATACCAAATATGAACAAAATCGCTCCACTACTTTTCAAGTTACAGCAAAAATCGTAAAATAACGAGTAAAGGCCGCCATTTTTCAAGATGGCTACCATGTGCTTTTTTAATATCTACATTTCTAGCTTTATTAATGTCCTATATAATTTTTTTACATTTAAAACATATTGCTATTACAGTTTTACATATTGCACCTAAATTACTGTAAAATCGGAACTAAAATGGCCGCCATTTTTAAATGAGTGGCCATTTTGAAAATCGGCTTTCAAGCAGAACTTTTACCCCCATAGGGTATATGTGTACAAAATATGAATAAAATCGGGCCAACGGTATTTGAGTTATTGCCCGTACGGACGTACGTACGGACGGAGGCGTTCCCTATATCCCTCCGAACTTCGTTCGATGGGATAATTAGGCTAAGACGGAGGGAATGAGGCATTCTGCTGATAGGTAAAAAGAAAATATCCCCAAGATCTAATGGAACTTTCTTACAGTTGCCATGGTAACATACCCCACGATATTATGGATCACCCCTTAGTGTTGTTATGGTAACATACCTCCAGCATATTTGAATACATCATTTCTATACTGTTCATATATGGTCCTGAGGTTGGCAGTTTCTGTTGAGATTTTATTGTTCAATATTGAGAGTTCTTTCTCTGTCCATGCATGCTGAAGAGAAAACATTTACACAAGCTGTAGCTATAAATCAAATTATTCAAGCATCTTTATACAAAGTACTAGGCTAGTCTAGATTTAGAACTTCTCAGCCCTGTAAAAAAGCGTTGGTTTTCTCCTGAGGATTTTTCATGGCTTCAAAGTAGGAGAAAATCTATCTTCATGGTATTACTAATTTTTTATGATTTCTTTCATTTTTAATTAGCCTATATATTAGGTGAAAATGAGTTTTTATGCCAGTTCAAGTCTATTTTCAAAGTCTCAAGTGGGTGCTACACCAACTTACTTCAGTAGTTTCTACCCACTTGGTTCCATGCTGCAGAGATCAATGTTAACATGTTCAGTGGAAGGGATCACAACAATCTCAAATGCATGAGCAGTGTACTAAATAACTTTATAACATAACTGTCCACAACAGAAAGCTTGCCACTAACAGCATTATGAGTTAATGCCTACTGAGAATTAAATATTCTTTAATAGTACAAAATGTAAGCAAAGAACCCTACATCTTCCTTGGCCCTGCTTCTCTCCAGGTTAATGTCTAATGTTATGCCACCTTTTAGTTTGTCTAGCTGGTCTGTTACAGTTCTTTTCAGGTGCTCTATTTCAGTTTTCTGCTTCTGGAAATAGCACACACAAGAAGGTTTAACCATGTTGGAATGGAGTGAAAATCAGAAAATATATTTTTGCTCCATTTTCTTGGCAGTGAATGATGTCTAACATCAATATTGCGTAAGAAACATGCACTGTAGTAACAAATAACAAGACACACAGTGATAAATATCGCACTTTGAAGAGCAAAGTGGCCATCATGCAATTTACCCAGCATGGCCAAAACCTAATCAGACCTTGGCACTAGTCTGCTCTTGCATCTGTAAACATTTCAAGTTGACAAGATTAGCGGTTTTCCTGCAATTTTGATGACAAGAATTTATTTGTAGTCTTGAACTTTGGGAAAATTTAGATAACATTGTTTGAGACCTTATTTGATGACCTTCGACCTTGAAAATTTCACTTTTTCAGACCTCAGTAGGTGGTTTGTAATTAAGCTGACCTAAATTTAAATCCAAAATATCAATTTAGAAAATCAAATTTTTGACCTTTCAAAGGTCACTGAAGGTCAACGAAAGGTCTAATCTGAAATCTAAGGTCAGATTTGAACTTCTGAGAACTTGTAGATGTTTTTAAAAAAAAAATTTGGTCAATTTGGAGCAAGTTGAAAATTTCAAAATGGCCGCCAAATTGAAAAATTCAAAATGGCCACCATGTTATTCTGCCAGCATACCCAAAACCTAATCAGATCTTGGCAATAGTCTGCTCTTGCATCTGTAAAAATTTCAAGTTGAACGGATAAGTGGTTTTCCTGGAATTTTGATGACAAGATTTGTTAAAAAATTCAAAATGGCCGCCACATAGTTTACCCAGCATTCCCTAAACCTAATCAGATCTTGGCACTAGTTTGCTATTGCATGTGTAAAAATTTCAAGTTGAACAGGTTAGCGGTTTTCTTGGAATTTTGATGACAAGAATTGATTTGTAGTCTCAAACTTTGAGAAACTTGGATAACATCATTTGTGACCTAGTTTAATGACCTTGACCTTCAAACTTGAAAATTTCACTTTTTCAGACCTCAGTAGGTGTTTTGTAATTAAGCTGACCTAAATTTAAATCCAAAATATCAATTTAGAAAATCAACTTTTTTGACCTTTTCAAGGTCACTGAAGGTGGATGAAAGGTCAAATCTGAAATCTAAGGTCAGATTTGAACTTCTGAGAACTTGTAGATGTTTTTTAAAAAAAAATTTGGTCAATTTGGAGCAAGTTAAAAAATTCAAAATGGCCGCCAAATTGAAAAATTCAAAATGGCCACCATGTAATTCAGCCAGCATACCCAAAACCTAATCAGATCTTGACAATAGTCTGCTCTTGCATCTGTAAAAATTTCAAGTTGAACGGATAAGTGGTTTTCCTGGAATTTTGATGACAAGATTTGTTGAAAAATTCAAAATGGCCGCCACGTAGTTTACCCAGCATGCCCTAAACCTAATCAGATCTTGGTACTAGTCTGCTCTTGCATCTGTAAAAATTTCAAGTTGAACAGGTAAGCAGTTATCCTGGAAATTTGATGACAAGATTTGGTTTATGTGCCGCCCGCACGCCCGCACGCCCGCACAACCGCACGCCCGCCCAACAGCACAAGACGACGACAATATAGCACTTTTTCAAAGTGCGATAAAAAGTCCAAGAGATTCTACTACTACTGTACTATCAAAATCAAATAAGAATCATAATGATATAAAACTTTGCTTTTATAATATAATATATGTCTAGTAATATTTTGAGGAATATTTCAATATGAATAAACCTACCTCATTTTCATTTTTCAGATTTGTAAATTCACTCTTTTCTAAGATGACCATGTCTTTCTTTACTGCAGCTATGTGAGACATCACCTGTTGGATTACTATCTCCTGCAAACATAAAAACACTCAGGTGACATATAAATATTAGAGACACTTTGGTGGCATGTAAGCATAAACACTTAGATGATATGTGAGAATTAAAGACCCTTAATGTGAACATTAGATACTCAGGTGAAATGTAAACATTAAAGACCCTTAAGTGACATGTAAACACTAGATACTAAGCTGACTTGTTAACATGAAAGACCCTTAGGCTAGGTGACATGTGAATATCAGATACTAAGCTGACATGTAAATATTAAAGACCTTTAAGTGACATGTGAACATCTGATACTAAGGTGACATATAAACATTAAAAACACTTAGGTGACATGTGAAAATGAGATACTAAGGTGACATAAAAAAACATTTAAGACCCTGGGGTGACATGTTAACATTTGAAACTGAAGTGACATGTAAATATTAAAGACACTTTGGTAATGTAAACATTAAAGACCCTGAGGTGACATGTAAACGTTAAAAAACCTTAGGTAACATGTAAACATTAGATACTGAGGTGACATGTAAACATTAAAAAAACTAACATGACATGTAAATATTTAAGACAAGAACCTTAGTGACAAGTAAACATTAAAGAACCTTAGGTGACATGTAAACATTAAGGTACTTTGACATGTGAGTGTTAAAGACACTTGGGTGACATCATATGTTCACAAAAATACACTTGTGTGACATGTAGCTAAGAAGTACACTTATCTAGTAATCTTAAGTAATATATGTAAACAAGAAGTATATATATGAGGATCGTTCAAAAAGTTCTGCACGAAAGCTTCTAAAGACAAGAGATTCTATTATTTACTACTAGCATTTGTGCTCACTCGTCAGCCTACATGAAGTGTAGTACATGTACGTATATTACACATGATACTACAGTAATAAGCAAGTTTTTGAGATTTCTTAAACTGACAAAACAATAATTTTCTGTGTGCCTTACTTGGTTGGCTTTGGTGACAAGAGTTTTGTTTTGGTTTTCTACAGAATTGTTCATAATCCCAACTAGGGCAGCAGTAAGCCCCTCTGCCTGGTCAACTGTGAATCCTACAACAAGACACATGCAAATTACAATAAGAGCTACATATATATACCTCCAACGAGACACATACAACAATACCAGCCATATACATGTACATATACGTATATGGTCAAAATTACAACTTGTCAATCCTATATTGATAGTTTACAAATGGCAACTCCACAGAATAGTAAATCACAATGAACAAATTATGTCAAAATATAATATCAACAATCTATCATTAAACAGTTACACCCAGCTAGATTTGCACATAAAAAGTTATGCATTTGGTGAAATCTCAGAATTCCTGCCAAGGTTTGAATGACCATTTTGAATTTTCAAGGGCACAAATGAGATCAAATATATATTATGTGATCTACTTGAAAAATAGCTTCGATTTCAGTATCATATAGACACATTTTGAAAGTACCTTTTTTTTAAACCCTCGTACATGGCCCTCATATGTCGGGCCAAAACATGGAATAAATGTGAATTCAATTAGATACTAGATATAATATATTTTATGGATTTACACTTCCGAAATTTCTAACAGAAACTCATTACTTTGGTTGGAAATGAGAAACTTAGATATCTGTGAAAAATTTCTGCCATTTCCAAAGGGGTGGCATTTTGAAAAAATTTCCTGCATAAAACAATTTACCAGTATACATCTTACCACTGAAATGAAGAACATTTGTAAACTAGCATTTGATTATTTTTGAGATGGATTCTGAATGGACAAACCGAAAGATGGATGATGGGTTTTCACAATGTCCCTATCAAACTTTACTTGTTGGGAAAGTCAGGAGTATACTGTAAAGGTAGCATTAGCATTCTAAATGTGAGATTGCTTACAAGATTGTTCAATTACCTGCATCTGTAAGTGAGGTGACCAGAGTGTGTGTATCAAAATAAAACACTTGAGATTTCTCCATATCAACCATTCGTGCCTTGTAGCATGTTCTCTGTAGCTGCATCTGACAGCCTAAAATATACTTTTGATAATTATTCTCTAAATCTCATTAAAACAAGTTGGAAATGTGTACAAATCATGCTGAAAATAATTTTCAATCCCTTAAACTGACTATGAGTACTTATATTGTACTACAAAATTACTATTAGGGCTGGCATGATTTCCGAACTTGCCTTCAGAATTTGGAACTTTCTGAATTTTGGACTTTATTTGTAGCCTTAAGTTTTAAAAAAGTATGAAATAGGCCTATGATTATGAAATAAATAGAATCAGTCACATATAAAAAAGCTTTGAACTTCTCAATATTCATAATTGAAAACAAACTATCCAAAGTATACAAGAATTATGCTTCAAAATAAAATAGAAGTTCGTCTTTAAATGAAGATATAATGGGAATTTATTCACCCCCCATCCTTGTTCAAACAGTTTAACCCAGTATGATCCTCAATATTAATATCTCACCTCTTAGTGGCCAGGCTTGATATACGTGTAAGAAAATCAAAATCAATAAAAGAGTCTTAGATTGACAGAGTTTAGGATGCTGAACTACAGTCTATATACTTTTAAATAAATGATAGGTTTTCAACCTAAATAGAGTGTTCTTTGCGAAATGGATTTGACTATAGACGCCTAAGACTCTGTAATGGCCTTCGATAGCAAGTCACTACTACAGTCTGTAGTGGCTAGCCTTTATGGCTCAGGGGTAGAGCGTCTGACTCGAGAGTGGAAGGTCTTGGGTTTGATTCCCGTACGGGGGATTGAATTTAGGACACTCTCTTTCGAGTCTAGTATCTGGCTCGGTACACTACACCTCCCTGACGGACATGCCCAAGGCCAGGGTCGTTACATTGGTGTCAGAAGTGGGATTGCCCTTGTGAATCAGTTACGACAGGACATCGTTTTCAAGGGGGGATGGTGTAATGAACTTCGTTAGCAAGTCTTTACTACAGCTGTAGTGGCTAGCCTTTATGGCTCAGGGGTAGAGTGTCTGACTTGAGAGAGGAAGGTTGAATTCCCGTACGGGGCATTGAATTTAGCACACTCTCTTTTGAGTCTAGTATCTGGCTTGGTACACTACAGCTCCCCGACGGACGAGCCCAAGGGTCGTTACAACTCTTATTTCGAGAATAGAATGCACAAAACATTTACATCTACGTATCTAACAAAGATAGCTATTAGACTAGTCTAGCAGATAGAATACTCTCTCCATGATGAAATTATTGTCAATGTTTCAAAATAAATTCTGATGAAAATACAAAAAGGTATTATTTCTTGCCTTTTGGTTTTAATCCATCCCTTTGCGTGCATCCTAAACTTAGTGTAGAATTTTTTCGTGATAACAAAGTTTGTTCATTACAATGTGTAAGGCACATTTTTGCCAAATTCGAGCTTTTTCTGAAAAACTTTGACATTTTCATGGGCGCTGACATCTTGAATTTTGAAATATCATACGAACTCCCGTGCAGTGATAATATCACTGCGGCGGGCAGGTGTCTCACCGTAAGCATGGTAACATCGTAATAAACAACTGACGTGATTGGTTCTAGTCCCATGCTCAGGTCGCGTGATTGTAAAATTTAGACAATTTCATTGGTTGAAATGCGCGTATTAACTAATAAACAACACGTGCGGTAAACTTTTATCAACACAACTTTTACTCAGAATTCCTTCCGCGGGGATTTGCTCTTATATTTCATTGATTTTGGAATATTTTGACAAAATAATTATTGGTGAACATAAAAGAACATATATTTTATAAGTTGTGTGAAAAACAAGTACATCTGTGACAAAAAGGGGGACTATCTTCCCCAAATTTTGGGGATTCCATAATCTGCCCGCCGCAGTGTCTATACCGAGACACTGCATAGGAGTTCGAATATCATAACGAGGCTTTGTTTAGTACATCTCATTTTATTGGTTCAAAATTTTGTATCAAAGAATTTGATTGGTCAATAATTTAACACTACTTTAAAGTTCAAAATTTGAAATTTTTTCAAAGAACAAGTTCTGTTTACCGTATATCCTACAATACTGTAAAAATGGCAAGTCAAAACGTAGATCCTGCATCTGCCACAGTTAGAGCCAAGACAGTCGATACAATCAACACCAAGCCAAAAGACTCACATTCGGTCACAAAGAGGTTTGAATAAATTTTCTTTATTTTTAAATTTTTTTTAAAAATAATTTCTTTTGAATTTATGAATTTCAATATCATGAATATGCATAATCTTTATTTTTCTGTCAAGAGAAGATCTGAGATGGTGATAAGGTGCACAGATGCACCTGTAAGTTGTAACAGTAGGGTCTTTATTAGCATTGATGTTGACCCTTATCCCGTTCCCGGACTATGGTCCTGTGAACATCTCAATCTTTTGCCTGTGCGATTACAACATGGGAGAATTTTTTACTGATCTTACACTTCAGATACCTACTTCAATAGATTCCTTGGTAATTTAGCATTCTTTTCGTGTAGTTGAATCCACAATTGTCTGGGTTTATCGGCAGAACGAAGACATTTTCGTTTTTGATCGCAATATTTGCGTGTAACATTTAACCTTTTTCAACCGTCAAATTCCTCCATATTGGTACTTCCGGGCTACATCCGGGACAGCCAAACGGGGGATTCCCCGTTTAAATCCAACCGCCATTTTGAAAAGTGATGGAATCTCTCTCGACGAAAAAGAGAAAATGTTCTCGTTCTGCCGATATACCCAGACAATCGGCGGTTCCAATATATTAGAAGTTACATCTTGAGTTCTATAATGCATTGAGGTAGGTACTGTAGATTGGGTTAATTTGGCGCTACTTAATTTGGCGATTCTGCCATTTTCGGCATATTGGCGGCTATTTAATTTGGCGGATATGCAAAAAAATAAACTTACCCGCTGTTTGCGAATTACCATGTAAATGGACATGGACATTTTGAGGACCACTGGCGATATTCACCACATTTGTACATTTTTGTGAGATCATCCTTTACATTTTGCACCTCTATCGATGCTGCTACTATACCGCGCTTTTCCTTTCTAGTTTTTCCCTGAGTATTAATGAGTGACTGACCAGTTCTGAGCCAATTTATGAGACATTTTTTCATATTTTGGAAGAAACTAAATCGGAAGTGACCTAAATACACTGGACGAAATACCCTAGATAATTCCCGGGGATTCATTCTAAATTTTGGCGAAGATTTATATTGGCGAATTTTTCAACTTCGCCAAATTCGCCAAATTAAAGCGGGCGCCAAATTAACCCAATCTACAGTATCTTAAGTGTAAGGGGCGTAGATAATTCTCCCAAGTTGTAATCGTACAGGCAAATGAATGCGATCAGTGCAGGACTATAGTCCGGGAACGGGATAAGTTGACCCTACTCTTAGTCAGGCCTGTCAACTGTCCCGGAATTTGCGTATATTTGTCACGCATTTGCCGGAGAAATGGAAGTCACACCAGATTTTTGGGTGTCAGAATTCGTCCCGCAAACATGCATTTTTTCTGATTATTGTCAAGCAAAAATATTTCCAGAGAACATCAAAAAACGAATGCCGAAACATAAATGAAACCGCTCCTGGGGAACCGCCCATGAACGAACTCAGTAGACTGTAACGAGTTCATTCAGAACTTTCATCTGAATATTTTCTGGATACATATCACCTAAAATTGTATATTTTACATTTTCTATAGTCTCATCCACTGATATATGGCCTTTTGATTATCTTATTTTTAACATAGGACATCCTTACTTCAGCAAATCCACTGTCTCATTTGTTTATGGCCCAAACTGTAGCATAGTAGTAACTTGATTTCATTCTTATTACAGGTTGAATCAAGAACTGATGACTCTCATGGTAAGAAATGCATTTACAAAGTCAGTGACAAAATCACATTGATGTATAATAAAGTCACTTCAACACATATAAAATTCACATGCGTCAACATAAAATAGACATGTAAAAATAAAAATGATTTGTATGTTCTACATGTAACATCACATATGCTTGAGATTTCTTTTCTTTTTTGACTTTTACATTCACCTAATCAAACCACTAAAATTAAAAATGACCAATACACAGGAAGTAAAAGAACAGTATGTCATGTCCTTTGAGTTTTTATTATATTTTATACATGTACTTCTAATGTCGCATAAGCTATAGATTAGTCTATAGAATTATAAATCCTGTTAAATATTTTATGAAATGAAATGTTTTGAAAGATAATGAACATATTAGTTCTCCTTGACTTGCAGATGTCTGTAGCTGAAACTGGTGTATCTGCATTTCCCGATGGTGACTCAATCTTTCATTGGGTAGGCACCTTGACTGGACCAGAGGGAACAGTAAGTATTATATATTCTTTATTTCTTTTACAGTAATTGGAAATTCTTCCAAGTCACAATTAGACCCATCCATTTTAACGCCCAGTCAGATTAAAATGCAAGGCAGTAAAGCATTAAACTTGTAAATTTTACATTTTTTGAGGGTTCTGGCAGTACAGAAACCTTTCGTTATGAAACAGTATGAGTGTTGAGAAGAAAGGTGTTTCCCTTTGTGTAATTCGGCACTTATATGTCAGTCTAATTTTAATTTGTATGTTCTGTTGCATCAAGCAAAGTAAAGTAGAAATAAAATGTGTTTTTTCAGGTGTATGCAGGGCTTAAGTACAAACTAACTTTTGACTTCCCACAAGGCTACCCAATTAACCCACCCACAGTCAAGTTCCGCTCACCCATATTTCACCCAAATGTGGACACACACGGCAATATTTGTTTGGACATTTTAAAAGAAAAATGGTCAAGTGCTTACGATGTGAGGACAGTGCTTCTCTCGCTCCAGAGTCTTTTGGGAGGTAAGGCATTATGGGTAATTGAGTGTGACAAGATGAAATGAAAATGGTGAACATTTCGTTTGTAATTTTTTGTAGAATTTTTCCCCATGTCAAAATAGTTTGACATTGAGATTCTGGATTTAAATGAAGTCTGGGTTTGAATTTATTAATATCTTGAAAGGGTTTTTACATCTTGTATTTTGAGTTTTAATAATTACTGAAAAATAGAGAATGTAGAATTGTATAATTTGCATATATAATGAGATGAAATGTTTAACTTGGAATGGTAAAAAAACAATTTTTCCCTGAGATACAATCATTTTAGTTGGTCTCATGTCAAATTAAAAAGTTTATAACAAAATGTAGTATGCTATAAATAATAAATATTACAGTAAAAGCTGTATTAGTGAACACCTCTCTCTAGTGAATACCTCCACTTCAGTATAAATTACACTCTGGAGTGGCAAAAATGGTCAATATAATGTTTAATGTATATAAAAATGTAATTATAATACAAAAAAATGTACAGTATTCGGAAATAGAATTGTCAAGACATGGAACAATCTTCCCCAATCTGTAATAGACACCACAGATATAAATCAATTCAAGAATGGAATTGATAAGCACCTGATGAGACAGAAATTTCTTCACCACAACTAACCCATGTCCAGTGAGCAATTAAACAACGCCCCCCCCCCCTAACATGACATGAAAATAATACATAAAAAGATCTGGATTATACAGGACTATCCTTCTCTCCAGAATAATAGATATAGATAGAGATATAGAATACAATATGATAATGATATGTTATGATTAATTCCAGAACCAAACAATGACAGTCCATTGAACATACAAGCTGCAGAATTATGGGACAATCAGGTTGCATATAAAAAAGTACTGCTGGAAAAATACAACAAAGACGTCAAACAAAAAGAAGAAAACTGATAAGTTATATAGCAGACATATAGTCAGAGGGAGGGGTCGCTTAAACAGCAGAGTATAGAGACATTTTTATTTATCAGTCTGGAAATCTGCATAAATCGGAACATTTGAGCCATCCTGAGGCTGTGGCGATTTATTGTATATATGTATAGACAATTACAGACAACTTACATACACACACAGAACACTATATGACTAGGATTTATGACTAACATGACTAATTGTTATATATCAGAATGTATTTTATCATTATGATTCAGAACTAAAGCACAATACCATCTAAAATGAACAAATATCTAACAGTGTGCTCAAGTTATAATATTATCCATTGGTAATTTTTAAGGTCAGTTTTTGTGAAAGATGTTATTCTTTTGACAATCAAACATAGGCAGTTGCAGATATGCCAGTAATTGGCTCATATACAATGCAATCTGGTCTCCAGATTCAACTCAGTGCTGCATCAAGTTTGGTTCACCTCCCATTAACTGTCACAGCCAATCTTCACCAGCACCATATGGTACCGTTTTGGCAACAGTATGGTACCACACAGTACCGTAGAGTACACAGTGCCATATAGTACCGTAAACACTGAATGGAACCATACTCGAAACAGTACTGACCAGTACCATACTCTAAGTTAATGTACCATATGGTACCGTGATTAAAGAGTGTGAATTGGGGGTGTAAGTTTGTGTAGAAGTATGTTAGTAATAAAGGGGAAGTACATGTATGTATGTTAGTGGGGGGTCCACTGAAACTTGGTGCAAGACTAGACATAACTCACAAATGCACAAATGCAAAGTTCCTACAATTCAGATACTGCTGAATTGAGAGTCAGACTCACATATACAACTCAATTACATTCAAAGAAAAACACATACTGTATATCAAATTAGTTTGTCCTTTACTTTTATTAACAAACAATGAGCTATGGCTTAGATTTGTAGACCACACAAAACTTGTAAATATGATGTACAATAGAGATTTATGATGTACAATAAACAGATTTGTGATGTACAATGAACAGATGTATGATGTACAATAAACAGATTTATGATGTAAAATGAACATATAATGCAGTACTAATACCAGTCTCTGATGAGCCTAAATATTTAATGAAGAATGTGTAATATAGATCATCATCATACAAGTTATTATGAAGTGTTATGCATTCATTTTTATGTCTCTACTAGAAGTGATGACATATTGTTATAGTCTCCAACTATCTTGTGGATGATGTTTGGCAGTCAGCATTCGGTGTCTGTAACAAATGGTAGGAAGTAACATTTTGCATGTTGTTTATTAGTTATATGACAATAACTGAAATCCTTTGTACTGGGAACTTGCTGTCGATATACATATTTTGATTGAACCTTCAAGGCCTCATATAACGTGTAAACCACTTTGTCTTATATTGTACCCATGACCCGATGTTATTAACCCTTAAAGGGTAAGGGGGGGCAGTTCTATCCCCTTAAGAATTTTTTGATAACCTTTTTCGTAGTTGACCTTTTGACCTGAAACTTACTGGCTTTTCTGAAAACTGAATTAGGCATGTTTTAGCGAAACAACTGTGACTCTAACACCCTTAGGAGGAAAGTTAGAGCTGTTCAAAGTGAGTAAAATACCCAAATTATCAGGTTTTTTTTTACTTGAAACGAAAAACCCCTTATATTAGTTCTTAGACTTTGAATTTCTTCATTAATAATGGCTCAATATTGATGGATATTAAACGGATTGTCCGTTTTCAAGATAATAGGGGAGAGGGGGGCAGATCTGCCATTGGTGTAATTTTCTATAGCCTAACTGTTAAAATGTGGCATGTGAAACTTTTCAAAATTTTAAAAAGTGGTTTTTGAATGACCCTTTCTTTTTAAAACATTTTTGCACCCTAAAACATTTTAGTACCACGCAAAATATAACATTCTGTTATTGAAATTATATCTCCTTTCTTTATTCTTCACAATGATGTTAAAAAGATAATGTGTTTTCCACTGTTAATAGTGGAATATTTGATGATTAAAAATTTAAACTTTTGTTTGAAAAATGGCGAAAAATTTAGAAATAGGCTAAAAAACTGACCAACTCTTTTTCCAGAAAAATGAAAACTTTTTTTCAAACTTTACATGGAACCTTTAAAGAAAATTATTAGTTTCCAATATCATTTTGTAATTTGATCATTAGATTTGGGAACATAATATGAAAACACAGTGATTCATATCACACTTTGAAGAGCAAAATGGCCACTATGTAATTACTCAGATGCGAGTAGGTAGTTACCAGTTTCGCCACCAGGTGGCTGAGTCGGGGGGAAATAACATGGCAGGGTATTACAAAATTCCCTTAAACTTGAATATTCATCAGTTTTAGTGGTTCAGTTTTCATATTACCTTTTTGTATCTGATAGTTATACAAATTAAAATATGCCCAGTAAAAGAAAATCTTATCTGCCCAACACAAGAAAAGATATTTCACTTTTTGTGATTTTACAACATAGGCTCTATGGGGAATCTCCCCGACCTAGAAGTCACATTTTCAGAGAAAATTAAATTTTCAAAGTTGATTAACTCTTCAAACCCACATTTCTAGATGTAATTCTACATGTAGATTCCAAATATGACATCAGTTTGAATTTTTGATGACGTAAATCAAGATTGTTTCTACTCGTATCTAGTCTATTTACCCAGCATGCCCAAATGCCTTAATTAATCAGATCACTCTTCTGCTCTTGCATTTATAAAAATGTCAAGTTGAATGGGTAAACAGTTAACATGCAGTTTTGATCACAGATTTTTGTGGTGCCAGTGCCGCCATGATGCACACATACACATCGGTACAAGATACTACAACATAGCACTTTTTCAGTGCTATAAAACAGTCAGTATCTAACATGTCTAAGGCAGGAATAAAAGTGGACTTAAGAGTAAGATATTATATAACAATAAGACGAACATATTCTTTATATATTTTTTATATTTAATAATCAATAAATAATTTCATACACCAGTAGAAAATGTACATTTTGTGACTAAGATATTTTGCATTATTATTATTTTGTATTTACTATTTGAACAAACAACTACAATCACTAGATCGTCCTCCTATAAGCAAAATGGGACCACTCTTACATGGGATCAGTCCTCCTATGAGGGATAAATTCTACAAGCACTCAGTCCTCAATATTAAGAGATCAGTCCTATAAGCTATAAATGATAATCATCCTATGACAGCAGAATGCCTCGGTCTGTCGGTCCTGTTTCTAGTGGGAGGGGCAAATATATACTATACCACTCTATACTCCAGGAAAAATATAAGATGGTCGTGTGTTTGTTTTTCTTGCTGTAATCGTGAAGAGAATAAGAAAATCTCTTATTAGAGACGAAAAATCATGAAAGTAGAATTGAATTTATAAAACAGGAGGAAATCTATAAGGAAAAAGCGAACATTTCATTCATTCATTTTATTTCTATAGAAATAAAATTCGAATCAAGAAAACATTTATCTGAGAGACAGAAGCATGTGGTCATACAGTACCAAAGTAGAAAAAATGATTTCTCAATAGCATTCAATTGATATAAACTAGAACTATCAATATACAATCAAATGGTATTAAGGATTTTATAACAGTATTACACACAGCCACAAAAATTATCTTAATTAGAGACAGTCCATTAGGTAATTGACTATGCGTTCTTGAAGCTGTGTACAATACTGATTATTAATTATATGTATAGATAGATGACTGAGTACCAAGTCACACATTTGGTGATTTTTTAATCAAACTACCAATGATGCATGCTTATCACAGTATTTTAACAGAAATACTGTCTATATACATTAGTAAGCTTGATATATGATTAAAACAAAATTCAGAAATGTTTAATGACAAGCATTGGTTAAATCATACGATGTAATGATAAATTATTAATATACTTGACTCATTCATGTCAACAGATCACATGTCTAAATTTGGAGTGTTTTAGTTGGGATATGTGGTGTAAACTAAAAGTAATAAAATGTATTAACTCAACCACTGTGAGATTGTTCCTGATATAGAAGATGGGCTCTATAATACTGCAATTTATAACACTGTTAATATAGCCGAGTACAGTGAAACCCATAATGTTAGTACCCATTACTCGTGGCATGCATAGCAGAATGAGGACGTTTTTTGAGGCAATTTTTTTATTTTTCTCTGAAACAAATTTCTCACAACAAAGCATTAACCTACAAAATATTTTAGTCTCAGAATTTTGAATTTTTTGAAAGTGCCAATCGCTGAAGTATTGGATTTCATCTATGTGCACTCTTAATTTCACTGGCATTTTATGCCTGGGTCACATTTGCTCCGATTCTTCGGCCGGCGCCTGGTCAATTGAGTATCCTGTTCACAATTGTATTCAGTTTTGAACAGAATACTCAATCGGCTGAGCGCCAGCTGATGAATCGGAGTAAATGTGACCCAGGAATTAGGTAAGAATCACATATGCTTTTAATATCTTTTATACCGATTTTTCGGGAGTGCGAGCATACATGGAAAAGTCGTATTACATTTTTCATTCCACTAGGCATACCTTTACAGATCCATAAAAAATGTAAACATGCATATACATGCTAACTGTAAATATGTTTCACTGTGCATTCCAACCTGTACATAAATAGATATATATCTAAACAATTCCTTCCACCTCTCTTGAATTCTCCACCAAGAGTTAAAGATACCAACTTGGTCACACTTAATATCCCACATACCATTTCTTTCTGTTACTTGAATAAAGCATTTCATTCGTGTTATTCCCACGGACCTCAAGGCCTATTCAACTTCCTGATTCTGTCATAGAATACAGATGTGGGAATACTGTATGACCACAGTGATATCCCTTCAACATCATACACCCTTCTTTCTGTTAACTTCAGGATAAAATGGGTCAATATCTTTATAATTCACCACTCCATTCTTTTATATTAACTTTCAATGACTCCTCACTGTCTATCTCTCCTGTACAATTTCCACTATTTTATGTATCTCACTGTCTTATAACTCCTCAGTCTGGTCTCTTCCCTCTACAATTTCCTATGATCATATGCAATGTTTTTGTTATTCTAATAGACAAACATGTACTTACTGGTTCTGAGTACTGGCTTTGTATGTTACTTGATGGCTACATGTGATTGCATGTGATACAGTTAAACTCATATAGTATGTAAAATGAACACATTCAGCTTTCAGAGACTTCACTTAACACCATGTATGTATCAAATCCTAGAAGTTTTCAATCAAAAATTGAGTTTGAAGTCAAGTAAGTTTGCAGTAAGTTTTCTTTTTCCATTTTTAATGACAATTAGACATTGGTTAGTAGTCTTTAAAAATCATGCTGGGCATTATGTTATATTCTGTTTAAAATTAAATGATTTAAACTGATTTTCATGCATTTTGAATTATTCAGAGTTAATGTGAATGTGTTGGTCTCTCAGGCTCTACAATATAAAGTGTAAGGTAGTCTTAAAGCTCGTGAAGAACAGTAAAACCTGTCTAAGCGGGGCACCTTTGGTACCTCTAAAAAGTGTTCCACTTGGGAGGTGTTTCATTCATAGATTCATTTAACATTAAGTCAGTTGGTCTTGGAACTCTGAAAAGTGTTTCACTAACAGAGGTGTTCCACTTTACAGGTTTTAGTGTATAGAGCAACTTCAGACATCCACCTTGCCTGGTAATCGTGGCATTCTGTTTTACAATTTTTGCTGTTATAGTTAGGACACTGACCGTTACATCTTCAAAATTAAAAATCATTAGTTATAGCCATTCAAATATCTAATCATGTGCATAAAGAATGTACTTTATCATACATTCAAATACAGACCACCAGCAGATCTAGAGGGGGGCGTCCTAAAAATTCGGAAAATTTGTGTTTTGCCTCATTGCTTTTTGCAAAATTTGACTCTTCGCTCACAGTTATTATCACACGCCCCCCCCTAACACAAAATCCTGGATCCGCCCCTGCAGACTAACATCTTCATTATCAATAATCATTATTAGTTTATCTATATAGCCATTCATCAATATATTTAATCCTGCGTGTTGATGAAAGAACAAGATCCTATTGAAGATTCAAACATTGAGTGTGACACCTCCATTAATTATCCTTAATTTAGAGGATACAACATATTAGGTGTGTATCAATGTATATAATCCTGAACATTGGCGAAAGCACAAGATCCTATAGCAGATTCAGACATTAGTTTCATACATTCGGTAGTTTGTCCAATTGCAATCTCCAGAGGTGGTTGCTTAGGTAAATTGTGGGACTCTGCAACAATATAAAATATTGATGATTTAGTAAAATATTATATTTAATAGAAGGAAGTAGGATTTGAGCAAGTTCAGGTCAACTCGAGTATATTAGATTAGGTCATTTAATGAATGGAAAAGCAAGTTGTTGAGCATCCACATTGAAAGAACACAGGCCTTACATCACTTTATTTTAATCAGCTTCAAAATTTTTTGTTTGAGAATATTTTGCTTTGACTGTATCCCCTTACCTAATATAGCACTGTTAAGGCTAGCACATATAGGTTCTCTCTGTACAGGGTCTAACTGGTAACCTACTGGGCTAGACCAGGGGTCAGAATACGCTAGCAGACTGAAGGCATCCTATAACATAGAATACATGTACAGTGAAAATGATAGTGACATTTTTCGTGACTTGATCTGATTGACAAAATTTGATGCAAACATACTCTGATTTTCATTCTGTGTGATACAGAGTCTACATTTAACTCTGACATCACACTATCATACGCTTTGCCAAGTTTGAGAAATACACTTTATTAAAACATCATGCACTATATCCAAAATTGTATGATCAAAATGCAAAAATTAGGGAAAATACCTGCAACGCCTTTTTATTGTTTTCATTCTTGCCATATTCGCGCCTGAGTTGTTGGCTAAAAGTTTGTAGTTCCCTGCCGTACTGCAGCATTTTCTCTATTGCCCCCGGGGCTCCACCACAAATCTGGCGTTTCTGAGTGGGTTGGTCAAGTTCTGAAATGTATGAGTAAGAGGGTAGACTAAGGATCGACTTCTGTTTTACCTTTTCTAGATAATGTGGTAACTTCCTGTTTTATTGTAGTATTGGTTATGTATGTATCACAGAACTATCCATACTATGGCTTGGCTTACCACAGTATCTGAGTGCAGTGTTAGACCCAGGGCAATATGTGCTGGGTAAGACCTGATTCAATGTGGCCATGAAAACACACATATCAACAAAGCACTGAGATTTTTCAATATGTTGCAAAAAATATTCCATAAATGTGTTGTCATGGTGAAACCTACTCATCTATATTGTCATGGTAACACCTACCCATATCTTCATCGTCATGGTGAGCTCCATTGAGACTCCCGTTTAGACTCCCATTCATGGCACCATTACTTTCTCCATTACTCAGCCTCTCTTCCAATTCCCCATTCTCCATTTCAACGTCACTATCATGTCCTAAAGTCCTATCAACAGCACCATTACTAGTGCTATTACGAGTGTTTAGTTCACTTTCTGAAATTGGTCCGAGGTCTGAGTTTGTATTTTGGTGACCTGACATGTTAGATTTGTTTGTGATTATCCGTTCACGATTTATAGGACTATTACTGCGACTGGATCGTTGTGATGATATCCCATGATGAACTGGGCTCATATTGGGTGATGATCGTGAGCTACCGCTACTATGACGGGATTGTGGACTGCGTATAGCCGGACCACGTACTTCGGTGTCCGTACCATTGACCATTTCTATGAATTGTCTACATTTAAGAAGGAACAGTAAGTTTGCGTTGTGATCAAGGAGCCCTGGGTAAAGATGTTGTGTGGTGTCAATAGCTTCTCCCATTCTACCTGCTAACACCAACTTCTGTATTCCTGAAAAATAACCAAATATATTTCTTCAACTGTACATTTCCAGTTGTCCAGATGTTGCTATCACACAAAGGGGTTTGCTAAAAGACCCACATTTAATTCGAGACTAGGCGTTAACAAGCAAAATGTCACAACCTGCCATTTGGTACAGATGCCAGCAGCCGAACAACAAGTAAATTTGGAGATAATAACAATATGTCACCACTTGTGGTGGTGAAAAAAATGATATGACAGTGCCAAGATCCAGCCATTTCTATCTATAGGTAAATACAGTGTCACAGTGAATGAACTAACTTTGTCTGTTCTTTATTGAAGCTAACTCTTCTTCTATAGATTGTCCCGTACTTCTAGCAAATGACTCAGCAGTACCACAATACCCATGATGCACCAGATACGTGGATACAAATCTGAAAATAAACAACATCTTTAAAATAGTCACAAAAAAAACTTGTGGTGGTGGCAAAATAATTTTGAATCTGAAAAACTATAGTTTACCAACGATTATAGTATTAATATAATAGTGGAAAATCATGAAATCAAAATCTAGGGAATGAAGTGCAATGAATGAATTAAGCAAAGAAAGAAAAGTCCATGAAGTCTATCACTAAATTTATAAGAAACATCATTAAATATGTATCTTCATTGAACTTTCAGAGAACAACTAGGGGGAATAATCAGATTGTGATATTCTGGATTAGATTTACTTTTGTAGTGTAGTCTGCCAGTCCCCACGTTTATCATTTACAGGAAAGTCTTCTATGGTCTTCCTGGTTTTCTTTTTCCACTCCTAAAATAGAAGACAAATGTACAGTCAAACTGGGAGAGGCATGGGGATAAGATAGGCTTTACTCTTTAAGGTTTATTTCACAATCAAGACTATACACAGTCTGTATTATGAAATGCAAGTTAAGTGTGCATCGAACCATCAAAATTTTCACTGAGAATCACTAAACAATTTAATTTTTAATTATGATGTAGCACTTTTTGATTATAGTACAGAACATGCACTTAACATGAATCTGCTGTACTTAATTATATATTTGTATTTGTCATAAAAGAAAACATAATTTGAGGCGAATTCATTGAACCAACAAACATACATTGTGACAATAGCACCAGAAGAAGTGAGTAACTTCCATAATAAATTGTTATAGGTATCATGAGATTCCCCTTAGCTTTCCTAATATGGTCCTACAAGCCTTATATGGATCTATCACATGACAGCAACACTAACCTTCATGTAATCCTCTATATCATATACAAAGGGTGTCTGTCCAAAGTTCGCCTCGACCACCTCCCCTGGAGTCTGTAGCCCCACAGTTGGGTACAAGCTATTCTGCAAAAATAAACATATACAATGTACATACAATTAAATAGAACTAAAAATAATTAGATCTTAATGACAGGGGTAAAGGTCTAAGAGAGTCTCTTGAATTTCTTCAAAATCATTGAAACCTTTTACTTTGATAGACCTATCTATCAATATAGCTCATCCCCTTATGACCCACATTTGAGCACAATTTATTATACACTGTATAATATCATTGCTACTTAGAATACATCAGTAACAATGTCCAGGTTAGTGTTTCACCTGCCCACTTGTGTTAGTATGCAACATACATGGTGCTCAACTACAGCTTACTTTCATATTTTACACATTCATTTTATCTCTGTGGTAAGGTGGTAAGCAAGAGATGTAATTATGTCTGTCATTTCTAAAGCTCTGGGGTTTCCCTCCTCTTGTTGCCAAGGGATACTTCAGAGTATGATGAGTTGTGACAAGAGCAATACGAAGGCCTACTTACTGGTAAATCAGAGAAAGCTATCCCAAGATGCACTCCATTCTTTGTGTAAAAACATGTCTTGTCAATTAAGTTCAAGCAACAGCCAATCACATCACCAGTCGTAAAAGTTGGTCCATACGGTTGACCCGTCCCAGAGGAGCAAAACGAGTGCCCGTCATCTCCATGGTAACCATAAGAATGGCGATCCCAGCCGGGTAGTCTGTTCATGTTCACCCCCTGTGCTGATAAGCCTATACCCATGTACCTAAATATAAAATATAATATAAATATATGTGTAAATCATACTGACGTTTATTTTTTGTTTTCTCTTATGTTCTTTAAACTGTGTTTAGTTCAATATTCCTTTTTATTCAATTGCTCATTCAAATCTCATGATTCTATTCAAAATTGCAACTAAATACCACAAAATGTTTTGCCCATTAAGTTAAAGGTTTTTTGAGCTACAATATCCTTCCATTAGTCCAAATCAGTGATAAAATGAAAATAAGATATAGCAATCTTAAGTGTCTTTATCTGACCTGTTTAGCAAAGGCATTACTATCTAGCTTATCAAATATCAATAAGGCATAAAATTAAGCAATATTAAGTACAGTAACTTTTATAACTTTTAGTCGCTAAAATCCCTTCTCACAAGCTTTAGATAGAGACTTATGAATCAGAGTGGACTATCTTGCTTATCAACAAGAAATGAAAAGCAATCTTGGCAGTGATCTCCCAAACAATAAAGCAAGTGGACGAAGGACCCATGTGAGACTAAAAATAGGCTTGCACCCACCTGAAAATTCATTTGCAGCCACTTTAAAATGAGAAACACCATGAAAAATGGCCATATTTTGACCAATTTCAGTCTGAATTGTGAAAATGAGAATTATGCACCCACTTCAGAAAAAAATCCTGGAGAACACTGCTGGAATAACTTTTCTTTGACCTGATTAGTTAAGACGATCTTACCCATCTCTCCCTTTGCTTATGATCTTCACCTCAAAGTAATACACCCCACAAGAGGCGGGTATGGGGTGTGTTGCCCGAACACTGGCTGCATCTTTGTGTGTCTTTCCTACACCTGAATATACATAGAAAGTATCCACATAAGCATGAGGTTATTCAATCTTGAAATACACCCCTCCATAAAAGCTACATGTTTATGCATCTTTCCTACAACATGGGGTCATTTAACCTTAAAATACACCTCCATAAAAGCTGCATCTTTCCTACAAGTGAATGTAAAGAGAAAGTATATAATTTACATATATTAACATGGAGTTAACCTTAAAATACAACACCTCTGTAAAAGCTACATGTTTCATATACCTGAAGGTACAAAGAAATGACAAACATGAGCATAGGGTTATTTAACCTTGAAATACACCCCCTCCATAAAAGCTGCATCTTGTTGGATTTGTAATAGAAGTTGCATTGTCAGTTACAATGGAAATTAACATGAATTGCTTTTTACTAAAACCAATTAATTATGATAGAATATTGGAAACAGCTTCACACCAAAGTATTCATTAGCTAGTGCTCATATTGTGAGTCTGATTATCATGGAAATATGTTATGCACAGGAAAGTGTTGATTTTGGGAGGTGCTCACTATATAGATCTTCACAGAACATTGCAGGTTATACTCTACAATAAACATCCATTTAAACTCATCGCTAACTATGTCTCTCTGGTAATGCTTCTTCTAAACCATTCCCTTGAATAACACCTTGAATGAACACTTTTTGGATTTACTCTTTATTTTGGTATGTATGCAACTCTGTCCCATTTGCTTCATTCCTTGCTAATTCAACCCACTTCCACTCAATATATCCACTCAATATTTCCACTCAATATATATATGAATATCTTAAAACGATGTGTTATAAATGTAAATGAAGTACTGTATATTGTAAGTATATTTATAGTAGAACATGAATCAAAACAAAACAGAAGACTTCAACCATGGGCTTTAACATTAATCACTGTTCACAACCTGGATACAAAATCACGTAGAGCTCATGTTTCAAACACAAGATAAAGTGGTTTAGGATGGAATTAACATGGAACGGTATAAAAACACAATATGAATGCTCTAAAGTGTTTAAAATAGAAGAAAATCTGACATTGCATTGGTGTTTAATGAAGAAATTCAAAGGAACTACCGTGACCAGAACACCTCCATCACTCACTCGTAATCTGCAATAATTATAAAAATAGACTTGTATATTATGTAAACGAAAGAACTAGCTCTCCCCTATGTTGCAATACACATCTAACAAAGCTACTACAAGTTCAAAATGCATTGATACATGTACATTTTTTTTATGCTAGGCCAACCTGAAATTGTCTCTCTCAAAGGATGGTGTCTCTTCCCCGTTGAGTTATACATTAATTCCATAACTGCCTTACTTTTAATCATAAAGAGGAATTGGGGATGGCTGCAATTTAATTGGCCAAAACGAAACAGTGGTTGTTTTAACCCATTTCATGTATGTATTTAAGATCAGCAGCAAAGTATCAGCATACAGGAAATGAACATCCTTGGTCCAAGGGTATTTCACTTCATTCAATGGCTGCTGTATAGCAGTGAAGCCCGGTCTTGAAGGATTGGAAATGACTATTGAACATCTATATGTTTGTACTCTGAAGGTCAGAGCCTAGTACAGCCCCCCTCCTTGGGTGTGCCCAGGAAAAAAAATTGGGCCCAGAAAAAATTTGGGCCAAAAAAGGCCTTTTGGTCATTACTGGGTCTATTAAGGACTTATTTTTCAATTTAAGCCAAATTTTGAAGAAAATAGGCCTCAATATTTCAAAAAATTTTATGCGTAAGCGTGGAAGTTTTTTTTCTGATCTGAAATTTGGCCCCCTCCCTTGTTGGTTCCCAGATCCGCCCCTGTAGTACCCTATATGCATTCAATGACGTTATCCTCTAAAGAAGGAAAATTATCATTAGAAAGGGTAGCATCATGTTGGTTATTATATTTGCAAAGTGAAACTTGAATATATGAACACATCTGTAATTCAAACACCTCTCAATATGAACACTTGCTCCCAGTCCCAATTCTGTAAACTCTTATGTGAATATATGCTATGAATGATGGTGCTTTAAGATAGTACTGTATCAGATTGTTAAACACGAAACAAGATAGCTGAGTAGCACAAAAAACATTGCTTAGATTGACAGCTAGTTTATATACTTCACAAATAAGACAATTACTTTGTGATTACAATACAAACAAATGACTCATAGGATCCCATTACAGAAACTGAGTGCTTAACAACCTGCTTGAAAACAAAGTGGTGTCCTACACAAAAGATATGTAGAGTGACTGACATAGCAAACAATTATATGGTATAAACGTTATTTATGTTAAGTAAAACCTGTGTTCCATGAACACCCATAGAGCCACAAAAATGTGTTCACTAGAGGTAGGTGTTCACTATAGAGAGACAATTTTAACACAGAAGTCAGTGGAGTATGTGCTGAGAAGAAGTGTTCATGAGACAAAGTTGTTCACTGGAGAGGTGTTCACTGAGACAGGTTTTACTGTCTATGACATTTATTCCACCCTCATATGCTTTTATTTCCTCTTGAAGAAGATGCAAATGCCCACAAAGAAATCCAAATCTTTCTGGCGAGTTCCCTGAAAGTACAGGGTAGCTCAAATAAGTAAGTTGACAGTTTTCAGAAAGAGACTGTTGAATAACTGTAAACCTACTTTTGGACCACCCAATTCATGTATATATAATAGTGTCTCCAATCTTAGTCAGTTATGAAAGCTGCACTTATTCTGATAACATTCCCTATATATTAATAGGTTTTACTGCATTTAACATTTATTTTGCTCCATACACAGGGGTTTCATAAGCAGCAGGCAACAGGTGATTTTCACTGTTTGTTTTTACAAAAGCGCCTGTTGTTTTAAGAGACTTTTCAACTTTTCCATGTCTAAATTTATGATTTCTATTAATTATGCCTGTTGTTCTCATTTATTTAGCATGTTGTGAGAAATTTTTGTGAAACCCCAGATACAGTACTTAGTCACTCTTAAAGATGCACATGTACTTTTATATTTGTAATCACGTCCCTGTAACAATATTTGGTTGGGGGAATATGATAAAGTAAAATATATAAATATTTTAAATATGAAGGCCACAGATGTTTGAATGTCAGTCAAGAGCAAATATTTATCATTGGATTTTATACAATGTGATTCACTGTTCTGAGCATACAACTCTATTTATATATTTATCATTACAAATTTGAAGTACATGTAATACTGTCTACTATCTTTCAAAGTGAGTTGCGAAACTCATACTACTATTATTATTGCTTATGAAAGGAGTTTTCAAAATTTTCCTAATATCATAAGGTTTCGAATTGTGTCTTCATTATGTCAATGCCATTTCCTCAAATATACTCAATTTTTCTCACTAAAGCATGGGCATAGGGCTTTATTTTGAGTTGGTTCGCCAACTTGGGGATCCCTGGGGGATGGGGGGATGGACTTGGGGGATGGACAAAAGGACAATCAGACCACGATTAGACCATAATTTTGTGAGTATTTTTACCACGGACACTCAGACAGTGTGTCAGTCCTGGTAGGCCCAGAGCATGAGTAGTCGGATTTGCCCCATGGTTCGACGCATAAGGAAAGCACTGTGGGGGGGGGGGAGTCTGCTCACCCAAGAAATCTTTTTCAAAGACGTTATTTGTTGCAATCTCTGACAATCTGAGCTTTTAATCAACTTTGAATAGTTCTATTCTCATAAAACTAAATCGTTAAAAATACAAATACAGTGTGTCGGATAAGCGGTCGCCATTCGCCAAATGCCATCAGAAAATACATCTGGCGAACAGTTTTAATGGAGCACTTGCCATAGTGGCGATCTGGGATCAAATCAGACTTGAAAACCCGACAATAATGGCACATTTCTGTCAAGGAACTCACCGAGATCGAAAATCCAGAACATCCGGATATTCCTTCTTGATCGATCCCGAAACGTTTTCTATCGTGGATTCTGATTGGCCTTGCTCTCGACTTCTTTATTCGAGAGTTCTGATTGGTCGAAGAGATCATATATATGCGCATAAAAACTGCGCAGAAGATATCGCCGAAAAAATATTTTTAAACTCGGACATTTCCTTCTTCAATCATCAAAATATTGGTTTAGTATAATGTGGAAAGCACCAAATGATAGATATTTATCGTGATGATGCACTGAATTACAAAATGTGCCACCTTTTCCGCATTTTAGTGTAAGTAATGATGAAGTACTCTATTATCGCCCACTGATTTCTTTCGGAAAATATTTTTTCTGTGTGTTCGGTAATAATACTTGGTTATTCCTTGATTTTTCTTGAACTTTGTGAAGCGGGGTGAATGGTTATTAGGGGGTCGGCGCTAAAAACGGCAATTACTGTTACTAAGCAACGTGTATTTTTTGTTCTTCATTAATTTTTCTGTGTAGATCTATATATAGGCCCTAAAATTTGACTTTTATGAGGAATATCATGCTCAGTTTGCACAAAAGAGGTTCTAAATATCAATAATTTTCTGGAGGGGGAATGCTACCACCCCCCCCCTCCCCCAGCCCGTGATACGTTTTTAATCATCATCATATCATAGTGTTATTATTAGGGAATTAAATGATACTTTGATATAGTTGGATGCACAAGTTTGACAAATTGCAGATTCTTTACTTTTTAGATAAAATAAATGATTTTCGCAAAAATTTGCGATGTTAGCGTAATTTTATACTGGCTAGTGAAAAATCTGTTTGGCCAGTGGTATCTGAAATCCAGTGGCCAAAATGGCTACCAGAAAAAAATCCTTATCTGACACACTGAAATATGGAATCAGCAATAAATGTACAAATAAATTAATGCATTTTAACACATTTTTAATTTTTTCAAATTCATTCGGCATACCTGTGCATATTTTGCATAACTGACACTATGCCCATGTCAAGAATTTCAGTTTTGATTCATTATGATATCTCGTATCATTTGTATTATCAATTTTCTAAGCAACTTATCTTTAGCATAACTGGTCTGGGTTCATAAAGAAACCAACAGACTGTTATAGGGATATTAATAGCTTCCCTTGCTCATATATTCATGTTTTTTCCAAAATGTCAACTATAGACATGTTTTCTGCTGAAGTATGTGCTTCAAATGTCAACCTGATCATGCCTCTTTACTCTAATCACCACCAAAGTCATGCCAACTCTCAAAATATTGGCAGTTGTGGAAAACAAGAGTTAATTTCATTATGGTTTACCCCCCCCCAACCCTTATCATCTCCAATAAAACAAAATTTAACAAATTATAATTAGCTAGTCCTTGGAAATCATTATTTCACCATCTACCCCCTAACAGCATCAATTTCCTTTTTTCTATAACTGTCATTCCCAATATAACCTTTATTCTTAATAAGGGGATCAATTTCCCCTTTGAAGTTGTATTTTCCTTTGTGTGTAGTACTAAATATTTTCATTTCACCAGACGTGACCTAATTAGCAATGTATAAATGTTTGTTCATACCCTTTGCATTTGTTCGACTTCTTAAAAGAGGGATTCGTCTTCACTCTTTCAGTTTGCAATAAATCTCTGAACTCATCGAGCCAATCAGAATTTTTTGTCGAAATACAGACAACTTTCTCGATATGGCTATTTCCTCTGAAATCATCCTAAAGTTAATGAGCACAAATTTAGTATGTGTTCATTCCAGCTTTGCTGATTGGTTGAGAAAAGGCCACTGTGGCAATTTTGAAATGATTTATGACCCAGGCTGTCATGGGCACCAGTCTTGGCTGCTAAAATGTTATATAGTCTATACTAGGCAGAGGGTAGTTTATAACTAGACCCAGGTATCTTCAGGGTAGTCTTGTACATTTTTCACCCGCCAGAATTATGAGAACAGGCATCCATCCAGTAATCTATTTTTGGCTTCAATTTGTTAGCCTCAATCAATAATAAGTCTTGCTTCAAGGCTGTGTACTGTACCATCCCCCCATATACTATGTACATTCACTTGGCCAACAGGCAACACAACACTGGTGAGTGAAGTAGATCAAGGGGGGAAATGTTCAGGGCAAGACTACAGGGTCTGACCTTAACTTTTTTTACCAGTAGCAAGGATTTGCTACCTTCTACCAAAACATTAGGAGCAAATTCCCATATTCAGGTAGCAACAAAAATGCTCCAAGAAAACATTATCAGGTAGCAAATTGCTCCTCAAATTGCACTGAACGAAATGACCATTTTTACGTTCAAGAGTCATCTGAGAACAATTTGTGGTTTTTCAGACCAAAATCCGCATGTTTTCATTGAAAATAGGAGAATGAATCATCTAATCCTAATAAAGGTAGTATAATCAATGGGGGGAAACAAATTATAGCGTATTCGTCGATGAAACATGTTATCGTGCAGGCGACATTTTTTTGGCAAGAAATTCCGTTTCGCTAAAGCGAGTAAAGTCCAATCAGTGATGTTGTCTTATTTTGTTTCATTTTGGGATCCATATCAACCAATCAGCGTTGAGGCTATCAGAAGCGCGATGAAAAAATATCGGGAGTGGTAAGTTCCATTGATTCTATGCGATAGAAGGGTTGAAATACATGAGATTCATTGCGTAAATTTGAGGTAGCAAGCATTTGCTCCGGGCCACGAAGTTTTTGGAGCAAAATGTGAAATCAGGTAGCAAATTTGCTCCTTGCTACCGCTAAGATCGAACCCTGGACTATCAATAATTTTTTAATACATGGTAACTGGAATAATGAATCATTTTTGATTTTTATGTCACATGTTTTATATGAAATATTGTTATGGTCTCCAACTTTTTTGTGGTGGCATGAGGCAGTTGCTGTCAAAATCTTATACATATGTTTCTATTTTTTATATACTGTTGCAATATAGTTATTTGTTTGCTCATTTTTTAAATTCAAAGTACTTCCAAACATTTAAAATTTTACTGAAGCCATATCGTCTTACGAAAGTATAATATGCTACGGCAAAAATTGTAAAATAACTAGCCTATTTTACACTTAAAACAAATTGCTATTACAGATTTTACCCTGCGTGCAGAGTCTAGTTAAACTACACTCTGCCTAGTAGAGACCATATTACAGTTCAGTAGTCCCGCCCCCACGACGGGTACTGGTGATAGTTTGGGTAATTAAATCACTTTTGACCTACGCGCTGACCTTTCTTCCACCAATCAGCCAGCTTGAAGAAACATACGCCAAATGCGTTCTAATTAAATATGCGCATGTCATTGGTCAATTCCGGGCTCAACAATGACGTCAGAAGGAATGACCATATATAGAACGTCGGTCAAATTTGGCCGACGAACACTGATTGGCGCGGTGAGTTCACAGGTTTATTTTAGTTTGAAAGAGTGAAGACGAAGCTCTCTTTTAAGAAGTGAAGTCAAACGAATGCAAAGGGTATACAGATTTATATATTGTACCTAAATAGACTAGATGCGAATAGAAATTATCTTGATTTACGTTATTAAATATTCAAAATTCAGTCAAAGTGATGTCATATCTGAAATCTACATGTAAAAGTACATCTAGAAAAATGGTTTCGAAAATTGTTTATCAACTTTGAAAATTTAATTTTTTTGAAAATGTGACTTCTAGCTCGGGTTGATTCCTCATAGACCTCATGTTACAAAATCACAAAAAGTGAAATATCTTTTCTTGTATTTTCTTTTACTGGACATATTTTAATTTGCATAACTATTAGATACATAAGGGTTATATAAAAATTGAACCACTAAAACAGATGTAATTTAAGTTAAATGGAACTTTCTTCTATACACGCCATGTTATCTGACCCGAACGAGCCACCTGGTGGCGAAACTGGTAACTACCTACTCGCATCTGCGTTATTAGTGTAAAATCAGCACAAAAATGGCTGCCATTTTAAAACGAATAGTCATTTTGAAAATTGGCTTTCTAGCAGAACTTCTACTCTCATTGGACAGATGTGTACAACATATTGTATATAACTGTCACATGTTATTGTCTAAAGTCTAATGTTGAAGTAATCCTTTCTCTAATTGATAATTTTGTGCAAAACATTTCACTGCAATTACCACATGATGGAACATAAAGATAACAGACTGAGTTTTAACTCAGTAGACAGATGTTAGATACATACTAGCCATAATGTGTGTTTTGCGAGTGTACATTACCTTAAAAAAGTTTTTCAGAAATATTTACATTCACGAGTCTTCTATCGTCTTCTAATATGCTGAACACCAGGGTCTTTTTCTTCCATGATGTATACTCAGGAGAATATACTGTTGAACATGGTTGCCACCATATTTTTCATATATACCATCTAACTATAATAATCATGCAATCGGTTCTTATCCAATGAGAAAGCGAAAAACGTTCCAATGATTCCCATAAATATCTTCCTCTGGAGTCCGATTCCTTTTGAAGAGAACTGATGGAAAACTGAAGGTGATAAGATGAGTAAGATTTATTGTGTAGCACAAAAAGAGTGGATATTCTGAAACTAGGTGGGTTACACAGAAAACAGAAAATATGGTTGCATCATCTATCACCCAAAAATAAAAACTACGTCATTTTTCAAAACAAAGCAAAAAATCAAAATTTTTCCAAACCTTTGTAGTGAACTCGGAGGTTATTTTGGGACAATCCGATGAAGTTGTACTTGTCTTTCGGACTCCATGACCTAGGTAACGGTGTGCACTTTTCGTTTATTGCCGGATAAAGCATCTGGATGCGTTCATCAAAGGTTATTTGACCAGAAAGTTGCCCTTCCTCCGTGGAGGTACTCGCAACTACGGCAGCCATTTCTTCTTTACCAAGTCCCAGGATGTATTAAAACAAATTTTCTGATTGGCTAAAATAAAGGATCTAAACCAATGAAAAGTCTTTTTACAAAATTAAAAGAAATTATTTGGGGACCGATCATCATCTGTTGCACAAGAAGTAACATTTGAAATCACAAAAAAATTAAATTAACCAAAATAATTTAATTAAGCAGTATCTCACATTAATTGGAATTCTCTAAGTAGACAACATACGCCTTTACCAATACTGTGGAAGTTGTAGAAAGATGCAGCAATGAGCTTTGTTATCAAACCGACACAATGCTGCTTCAATGAACTCTTCTTTCACGTTTATACTCTTGCATGGATCTCAACATTTTCTAATTTATATCTGAATGTTTTAATTTGTGGCAGACTTAACTGTTCTTCATTTGCTAATGTGCATATAATGGCCATTCATTAGTTTTAAGATATTGACAGGTTCATCAATCATATAGAGGGCGCAATCATCATAAAGATTTAGAGTTGAACCGAAGTTCAAATTTTCTCTCGATTTTATACGGAATTACTTGGTAAAAACAGATTTACATTTACCGTTAGTCTCTGCAAAGTTTATGTAAGTATTTTATTAAGATATATTTTGCATTATAGGCCTAGCGTACCCAATGAAGAAAGGCCAATTGTAAAGATGAATATGGTTTTCTGTTTTGCATGTTTTGTTTGATTTGGAGTTTCAGTTTCACTTTTTTTGCTTTGCAAGAAATCAAAATGTTTCTTGAAACTAAAAATTCTCTTGCAGGGTTGTGCATATTCACAAAGTAAAATTAATTAACGTTACCGGTCAGTCTAAAACTAATTGTTTCTAGATTAGTCTATATAGCCTAGAAGATTGTATGAGGATCCTGGAAGTGGTGGCATAATGTTATACCATGGGCTTTCAAGAGAAAGCCCATGGTTATACATAGTCTCGAACTTTATGGTTGACAGTGTTTGGCGTTCGGTGTCTGTAAAAATTCTTACAATTCCTAATATCTTAAATTTTTACTGTAGACATAACATATGACTTCCAAAACATTTCTGCCAATATCTGTTACCATGGCAACAAATTAGTGGACTTGTAATATTTTGTAACCGTTTGCAATAATTTAAGAAGTAAGTATTATTCCTAACACAGAGACACGTTACGACTTTTAACAAATTTTTGGCAGTTTCAATTACCATGGCAATGATTGAATATATGTTATCATGGAAACAGTCTTAAAACACTTCTCATATTTCTTACAAACTGTTACTTAAGAATGCATACTTACATTGACTTGAAATATTACCATGGCAACAAATAAGTGGACTTGTAACATTTTGTAATCATTTCTAAAGCACTTATTTATAAAGTGGTGACATTTTGTCAAATTATTGTCTTGCCTAATTTTTGCAATGGCAACTCCTTCTTGTTTAAATTGGCTACAAATCTAAATGGAGTCAGGTTCGTTTTGGAGGTATCACTACTGCAATATCTAAATATGGCATGTCTGCTTTTGGGCTAATCTTTCCTTGTCAAAGTTTTCTACATCCAGATTCAGAGACATTTCCAAAAATCGTTTTGGTGCCCCCCCCCCCCACTTTCAATATCCAGATCATATCCTGCATTGATACAAATTAAAAATCTGAAACTGAAATGACTACTTAAAAGAATCATTAAATCAATTATTAATTATTATAAAGTTGTAGCAAATGGCATTCTTCTTATAAGGTCTAATATGTTGTAAATGGCACAGGTTCTTTTACATATTTAAAATTACATTGTATAAAACAGCTAATGCCGCAGTCAGATTGGCCCTGAAATGAAGAAGAAAAATCTGCATGGCAGAGAATTGTGAAAATATTAATTACTCATATCTTATTAATCTCTTTTGCAAGTTGTGAAAGCAAAATCTTTTCTCTGTTCCGATTTGACACTGATTTCATGTAACAAGAAGATTTGATGACAATTAATCAGTCTTACTCAGTCGAGCCAAAGTAACAGATAGTTCATGCCAAGTTCATTGAAACTGGGTAATGAATGATTAGATTATGTAATTCCAGGAAATTTATTAATGATTTCAAGTGTCACACTTATATACCACTATCTTTCCAATTTTCCATAGTCCTTGAGTCTGAAATATGGATCATTTGGTATTGATGAGAAAGAACTTTTTTATTAAATTTTGAAATGCCAGTTTCAATTTCTGTTATTCATGTATATACAGTATGGTATAAAGCACAAAAACAGCATCAATAATATTTATTATTTACATTTATCCATGAAGAACATTTTCACACCAGTTGGTATGAATGGTATGCTGGAGTCTCAATTAGTACTTCAATCTTCGAGTATCAAAGATCAAGTGATAAAACAAACATATATCTGGGGTGTCTTTAGGGTCAAGTCATGATTTAAATATATTCTCTTCTTATGCCTTTGCATCATTCTTCTCTAAAATGCGAATGAAGTACCTGAAATTGGATATTCTTAGACAGCAAAGGATATTTCAGTCATGTGAATTTCATTTTATTTTATACAAATTGCACCTCAGTTTTGCTATATTTTGCTGTTAAATATGGCAACCATTTGTATTTTATGTACAGGAATGTATCAGTTTCTTTACAAAAAGAAAACAACCTTTCTAAATTCAAAGAAAACATGTTATTTTCGACATTTCCAAACACTTTCTGATCATCAACATGCAAAACTATATTTTACAAGTCTAAAATCTCATGAATCTTCTGACCACTGTTTGACTCATGTATTTTTCTAGCTTTCTTCTTCAAAGTAAGAAAAATATTTGTTGTGACAAAAGATAAAAGATACTTTATACCTGGGTCTCAGCAATATATCCAGAGTCATGATGAAAACATGTTGTTATAATCAAAAGAACATTATATTTTAGATTGTGATCATCTAGCCCCATTTTTACAACAACCTGAATGTCCATGGGTTACTGGGTGTTAAAAAGTGCAGGTTATCCCCAAATGCTATTCTCATTGCATGGAGTAGGTTGTTATTTTCTTTAGTTAAAAAATAAAAAGTTAGACTTAAAGCATTCTTAACCTGATTCTTAAGAAAAATAGCTTGATATCTTCATATCAGACAAATCGTCTGAGCCCACCTGAGTATATATTATACCAATTTTTCATACAGCGAGATTCATGCAGTTTTTACTGTTTGAAATGAATTGTCTGAAGATAGATTGTGGAATGAGGACCATGGTGCTTAAGCCTCTTAGTGTCTGATAGTCAGAATTCTGAGAATTTCACAGTATATTTTTGTTGAAACATGATGTCAGTTAGCATCATTCATCTTTCTGATGGAATTTTTTATTGAATTAGAATCTACCATGAGGAGTTAAATAATCAAGGAAAGCCCATGCTAAAACCTAACATATGTGACCTTTATTTATTTTAAAAATGTACCAGGAGATGAAACAGGAAAGGATTTTTAGAAAATATTTTTTGTCCTCCCTGCTCCCTTCAGTCCCTGACCTTGTAATTTCTACAACCATTGACCACCATCACTAAGATGAGTCAAACCGAACCTTTGATGGATATGTGTAACTGAAATCCCTCCTAAGAGACAATTACAATTGCAAACAATACATTTGTCTTCCATATAGATAATAATTGGTATTGTTATTACTCAGTATCACCATGGGCTTTCAATCTACTTAGTAGTTGAAAGCCCATGGTGTTACTAAACAACATGATTCCCATGTTACAGGCCAAACAGTTATTACATCATTATCCATGACCATCCGTTATTCTAGTAATTATCTGATTCCTTAGCAACTGATTATTAACACCGTCATAAGAGGTGTCATAGGATTCATATTTCAGTGGTGCAAAAGTGAGACATTTCTAAATTATGTTATGCTTATGAGTCTTTTGCCTGTTTTTGTATGGTTTTACGAAATCAGAATACTTTTTTTGTGGGGTAGTTGTTTTATAGAGGGATATTAGGTTACCATCTATTGCTATAGATAATTTCTGTTTTCGACAAAACTTAGTTTGAACAGTAATTAAGTTAGGTTATCCAACAAGCTACAGGGGTTTTGGCTGTTTTTAAACAATTTTACGAAATTATATGACCTTTTTGTCACACTTACAGTTATTTATGGAAGGATATCTGATTACTTTTAATAAATATTTTCTGTTTTCGCCCAAACTAGGTTTAAACAAAGAGGGTCAGATATTGATTTTCTATCAGTTTTTGAATTATTTATAGGGTACAGATGTATTTAATAAAAGAAATGTTTTAGCGATTTCTTTATAAGATTCTCCAATATTGCCAAGTAATATCATTGCTTTTCTTAGAGTTCCCAGTTCTGGTGTCACTTAGTTCATATTTTATTAACCTATTTACAAATTCTGGATGAATTGCATGTTTACTATCTTTAGTTACATTTAGATGTTTTCTATTTAGTATATGTTTTCCATTGTCTGTTTACGAGTATTAAAAACAAGGTACTGTTAACATGGTTCTCAATATATTTTATTATATTACCACCACAAGTGTTGCCATATTGTTATAGTCTCCAACATTTTGTGGACAGTGTTTGGTGGTTGGCATTTGGCATATAGAGTCTGGCATTTGGAGTTTGGCATCTGGACCAAATGGCAGGTAGTGACATTTTGTATGTTAATTGTTAATGCATGTTATAGGGGTTATTCAGTCTAAGATTTGAACTTGAAGGTCTTGTAAATTTCCAGCAATCTCTGAAATGATATCAAGTTAGAATGACATGTTTTGTTATTCTACTCAGTTGGATAGCTTGTTTAAAATATAAAAAGTAGGTTTCCAGGAGATTTGTACTTTTAAACTGAAAAACTTGAGAGGTCGATGTCTTGAAACTGTACTTGTAGTTGGCACCAAAATAGAAATGTGAAAATAACTTTATATAGACAGTCATGAAGGTACTGTTATGAATGCATAAAACTTTAGAGATCCCCCCACCCCCACCCCCGTATCTACCTCTCTCTTGTGGGGTGA